GAGTGACTGCTCTGAATGTAAAGAGACAGAGACTTTACTAGATATGCTAAATGTGTCTCCATGGAGGATGGGCAAGGTCTGGTTGGAAGGTCTGGTTGGAAGGTCTGTGTAATCTTGGTTTACAAATCGCCACTTTGTTCCTCGTATTTCAAACTCGTCCGAGCTTCCGTATCCTCGTCATGTAGGAAATATGCCAGATGCTTCCAATGAGCTGGGTTTCCTCTAACTGGGAGCCTTTAAATCAGACTTGATACGTATATCTAATGATCCCCACGCTCCATGCTGGCGGAACGAGAGCAAAAGGAAAACAAGTCGCAGTAAACTGAACTTTGGGGCGAGTCAAAAATAAGCCAAACTCTCCCGTGGACTGCCTCGCGCTATATATAAAACATCAAGCTTGTGGTGTACCACGAGTACGACGAATCGAAGGATAATGTGGTCTGGAACTGCCAGTCCAGGTGACTAGAGGGTCTCTCAATTGATCTGTGTGTGTGTGTGGAAGAGAGGTTCTACGTAATACAGAGAGAGGAAGGGAAGCTACTATAAAGTGATAGCCGGTAGACTAAAGTTAGCTTTAAGCATCCAGCATCCGTGATGTATACCGGCATCAATACAATACAAGCAGTGATTCCAGACTATGGAAGTTTCTACTTCCTAGTCATGACCTATGGATTGTACTTGGTTACTTATCTCCCAGCCGCGCATCGCTGCCCTATCGCGGTTACAGATCTAGGACCAGCCCTTCACCACCCCACCCAGCTTCCGATTCCGTTCCCCCCTCTCGCTCGCTTCAAGCAGGCAAAACACTTCTATACCATTAACAAGGAACTTTGAGCTCCCAGAAAGCAGTACAAATACTACCAAGGTTCCATGTGCAAGATCATGAACGAATTGAAAAGTCAAACTCAACGCAGATGATCATTCACCCCCTTCAACAGAAAAGGCAACAAACTCTGATGGAGAATCACAGGTAAAGATCATATACATACGACTTGTCTCTCAAGCATCAACGACGCTCGCCCTGGCAGAATATACACAACAAACATAGGGTAACAAGCAAACTTGTAACTCAAAAAGGTATCACATCGGGCTCGAAGGTAAAAACCGCAAAGCAACCGGCACGGCAGTCTCAAATCTTTCAAAAGCAAGCGGCGCGATCATCGCGTCAGTGCCGCATCATCCCTCCCTACTACCACTGATTCTTAAGAGAAGATCGGTCTCTATAGTGAGTCTTGCGATAATGCACACATTTCACTGTGAAGATTCGTCGTATTCTTCAAAAGGCCCAGCTATCTTCTGTTCAGACTCCCCCCGCCTCTCCTGCGAGCAAAACTACGGAGACGGGGAGTTCACTAGGCCGGGTATCAGGAAAAAGAAAAGGCCTTTGAAATGCCTCAAGAAAACGCCATCATCATGTTGCCGCAGAGAAAAATGCATAACTCCCAAGGCCTCCAGCGTATTTGATGAAATCAATGCCCTCGACCTCCTTCCTCCGTCACCTGAGAGGCGAAGAGATAACGGCGTCTCAAAAGATGAGAACATGCTCATTCTTGTCATCCCGACTGATCTCGTAACTCAAAATACTATGATCCCGATAATGCAGCATAAGCCTGTACCGTCTCGACGCAGGCGACGGCATAGGCGCATCATCAGCACGCAGCAAACACCCCGTCGCGCCACCCTCCTGAATCGGACCGGCAGCGATGCCGTAGAGCCCCCGAGGCGGCCGACGTCCAGCCTTCTCGTCCGAAAGCGTCGGCAGAACCCGATCGATCCGGAATCCTTGCTTCAGCTTATACCCGTTCCCGGGGATGTGGTAGCGCGAGCGTGTCGGGGTCAGCAAAATCGCCCGGCCCATGGCGGATCCAATCACCACGAGCGACAGCTCCGGGATATGAAGAATCATGTTGAGCCGCTCGGAATGCTGAAGTAAGGGGTGAGGTGGGTACATCCAGCTGATGGGATCCTTGCAGAATACCGCCGCACCGTCGTCCGGGTTGATGCTGCGCATCTCAATGTCTTCTTCGTAGGTTCGCAAGATGCAGCATCGGCTTCCCAGCTCTTCGAGGGCGCTTCTGTCCTGTTCCTTTGTGTTCCGGTTCTTCACCAGCGGTCGACGCAGGTACTGAAGGCGTCCGATGACTGACGTCGGCGCAACGTACGTTTTGCCATCGTGGGGCGTATAGATCATGTCTAACCAGGAAGATTGGAATCCGCTCAAGTCGTGGTTCGGTGAGTTTTTGAAGAAGCTAGAAAGCATTTCAGGCGGCGAGATCTGCGTCATACCCACGCCGGACCCAACCTCTTCTTCTGTTGCAGAGAGCGCCTCCTCGATGAAGACAATCTCATTCGCATCCTCGCCGTTAGGCCCACCCACATCATCGTCTTCACTATCAAAAGCAGAAGAAGACATATCGTCCCATGCTGCGACCGGGATTTCTTCTTCCTCCTCGCTCCACCCGTCGTCGTCATCGTCATCGTGATCCGGGGTAAACAGAACCGCATTCTGTACCGCTGGGGCGCCTGGAGGGACGATGGCATTCGCGGGAGGTACAGCACCACCGGCTGCGTTGTTGTTGTTGTCGTCGTCGTCCAGTGCTGGAGGAGGGGGAGGAGGCGGCGGCGGAGGTGCCGGAAGTCCAAGAAACTGTTGATTATTTAGTATAGCAGCCAGGAAAGCTGGCTGTTGCTGCTGGAACCATGCTGCCTCGTGGTGGTGGCCGAACGCTTCCGGTTCCGGCATGCGTTGAGCAATCGGCTCCGCAGGATGATCGCGAATGCGAGAGAGGCCCCGTTGGGTCTCGATCCATCGCCCAGCGTGAGAGTTCTTTGCGTTCATGATGTCTGACTCTTCCATGCCTAGTAGGTCCGTCACAGATCGTGCAGGCAGAAAACTCTCATGCGGAAGGACAATGACGCCCCAGCCCCTGAAATTGTGTTAGTAGACGTAACATGGAAGTGTGCGACAGAGACCTACATTGGATTCCGGAAAGCCCATTGCCCTTGGACATTGGCTCTGTGCGAGATCTTGAATGGCGCCGTCCCGGTCTTCCATATGTCCAAGATCCAGGTAGTCCCGTAGATATCATTCGCAACAACTTTCTCAGCGTAGCCCTGATGGTCGTCCCAGAGAGATAGATTAGGAATGTTGTGCCCCCCTTCACCCAGGGGTATGCAGATCCTCCAATTTCGTTTCCTCTTGAGAACTGATCTTTCGCAGTAATCCAGATGTCTCGCATGGCAATCCATGTCCTCGGGCAGCCGGGAGAGTCCAAAGGCAAAGACGGTCACTTCCCGCTTGTTGGAGCTGATGGCGATGAGTCGCGACTTTTGGTGGATCGCGATGCCCCATGCCGAAATACCCACGTTCTCGCGAAAGAAGTACGTCGGCACCGGACTGGGTTCCCGACAACCAGACGCTATGCGCTCAATGTACTTTGCAATCTTCCGGATGTAGTACGCGAAAACCGACCCATCGTCGTAGACCGAAACGAGGATTTCCTCTCTCCCGAGAAACCCAACAGCGATGTGGTTGATCTGATGGGAGAAGCGCAAATTCAGCGTGCCCCCAATGTGTCGCGCGATCTTGTCAGGCTTCGTGGCCAGAATGAGACTCGGCTCCCGAGGAAGTGCCTGTTTCGGGACGCCCTTGGGGCGGTAGACGAAGATTCGGTTTTCGTACGCAGCGAAGTAGAACTGGGGAAAGGGTGTCGTTAGCCAAAGGGTCATTCCTCACGGAATCTGACGAAGGGATTCCCACATTGTATCTCTGCGACAGAGCTGTCAGATTGTTCCTAAAGTACGGCGTCTTCGGTATCTTCCTCTCCAATGACGTTGGCTGTGAGCTGCCCGCATCCTCGTCCTCGACACCAGTTACAATCTGGTCAGACGGGACGCCCTGGACAAGGGTGTCAGTCTCGATGCCGTTGATGTGGTCGCGCTCGCGTTGCCGGATCACTTCGGTAGCTCCGTCGCCAAACTACGGAAGCAGAGTCAGCAGGCAAGTCAACACTAGACAAGCTGTAACGGGCCTCGCGTTGCCTTGAAGACAAAAACAGACATCCAAAGAAGCCCGAATGCGTCGTACGTACCCGATCGATACAGGTCTGAACCTGACACTTCCCCAGCACAGCCTCGCGGAAGCCGCGATCATGATACTGACCCTGTTGGCCCGCCATCTACCGCACCTTGGAGTCTTTCTCTCCCTTTCGCCTCGCGCGCGACATACGAGCCGCCCCCCCTTGTTGTCGATTTGTCGAAATAAAGAACCTGATGCCTCGCCTGTTTCCGTCGGAAAAGAAAACAAGCTGCCTTTGCGTACGATAAGAAAGTGTGTTGGGCTGCGCGAAGAAGTGGGTTGGTGGTAGGTAAAGGTCTGGAGAATGGCCTCCTCATACTCCCGCCGCAGCTCATCCGCTGCTTCCCTTCTGGCCGTTTGTCGTCAACCCACACCACCCTCCTCCAGGCTCTCCCACCTCCAACTCACGCGCACCCACTGAGGGGTATCGGATCCACTTTATTTTGTGGTTATCGATAACGGCCTGATGGCCCCTACACCTTGCTCTTATCGATAACAGTCGGGGAGGAAGCTTCCGTCAATGGAATGATGCTGGGGTCACCTTGCTGGATTGCTTGTCTGGAGAGGAGGGGTCGATTGTTTCAGCGAGCACGTTTTGCGGGGAGGAAACATTCTAGCTACGAGAGCAGCTATACACCACTATTCCCAAAGCTCGTAGACTGTCGATGCGCAGCTCTGGTCACGGACAGTGGTTGCATCTCCAGGCAAAAGACACATTGAGCACCAAGGCCACGGACGTGCCATCTGACCGATACTCCATCAACGCCATCCACTGACCCCCTTCATCGTGTCCATGAAAGCTGTCCCGTCCGTCCCTCCACGTGGGTGAGCATGATCAGCGCGGACATGCTAGTTCATAGCAACCATGCTTCGTACCATCTAGGACGAATGGCTCACACGGGACGAGAAAAGGGACCAAAGATTCGTTCAAGGGTCTTTTATTCATTGACTGCATGGCCATTCATGAATCCAATTGCTCGTATCAAAACTGTCATCCTAATCCCAACGTTTGACTTATCCGCCAATTTTTATGACATAATCGTCAGTGACCGTCTAGCTCGTGCCTGACCAAAGCCGGGTATCCGAAGCTGGCACTCCCAAAAAAATAAAATAAACCCCCAGAAGTGCCTACAGTAAGAACCGTTCCGTAAAACGCCATTATGGGGGAGGGAGTGGTTATAAAAAAAAGAAAAAAAAAAGGAGAACATAGTCCATCTCTCGTGTCATCCATCAAATACACATCGTCGCCAAGAGCACCTCAATTCGCGACTCTAGCAGGCATACCTCTTCACCCAGCCAAAACTGCGAAGCGCACTACGCCCTCATAATCTCAACCATATCCTTCATCCGGTAATCCAGCACAGGCGTAACCCAGTCGTCCTCGACGAGCGCATACGCCTCCTTGACGTTATCCTTTGGCTTGCGCGGGTTGACGGCCCAGTATCCGAAATCGGCGTCAATGACCTTGAGGTAGCGCAGCAGGTTATTCCAGTAATTCGCGTCGCCGATGCTAGGCTGGTGCGGCGCGCCAAACTCGCCCACCCACACGGGCGCGACGTCGCCCTCGACGAGGTAGGCCCAGTTGAGCCGCATGGCCTTGACAAAGGACGCGTACGCCCGCTTCGAGTACCGGCCCTCGAGGCTGCCCCAGCCGGACCAGGCGTACACGTGGGCCGAATAGACAACGCGGTCGGGCACGTCGAGCACGACGGGCCGCTTCGCGACGCCCCTGAGGTCGTTGCCGGACTCGGTGCCACCGACGATGACGAGCCAGTCCTTATTCATCTCCAACAGCCTGTTGCCGGCCTTCTCAGCCGCCGTGGCCCACTTGTCCCAAGTCATTGTGCCCCACACGCCGCGCACCTCGTTCCGCAGGTCGACGCCGATGACGCCCGGGTTGTCGACGAGGCGCAGCATGATCTTTTCCCAGTTCTGGATCCAGTCCTCCTCGGTCTGCTTGATGCGGCACAGCGGGCCGAGGTGGTCGTTGGCCCAGTGGGCGTCGCAGGGGTCGGCGCCGCAGCACCAGGTCGAGTGTGTGATGTGGTTGTTGACGATGACGGCGATGCCCGCGTCCGTCAGCGCCGTCACGCACGCCTCGAAGATGTCGAGGGCCTTGAGACCAATCAGGTCAGGGTTGGCCGCGACCAGCTCGGCCGGGATCGGGGGGTCGGTAATGACCATTTCGTCACTGTAGGGCAGGCGGACGCTGTTGAAGCCCAGCCCGCGGATGGTTTGCGCAATGACGTCGCGGTGCTGGACGTCGAGTCCGCCGGGGATGTTGAGCTCGTCGCTGGCGCCGTACCAATTGACGGACAGGAGCTTGAAGCGACGTCCCTCCTCGTCGACAATATCCCGGCCCTTTGTGTGCAGCGGCAGCGAGTACGTGTCGATGCTGGTCTCCTGGGCCGGAGGTAGGAGAGGCCGCTGCTGGAAGAGCTGGGCCTCCGGGTCGGGCACCCACGGCACACCGAGAGCGGCCTCTGCTTTCCACAGGTAGTGGACGTAGCCGCCGAGGAAGACGAGGGACAGAATGAGGAACATTCTAAAGGACGAGAGTCTGACGAAGCCGAGGTGGCAGGTTCTCCTTCTTAATCTCGAATGTGTTGTTGCTGTTGGTGAAGAGGGCTGGGGTGAGGTTGAGATCTTGCGGAAGAAGATGCCGGTGGATGCCCCATGATCTTCGGTTGTCGCAGAATTGTCTATGCTCGGGAGGTAGACACCGCCTCTGGCTGGCGGAGTGCTCGGTTGCTCGATGTCATCAATCGGCGTCCCAGGTTGGGGACGTCCCGAGCTCCAGCGCCAAACCCTGGCCGGCGTGCCGGGGTTCAGCTTGAAGATCTCGGAAAACGGCATCACCAATGTTCCGATAAGATAAGCGATAAGGTTGGCTTGTGATACAATCAGGGGGTGTCACCACCTTGAGGGGCTGAGAGAGAGCTCCTCTTGGCGGGGATCGGGAAGCGGTGGACTTGTGCGGGAGGTGGTGGTGTCAAGCCGGGTCAACTAATCCCTTTCCAGCGCCAGCCCTGCTGCAAGGACAAAGCCTCAATCCGACGGACGACGGCCGGGGGGATGCAGACTACAGAGCTTGTCCCGACGATGCCGATAACCTAGCAAACGGGCAAGATGACCTCACACACCTTGAACCTGCCTGTTTTCTGCTTTTGCTTTTTCCTTACAACGACGGGTTCCTTACTTTTGCTCTCCTTGAGTGACTTCAACCGATTATCCCAAGGTATAAGAGTCTTTCTGCCACGTGCTCGGGAACGCACACTTGAATGTTCGGACCGCTCGTTTCGTTTCTTCGTGTCTTTCCCACTTCGTCTCGTTTTGATGTCGTCTGGTGAGATGCTCACACCGAATACGCGCACAGCCCTTGTCCAAGTCAAGCCGTTTCCGTCTTGGCGGTGTTGATAGAATTTTTTTTTTCTCTGTCTGATGTTCCTGTTCTTCTTTTTTGCTCCTCGCTCAGGTTCCGCTGCCGTGGTGTCTCGCTCTCGGTCTATTATTCGAATCCGTCTGACTTTCAGGCCAAACCTCAGCACCGCCTGTCGTCGTTGATTGCCCACAACTGTTGAGGCTGGGTTGAATGTTTGTTTCTGTTTCGCAGTCGAGGTGGCTTAAATCAAGTGAATTCAACCAATTCTTCGGTTTGGTTTCTGAAACGATCAGTTGATGGGTGTCCTTGTGGTGTAAGCTAGGATCAACAGTTCGTCGTTGTTTGATGCCTCGTTCTCAGATCATGCACACGTTTCTACCCGTTCCTAAGTAAAGATGATGGGATGTTTGATATAAGTGTGAGAAAAAGTGCTGCACTCGCTCATGAAAAAATCCTTCTGTTTGGAAGCCCAATCTACTTATAATCAAGAGAATGGGCCGATGAGCGAAAAAGTCCGTCGACCGCCCAAACAATCAATCTGCACTTCCGCTTACATCACATAAGCCTAGCAGGAGTCAAGTCCTGGGTCCCTCCGAAGAAGCCGGGGCGGAAGGCATTGGGATGCAATGACATGGCACTTGGTCAATGGCTCGCTCCAATGCGATTGCTGAAATTCGTTTGGCCCCCCCTCCGCTGGGCTCCTCGCATCACTCGTGAAATCCGACCATTCCGCATCTTCCGGGCGGGCTTATTCCATAATCCCACCCACAGCAACAACACCACCACCACCATCCTTGTTCGGTAGTTTCCTTACGTTTCCACCCATTGGGCTGTTAAGGAACTTGAGACATGCACAATCCGGTACTTTAATAAGGCCATCTCGCATTAAGCTGTCGCGTGACTCTTCTATTTTTCGGACTCTCAACTGCTCCTACATGTCCGTCAATCGTGATTCGTTCCGCCGTTCCCGTTCCCTCTCCCGCCCCGATGCTGAAGCGCCGAAGCCCATGCCCATTCATCAAATAAGAGAGAGGCTCCCGCCGCCGACCTTCCCACAATCCTTCTTTCGGGTCTTTAAATTGTGGGCCAACGTACTCTTCGCATTCCTTCGCGGCATTAACGAGACCGAGACGCCGACGCTGATATTACATTGTTTTTTTCTGACATATTGACATGGCCGACGAGGCCGGTGGTATCCTCCACATTACATCATCTCTCAAGATCTCAACACTGGTCAGTCACCAGTGTTCACCTTCAGCGCGGATCAGCGCGGGCAGAGTCCAACTTCGGCCGAATGGTGCCACCCCTTTTTAGGTTGTCGGGTATTGTTGTGCGCGCGCTTAAAGTAGGCGCTTGAAATATAGTTTCGTCCGGTTTCAGACGCATCTTTCTTTCCGTCTTTTATTTTTCTTCTCGTTCCGTCGTGACCAGCCGCGTCGTCTCATTATATACGGTTCATCCCAAGTGGGTTCATGTCATCGAACGCGTCCCCTCGGGATCGTGACTCGGGCCGAGCGTAAGTTGCTCGTGCATCCCAAGTGGGAGGTGTTTGCGGCGGTCGAGGGCTCGAGAACGACCGCGTCGGCGGCTGGTAGCGAGCCGTCTGCCCAAAATAATCCGGCGTTCTTCGTCTTTCGCTGTTGGGACTTACGATGGGGGATTTGACTGGAGAGATTGGTGTTACAACAGCGCTCGAGTCTCTAGACAGCATCTCGTACGCACGTGTGTCTTTCTTGACATCGTATCGGGCATCCACCGATACGAATTCCTTTTTGTTTCTGCCTAGGCAGGAGGTGAAGAGGTCCATCCAGCCGAGGACCATGGCCCATCGACCTAGTAGGAAGAGCAGCCAGATACCGTTCATCTGGATTAAGTCAGTAACCTGTGACAAGTATACAGGGTATAGGGGCGCGTGTCTTACCGCCAGAAGAATCAGGACCGCCGTGATAGTTGCCTCGTTGACAACCATATTCTTGGCCTTGTCGTAACACTTTGTCCTGTCACCTTTGTTGCTGACAAGACAGAGAATCCAAGCCTGGGCAATGCTTTGGTCGTCATGCACTGCCTGGACCGTATTGTCCTGGAACACGAAGACGACGGAGAAGAAGATGACATCGGCAATAATAATGAGCACAATAGCTATACCTCTCCATTGGAGAGAAATGACGCGTCGCACTCGGCGGTACGCTTGACGAGGGCTCATCGTCTGGATGCTGTTGCTGTATGTGGGCAAACTCGACCCTTCTGTTGACGCACTGTTGTCGGCTAGGGAAGCGAGATAGACCTTGATACAATATCCGAAAGTGGCGAATTGGATGATGACCGTTAGGCCAGCGAATACCAGAAGAGGTATCCAGAAGTCGGCAAGACTGTTCTTGTGGTTGATGTGACAGGTAGCGCCGAATCGGAAGGACACGCCACTGAAGACGAGGGCAACGACGATGCCAACAAGTGGAATACCCCAGCCCGTAGCTTGAGCAAAGATCATAAAGTTGCGGCCCACGACAACTTGCCAACAAATCTGGAGATGCAGGGACAATGATCGCAAGAAGACCCACATGACACCGGCCCAGCCTCCGAGCAAGAGGAAAGCGCCAGATGCACCGCAGACTTTGCTTGACTTCATGCTGTGCGGTGTGATGTCGTTGTAGCATTGCTCTGGTTGATCGGCAAGTGGCACGACGAAGCCAAGCTGAAGAAGAGGTTAGTCTCCCTGTTCCCTGTCCGAAGGCAGGGCTACTTACGTTCATGATGAACACGGCTATTGTCAAGCAGATGCTGAGGTAATGTCTGTAGGTTTTATCAACAGGCAGAACGGCCCATGATATCAGGAGGAAGAGACAGCATGCTGCGCTAGCGACGCAGACCCAGTTGGCTGCCGTCGTCAGAGTGTTGAAGTAATCCGGATAGACCCAATCAGTAAGCGGGCAGGGCAAGCAGCATTGCAAGGTTGCTGTCAGGTTCTGGCATAGCCGGCCTTCGATAACTATGGAAGGTCAACGACTTGATCCTTCATGCTTTGAGTCATGATACTTACACCCTTCGTCGATTGGAAACAGGCTCGCAGAGTAGAACGGTATGGGGCAGCCTCCCCTTGCAAGAGATTCGTTGGCCATGTTCGACTTATAGCTGGTGAGCGGCTAGTGTGTATATGGCGGATGAGGTTTTCGTTCGTTGGTCAAATCGGGTGGTCGCTTGGCGGTTGTCCTCTTCTGGTAACTAATACTCCTTTGGACGATGTGCTGGCGAGTACCGCAGTATGATAATGGTGCTCAACCGTAATGATATATCGTAGCTGTGACGCCAGTGGTACTGACGGCAGTTTTCGGTGCCGTGTGCCTTCTAATAGACGTGTAGTCTGAATGATTTCCCCAAGTAACGTCCTCAGTCCCGCTGAAGTCCTAGGTTCGTTTTGACTTGAACCGTATCCTAGATATTCGTATATATTCCGGCGAACGAGGCAGGGCGAGCAGCGTGTAAGTTGTCGGCGAGCTTTTGCGGCATGGGACAGAGACGTCTGGCTATGTTGCTATCGTCATGGTCCGTGAATGGAGCTGACAGGTCAGGTCAGGGCGAGGCCGGCTGATGGTAGCGTAGCAACAGCAACTCGGGGTATCAAGGAAAGACGCGAGCAGAAGCAACGACGAAGAAGCCCAGAACCGCTCAAGAGGGCCTTCGTGTGAAAAGAAGGAGGGTGGGACATCATTATGTACAACGATGCGTGGGCTACCAGGTAGCGTCCGGTCAAGTTTCCTGCAGAGGTGTGCGGGTGTGTGTGTGTCTGTCTCTCTCCTTCACTCGGCCGCTCTGGTGTGTACTTTGTACAGTCTCGTTGAACCAGTCGCGGCGCTGGTCCCGGGGTCCAGGCCAGAGATGCTGGGGTGCCACGACTCCACGGACCAGGCAGGACTCGGGAACGGGTATTTTGTGTGTGATGGGTCGGCCAACTCTGGGACTAACATGGGCAGGCCACAGTTGGGCGTGGACAGGGGCCAATAAGGGACGTGGGTGACGATGGTGGGCGTCCTTGTAGCAAAAATCCCGACGACCCTCTCTGGCGGCGACGGTGGGACGGAGCTCAGTGTGAGTGAGCTTCGCGTGAGGCGATGCATCGACGTCTGCATGCCCTATTGGGGAGGCGACAATCTTCATGGCAGGGGTGCCGAGGTTGGCGTGAGAATGGAATTGAGGGATTGATGGACCAGGCCCAGGATGGAAGAGAGGCACAGAGAGAAGAGAGGAGGGATTTCATGGCCTTCCACCCTTCCATTGTGTTGTTGGATACGATGGACGGAGGGGAGTGAAGCCTGGGTGGGGTACGGAGTAGAGGGTGTGGGTTTGATGGATGCGGACCAGGGACCGGGAAGGGTGAAAAAGACACACGAAAAGGAGAGGAGACCTGGAAGAGGAGGAGGAGCGCGAGGAGGAATAAGCAGAGGGACAGGCGCAGAGGTGGAGGAGGACTCGAGGAGGAGAAGGAGGAAACCAGAAAGAGGGGGGAGGGGTATGGGAGTGAGAGGGGGGCGTGGGCGTGGGATGGACGGGTGGGGCCTGCTCAAAGACCCACATCGGAGGCCGGGGACTCTCGACCTGGCCGGGCTGCTGTCGTGTGGCCGGGAATTCCACCTCCAGACTCCTCAGCGTCCTCCCTCCAGTTAAGGTGCTGTATCTTCGGTGGCGGACCAAATCCTGGATGCCCATCGAATGACCCCACCAGGAAAGAGACCAGTCAAGGCCGCAGACAGGCCTCAACGAGGGTATTCAGTGGATCTTTCTCCCGGTGTTGTTCAGCACCTGTCCACAGTCCACGGCGTCCCGCTAAACATTTCACCACTCACAATGCGCACAACCCGTGTCGACAAGTGTGCTGAAAACATTCCTGGGCACATTCACCCAGACGCAATATCTCGGTTGGCTTGAAATGTGCTTCTGCAGTCCCTCATTCATCAATGCCTTTTCATCACGCGAGGGGGGCACAGCACGAATTGCCCCTGGTTTGATGGGCATCATGCCGTCCAATTTGCCTTCCAACATTTTGGCATGGTTACTTGCCTTCTTTCCATGACTCTTCTTCTCTTGAACTGCTAAACTCCTTCCACGATTGGATTGTCCATCCTGTTCCTGCCAAGTCGTCAGACAGTAGTTGGTGGCGTTGTCCAAGGCAGGTTGAGGATGGATACCTTCCAGGTTGAGTACGAATACCTTCCAGGTTGACAATAAGGTAAGTGCAAAGGCAGGTAGGTACGCCGTAATTAAGGTATGTATGGAAGGAGTCACGTCTTCTCTGCGGTTGCCCGTATCCCGTGTCAGACACCTCATGACATAAGGCAGGTTCGATGGCTGGATTGGGAATGATCACTGCGAGCCCCTCGGACTCCCCTGCCTCCGTTTTTCATGCTCTTCACGTGTTCAGCCTATCATTCGAGTTATCCGGCCAGGTCCCTGTGATGTGTGCTCTTGCCGCCGTGGCCGCTGCGCGCCGGCCGCCCCTTCAACTCAACCCCAACCGTGTGACCCAATCTTGGACTTCCTAACGACCTCGATTCAACCCTCTCTACGGATAGTCTATCGTCCCTACGAATATATACATAGCTTTTGGTCGACCAACATTCGGCAGATCGTTCCCCAGAAAACTCAAACAAAGCATGCCGCGCATGGCTTCTCAAGGCCTCCCGCCAACCCAATCGATGGCTGTAACTAGCAAATCCCAACAGTGCCGTGGTCTGCCGATGCCACCTCACCTCAGCCTCTACCAACCGTTCATGCCTTGGACCTTATAACACGGCCAGCTATCGACGCTGTCTACGCTGTACACATGGTGTGGCGCGTATCGGATGCACCACCGACCGCTCCCTCGGCACGGCAGCGAGCGAGACATTGCCAGTCCAATGTCTCTCACTGACGTTTTTCCTCGTTGCAATGCGTCTGCATGTCTCACTTCAGCCCTTGCCATCACGAAGCCGACGTCCTAGTGTACCCGGTGACAATCGTCCCTCGGCTTCAGCTTTACCCGGCTTCTTTCACCGCTCAAGTTTTGCTTCCTGAGTCGACGATTCTTTTCTGCGAAACTCCAGCAACGCGATGGATCAACACCAGCCAAACGAAATACTTTAGCCATTCCCCATTGTTTGGTACTCGGGCGAGCGTTTCGAAGGCGGCTGAGCCATAGCCAGAATCTGTGTGGCTAGTGCCCGCGAGTCAGCTGAGCGGAGGGAGGCTCTTGAAATCCCAACCTTCCGGTGCTGCTGGCAAAGTGCCGAGAACGTGCATGCATCTCGCTGTGCACAGACTGGATACTAAGCAAAAGGAGCCAGAATTGACGCCTGGTGCGCTTCTGTATACCTCGTCTAATCGGTCTATTCCGCGACCAAGAATAAACGCAACATGTTGACGACTCTTTGCCACGCTGACCCACATTCGAGTCCGGACGTTGCACTTTCCTGCCACTGCGCAGAAAACGCCTCTTAATGTCTGTCGATATAGTCCTGGGCCACATCAAAGGGCCGACATGGTACCCCTGGACTTACAAAGCTGTGACACTTCTACGATTCTATGTACGGATACCCACGGCACGTACGCATACAGCACAGTGAAGGGCAAAAGCAGCCAGCCGAGTTTAGGGCTGAGCAATGCCCTGCCTGTTACGTCGCTCGTTCAGCTGAAAGGGAGGCAAACCATCGGCTCCCCTTGCTTGTTCGCAGGAACTCTATGCTCAGATCTTCTCAACGGTGAGAGAAGCAAAGATGCCAACCTGAAAGACAGAAGAGACAAGCAAGGAGGGTTTCACTTACTGTCTCGCAGAAGACTCGTTCCAACACTCAAACAATACCCAAAGGCAAAGCCGCCGTTGTGCTAGCTGCGACTAATATGGCAGCGGCTTCGGTAGTTGACAGCTAGTACGGAGTACGTATGCAGCGAATGGCTACCTAACAGATAGACATTGTTCGCCAGCAGTCTTGATTTCCAACCAGCCCCAACTGTCGAATACCGTAATGTCGGCTTTGCGAGTCAGCCAGGGAAGAGATGCTGGCAGCGATGCCCATTGCCCGCAGCGATTCTCCCAACGACCGTGTTGGTGGTTACGATGTTCTTCGAGGGCCAAGACCAACAAGCACACCCAGAAAAGGGGGCTCCACCGTTCATTTTGCCAGACGCCTTCAATCTCAAGGAACCATGCTAAGGCAAGCCCTGTCGGCCAAAAGAGATCTCTTGGGCAAGATCCAGGCGTTCCATCACTCTTGATGGATGGATTAATCGATGGCCATCTGGCCTGACCAAGTGCGTGCACGAAGACGAGGTTTCCTTCCTAGCAGTCTGGAAGGCTAGGCCTGGTACTCAGCTCCAACTCCATCAGCCAGCCCCAACCCAGTCTGGGTCACGAAACGCTACGGCTCCGGGTTAAGGTGACCATGGTCGTTGTGGCCGTCAACGATTCTGTGATCCGAATCAATCGTCAGCGCATATGCGGCCGAGTCCTCGCATGGCGTGCCGTCCCCGAGCCTCTCAGCGCTCACGACACGATCGGAAAGATGTGAATGGCCAATGTGTCTCATTGCGTTGCCCATACGAGCTCCTGCTTTGCAGATCGATTGGCAGTCACCGTGGAGCACAGCACTGAAGCAAAGCTGGGGGGTTGTGCTTCTCTTCGCTTGTCTCGGCCAACCACCAGGCCCAGCAACCTGGAAAAGATTCCAATCGATCGATACGAAAGGACGGCCTTGAACTCGCTGGGTTGTGTGCTTCGCTGACGGGTTGAGAAGCCCTGAGTGCTTCCAAGCCTAGGACCCCGTTGAGCAAAAAAGCAAATTTCAACTCGTGTCTCGGCGTGCCTTACAGCTCAATGCCCGTTACTGCAGGTTCTGAACCATCCTGACTTCTGCATGAGCTACGTACGTCTTTCGCAGAGCGGAACGATGTGCCTAACATAGGGGTGCAGCCGACACTGCGCAGCGCGGTAGGAGAGACTTCCCGCAGCTCCGCGACCCTTGAAGCCACCCCCCTCGAGTTGGAGGACCCATGTTCTTGCATAGACATGTCCATTTCGGTCAGCCAAAGACAACCACCCAGCAGCAATCCCACCCACACCTTTTACCCCTGGCACACCACCCCGCAACACGCCTCCACCACCACAAATCATAATCACCACTACCATCGCAGGCTGCTGCTCAGCTAGCCTGGTGTTCCTGGGCGTCACAATTATGTCTTCATCTACGGATATTAGTCTCTACCAAAAGGTGCACTAGACAAACCAGCGCGCCATAGTGGCTCTGTAGCCGCGGACCGATGACATCGACCAAGTTTAACTCAGTATGAACCTCAATCATCAATACACTATCGAATTGGAAATTCCGCAAGTCCAGCGATGACATCGATATTCGGATAAGGAGAAGAAGCGTTCCGAAACCAATCACACCAGTCACTTGTTCCGCTTGTACGGCTCCTGTCAAGTCTACCTTCCCTGCATCCATGACCCAGGTGTCAGGCTGTCGATGTTATTTGGTAGACACGGTAGACTCGAAACTACAGTCCGCTCTAGTATTTGGACGGCAAGCCGCATCACCGGGATATCTGCACAAACTGGAAGGCAGTTTGATCGACCCTACCCGTTAGATATCTGAGGTTCAACGCACCCACCTCATTGGCTCGAGTTGAACTTCTGGGCTGTCAAATCGTCTAGATTGACCATCACAACCTAGTGAGGCACAACTTGAGCCGTCGCAGCTGCAGGTACGACCGTATGAACCACAACCAGCTAGACAAGGAATTGCCATCACCTTCTTGATTGATCGTTCAGGACCCCAACATTACGCCTCAGGGTCGATAGCGCGGGAGAAGATACTCTTGGTCGCGACTCGCCGCTCGTCCTTTCATGTCTGCTAAATCCAAGACCTGCCAATACCAGAAGCCACGGGTAGGGGTCCTAGCTTGGCGTTGGCACTGCCCTGGTGTGACAGCCTTCGGAAGAGCTTCTCGAACACACGGAAGTGCCGCAAATTCATCGCTCGGCCGTGATTCTGAGTCCAATCAGACAATGGACGTGACATTAGCTTATGTTCAAAAGGACAAAGTCAGATTGTCGCCATTTTCATCATTTTACTCTAGCAACCAACACGCCTCCGGCCGACTTCTGGGTTGTTTGGAATATCTTGCGCATCGACAAACTCTTCGTTTCAGTTGGTGTCAAAGAAACCTTGAAAGGGATTCGAAAAAGTTCATGAGTGTTAGAGGGGCTACCTTTTCGATCAGGGTGTCACCTCTTTCTGGAAAGGTTGAGGATCCGGACCACTCGGGGAAGAGGCTTGACCACACCGTCGGGACCTGAAGCCGAATCATGGTCATCGCGAGAGCCCCGCTGTATGCATGCTCAATGTAACAGCTACCGTGGTCCACGAGCCTAGCCCTTGCTGAGTACAACAAGAAAATTCTGGACAGAACAAGCCAGTGGCCAGCATTGCTTCGCTGTTAGAGCTTAGCAATGGCTTCAAGTTGATAATTCCTACCTCATTGTCGCAGCCGAGGAGGAGGTGTCCGGCTCGCCTGTATCATCGGTGCCTGATAAGAACCGCAACGGATGACGGACGACTTCACTTGGACCGCAAGCCGACCCCTACGGTCTGACGAATCGATGAAGGATTCCACCACGACGCACGACGCCCAGACCCAGTAAAAACATGGTCGGCTAAGCTCTAACAAGACCCTCGGTGAGAAGGCCCGGAGCCGGATCAGATCGCCAAGTTAGTTCGGGGTTGGGCTGGCCGGTAGACGGCGTAGACCATGGAAGACCCAAACGCGAAAAGCACGGCTCTTGTTGAGAAAGAAACATTGATCGAGTCATATCGAATAGCTGCAGGCATCTATCATCGGGCAATGAGGACCCTGAATGATCGCGACGATGACACTAGAGCCGGCTGTAATACTGTACGGAGTAGCGCCGTGGTCCATTCCGAACCGCCAAGGCCCGTCGGGGTTTTAGGTCTTTCCCCTCGCAATAAGTCTCGGGTTGCATTCAAAGGACACGCACGAATAGGCAACGGAGTCCCCCGGGGAAAAAAAAAATACACAAAACAACAGGCGCCTGTGGAAGCCTAACGGAGTCCTGGAGGGAAAAAACCACTCGAATCCGTGGGAGGCGTAGACAGCGCCGACCGAGCGGGTCCGGCACCGGGCGACCAGCAGTTTTCGGGAGGGAAACTAGCCCCATTTGGCCAGCCTCCCGAAATGGTAATCCAGAGATTCCAGGGGCAGCGAAGCAGCGAAGCTACGCCGCACTCCGCACGCATGGCGGCCGAGTGGTGGCCGACCAAGGACGCGTCGGCCTGTCTTGAAGCTTCTAGGGCGCACCTTGAAGAATTCCGTCAACGGCTGTCAGTCGCGGGTAGTCGTTTGTCTACTTACACAGTTACACTAACGTGGTACTAACAGTTCGAGGTGCTTGTGGTGCAGAGTACTCCGTCACTCCGTATAGGTGATGGGCTCACGCCTTTCCTGGGGCGCCCCGCCAGTAAACTCAAGCCAAGATCTCTCTTCCCCTCATCAATGCGTGACGACACATCCTGATATCAAGAGCGACGCTTGTAAGCACGCGTTCGTCACGGCAGGTCCACTGGCTCACTCGCATAGGTCCACCGTCCACCGAGCAAGCCATAGAGCCTGTCTTCTCCGATCTCGAGTTCTCAGGAAAGGCAACGAAGCACATAAGGGGAATGGCTTCCGCTACCCGGTCCGGATGCCACCCACATGGCGTGCCTGCGAGCACGTAGTGTACAGTGCAGCGTGTCATAGGAAGCGGGACGTTCCATAGAGACTGAAACCCGTCATACCATCTTCTCTCGTCAGCCGCAAGATAGCATCGAAGAAGAGAAAACGACTGGTCACCTTGCGAGACTGCAAGAGGCAATTCAGGCGCAGGCCATGTATGGGAGGGAAAGGCCTCGCCGCGCCGGGAGAATGTCCATTTTGCAACAGCGGCAAGGCGCAATCCAGGCATCCTCGAGATTTTTTGATTCCGATCTCGACCGAGCTCTCTGAGCATGCATCCCACTCACTGCTCACATCTGATAAGAGCCAGCTACCGATACAAGTGCCCGTATTCCACAGGTACCCCGTCTAAAAGGAAGCAACAGCAGACGGCCCCTCTTTGGGCGGCAATATATCAACGTGCCCTTGGACCAAATGCCGCTCGGGGGCTCGGAGCAGTGTAAACCTTATCAACTGTCAAATTGTTAAGAGCGGAGGCATTTACGATTGATTCGGACAAAAGAAAAAAGGCCCGTCCACTTTTCCAAGGCACCTTATCCACGTCGCGCTCTGGGAACGCAATCGCATCCTGGGCAGACTCTGCAAAGACCAGGACTAGGTGCCCTCTCACCACGTTCATCTCATCCACTTCCCCACTAGACTGTTTTTTTCTTGCCCCTGGCGCTCCAAAGAACCTTTGGGTCTTTGCCCCCTCCTCGAAACCTCGAAAAAAAACCAACGGACCAACGGTTCCACTACCTTCCAAAAGAAACAAAGCAACAATGTGTCAGACTGGCCAGGGTCGAGCTCGTACCCTTGATATGGTAATTCTGGCCAATGGGCCGTACTGAATGTTGAGCTGTTTGCCTGTCAGATACCAAAATGAAAAGGGAGCCAGGAAGCTTGCCCCCGCGAAACGACTTCATTAAGCAGGGCTTTGCTCGAAGCGACGCTCATTTTGGGTCTCAGCCCATGGCGGGCTCGACTTGAATCCACAACACAAGCGAACAGGCATAATAAACCCTGTGGGTTGGAACCGAACACACGGCTATCCTCCCTCAAATATATGAACCTCTGGTCAAAGAGGCGACGTTCATGGTACGATGACGACGATAACAGCCAAACTTCACTGCAAAATTCGACCTCTATTCAGGAGCTCACATGAAACACTGAATAGACAGCAATGGACTGCCACCTCCACGCTCCTGGCTCGGATTGTCAAAGCAGCTTCTACCGGGGACATGGCAGCTCCAGAGTCTTTGTGCAATTGATTCTGACCTCCTCCAGAACTGTGGTCATACGGATAGGATGCCAATGCATGGCCCACCACGCGATTTCGCCATTTATCCTTCATTTGGTCTTCCTCAAAAGTCTCACACCCACAACTTTGAACTCCATGAAATCCTTCGAGCTTCCAGGATGCGTATGCACCCTCAGATGCAGGCACAAGTCGCATTGAGGCCGCGGGCCGTAGGTGTGGTCGGTCGAAGTAACGTGAAGGGTGTGTGAGATGCATCTTGGCATCGCGGGTACACGCCATCCGCTCGCAGATGCTTACTGAGGAGTCGTGGGAATCGCATCACTATCCATCCCCCTTCCACGAGGCCGGATTGGGGGCCCTTTTTTTTTTGCACTTGCTATGCAACGATCTATCGGTCTCCGCATGCCGTCAGGGTTGTTCTCTATTGTTTCACAAAGCCTGGCCCCCGGAGTCACGCCTTGGGAGTGGAATCTCTTTCGGAGGATCAGACAAGAAAGTCCCCTCTTTGTAAATCGCCCAGCCTTCTTTCTCATGGTTCATGGCCTGCCAGGGCGGTGGCTCAAGCCTCAAAGAGACCGACGGACATGGGAATTGGCCGGTCCGATTAAATCCTCCAGTGGGCCAAGTCCTGGTGAGGAAAGGCGCAACGGGTCTCTCTTCTAAGTTCTCACACCGGGAGCCTTGCGGCCTGGGGAAGCGCCGGTCGACTTTCTACAAGGAGAAATGGTATGACTATGAGAGACGAACCATCAAGGGCCGCGATGCGGAGAAGAGCGACGAGGCTTGCGGGAGCCCGCGGGAGCTCATTTCACGAATGATTTCCCCGATTCTGCAGAGGGGTCTGGAAGAGGAGAAGCTGGCCGGTCTTGGGTCTTGGTGCGCGGCACAGCTCGTCAACGCGACGTACCGCTTCTCATGTACATGCGGTTGGAATCAACAACATGCAGGCCAAGATTTCTACACAGGAGGCCCAGGCCGAGGATGGCGTTCGCTAAGAAGCCCAGAGGAAGAAGGGGGGGAAAGGGTAACGGACGACCACAGACGCCCATGAGCTGTTTGCTGAGTGCCCTGCCAAGTACCAACTACGCCCCCCCGGATTCCTTCAACTGTCGATGTTGGGAGAATTTATCCCACTCACACGCCGTCTGACAGTTCATTTCGCGAAATCAATCCGCTTATGGACTGTGCGTCTGGACGGCACAGATAAGGCTAATGATGAGCGGGCTAGCGTTGCGACTATTGACATAACCCTCGCTGCAAATCTACCAGAAATTTGGAAAAAGCGAAGCCCAGGAGCCTCAGCGACGAGGATTTTGTCCCAGAGGAGGTCTGGATACGACGTTGGGGTTCCGTTCAGTGGGATTATCCGTCTTTGTGATCGACATAACTGCTCTGCCGTGGTGGGCAGAAAGAGAGGGATAAGAACAAACAACAGATTTGGGGTCCGATGATCCGACGATGGGGTTCAGACGTCCCCGTAGTGTAACTCGTACTACGGACATTTCTTTCTTTTTTTGGTCGTCGATTTCGTTCGACTCAATCCGTATCCGTACCTGACCACGACGACGCACCGGTTCAACGACGAAATATCCACACTTGATGAAACCTCTAGAAGGACCGTCGAAGAGGTCTAACTGTTTGACTAGAACTGAGACATTGCTAACTTTGGCCTAGAGCTGCGTGCTGGCGTCAGGTAGCGTCGTATTGCGCCGTCTGTCAGAGGGCTTCCACCCGGCGGTATTTCGTGCTCGTAGGGCAATGATCAACGGTTTGATGGCCCTTTTTCGGTTGGTCATTCGAGGCTTGATTTTGTTTTGTTTTTTGGGTCTATCGAACAACAAGTGGAGGGAGCGTCTTTACACTTTCCGAGCGATTCCGATACCACGTCGGCATTACACGTAAGGCTTTTCTTCGATGGCATGTCTCACCTCTTTTTTTTTCCCTTCCTCCTAGCCCTTCTCGCGGGGCAAAGGCGGGGTGAGAGTTCTGTCTAATTTCTGAGCTTTGACGGGGGGTACTCCGTAGCGTTGTTCGATATTTGCTATACACCCTCTTAGACGTCTTGGGGGGGGGGGGGGGGGGGGGCAGAATGCGTGACTGACTGACCGGCCGTTGTATCGATTCAAGTCGGTCTGGCTGCGAACCTGCGGTGTCCTTTCGGTACTGACACCCACAACGGTGGTGCGTTGGTCGAATGTCTCAGTCTCATTGTCTCAGTCTCATTGTCTCAGTTGTGCATCGCCGAGGTTGGGGAATCTTGAGAGGGGGGGCGGTTTTGGTCCTTTGAATCAGTGTTCATGAGGCCCCGAGGACAGTGTCGTATTCTTGAGGCGTCGATTTGTCGGCCGTATGGTGAGGGATGAAGTTGCTAGCCAAGCTTACAGCGTATACAGATGCTGTCTTCTGATGGGATGAATGAGGTGTTGCTTGCGAGTGAAGACCTCGTTCATCTGTTGATTGCTCGAGGAGAGGGGGATGATAATTGGTCTTGGTTGAAACCGAGGCAGATGGGCCCCGGGGAAGATCTCCAAGTGTTGATCATGGGCTGTCGATGTGCGGGGTTCGCGCGGGTGGTCTTGTGGCTTTTTGGTCACTCCAATGATTGGCATTTGCAAGTGTTCCTGCCTCGGTTGATGATAATACCTTTGCTCTTTATCTTATGATATTCTATGGTTTGCAAAAGCGCGGAGGTTAGAAGGGGGGAGCGGCCAGACCCGATCCAATTTCTACTCCAGCGAGCGCTGGGAGGACTAGAGAGAAGAGCCGGTTTGCAGACTATCGAGCTGGGTGTTTCTTCGAGGAGTTGCGTTTGGGAGAGAATGGGGGTAACGGCGGACCGAGTAGTCGGTCCTTTCTTCGTCGACTTCCATCCCTGGTTCAGTTTTCTGGATGATCAGCTTCGCCCGGATGGGAAGTTCTCCGAAGAGGGTCTATTTCCATGAATCTCTCATGTTACCGATGAGGTTCTTCATGATTTGATGGTCTCCCACCCCCGAAGAAGTTACCGAGGTGTTCACATTACTGGTAACTTGGCGCGTCGGCCATTGCTCGGTGGTGGTGTGTACTCGTTTTACTTGCATCGGGCAGAGAGCACGTCGCGGTTGGAGGGTGCGATTTTGAGGAAGGCCTTGGGGTGTCACTGATGGTCTCTGGTCTTGGAGGGTTTCAATGAAGTTGAGGGTCAATGGGACATGGTCTTGGGTTCTTGAGGAACGTGAGCAAATAGTAGAGTCGGGGTTGGGTTATTGGCGGGTAAGGGCTGATGCTTGGACAAGTGGAAGCATGTGTCAAGTTTTGAGGAGGGTGTTAATGGCATCTGAAAAACGTCTTGGTGCAATCTAGGTGACCGGGCCTGGTGGGATAGGATGGATCCATATCATTCCACAACCTAGGTTTGAGATAGTTATGCTGTCGGACATGCCTCTTGCTGCAGGTTAGCCGGCACTTGTTTTATTGTAGAGCCGGAACGATATCGTACATGTCTTCATACAAGCTTCGTAGCCTCGCATTGGTGGACAAGCTCTCTAAGATTCTTCATGGTATATCCACTTCTTACTTCAGATGAACTTTCCAACTCACGGGACTAATTCAGTTCTTTTTTTTTTGGCATTCGCTAAAGCAGTGTTCATAGCAAGGTAGTCGAGTGTAGCACCCATCCAAAAAGGTCGATGATGCCCACAGTTTCTCCTTGTATGTTCTACCAGGTTGCCCAATCGCTATTTTCCTAGTGATTTACTTAAACCTCTCTCGTTCGCACAAGTCTCAGGGAACGAGGTAGTATCATCGAGATTCGAGCCTTGTGTCTCTATTTCCCCTCTAGATTCTGGAGTGCGTCATGCAAGGTTCCAAGTTCCTCCCTCTTGCCTTGGACCTTCCATGATACACATCCAGGCGAAACGAGAGGTGCAGGTTTCTGAATTCTTTGGTTCGATGATCTCCACGGAACCAGAGACTCGTCATGATCTCCAGAGAAAGAGTCGTTGTCGACGTGTTCTTGCAATAGATCCTGGGAAGGACTACAGTCTCAACATGCGACAAGGGTGATCAATTATTTATCTATCTCTTAATCGTCCAATTTTACGCACGTCATCAATTCGCTCTGTGTTCTGCATAGATATCATGGGTTATCTTGACACCAAACATAGCTGTGTTCTAGGGTGCAGAACACGTTTCTGTTTGAGGAGCGTAGTGCGTTTGTCGTTATTCGACTCTTCGCTTGTGAACTCATATTTCATCTGGTTGCAGTCTCTCATCTTGCTCTTTCTCGCAGAAGTTCCATCCCTGTTTGGATAAGTCTCGAGACTCTGGACGAAGAGTTTGGGAATGATACACAGCCTAGGAGAAAGGGCCCACTTTCAGATCTCGGGATCTATTGTTCGGTTCTCAGGTGGCCTTTGTCCTACGAACAATTGTTACAGAGACTTTTCAGCTCCAGCGGTTGTCTAGCAGCAGGCCGTACTTCTATCCACGTTCATCGAGTAAACTACTTCTCTTCTAGGGCACCCGGATTTCACTACAGTCTTTTTTTTTCTTCTTGCCAACCCATCAGCGGTCTCGCTCATAATCCTAACATCGATCTCGGGGGTTTGTGGAGTATAAAAGCCTATGGCTCGCCCGATTTCCGTGATCTTGTTCTGTAGGTCAGATCTTCTGTCATGACTGTGGCTGAGAAACAATGAAAGTGACGCCATGGATTGGGGGCTCCCTCTTCTGCGTCTAGTACCTGTATAGAAAGAAGAGATATGAACAAGGGACATTAGAGTGAGCCGGGCTGTGTGAGGCGTTCATCTTTGCTTCGTTCTTGTGGATTATCCCTTGGGTAACATTTCGAAAGGAACGGAGAGTAGTGTCCGTGGAAAGCACATGATGATGATTTGGAAGCCGGACGTCTTATCTCCTCCGACTTCTGACCAGCTTAGTTACAAGATTGACGTGTTGGCATCGAACTCGGGAAGCCTGACCCAGATATTACATTCCACCTCGATCTGTGGTCGGCCTCCTTCAAACAATTGCAAAAGCGACTTTTATATCAAAATAATATAAAGAGCCTGCTAGGAATTTTCTAATAGATCTAGTCTATATCTTCTGGGTCCTGTTGCGGCCAGCCTCGGACATTCTCGTCGCAATATCTCATTCACGTATCATCGCCAGCAAAGTGTAGCTGCCTCGAAGGAACGACGTGCTTGTCGATGTAGGGGCCCCTCTTGTTCAAGTTACTAGGAGATGATCGATAATTCCTTCCTTTGCCTTGGCCATTGTCCGCGTTCCACCCGGCGGTGGGAGCGGCCCCGGACGCTGGGCCGGCCCGTTGAAGCCGAAGGTCGGAAACCATGGGTTTTGAGCCTTACTGCCGGTCGTTTGATCGGACAAACTCTCTCATGCGGTTGGAAAGTCGAAGTGAGCAATACCTGACGCGGCGCCCAAAACAACTTAGACCTCATCGACCGGGCCACCTTGCCGCCGTTGTTGTCATTCAATGGTGGGAACAGGTACGTCGCGTTCCTTTTTCCCATAAGCTGTTCTTTCAGATAATCATTCTCGAGATTAAGCTCCGTCTCCGGATGTAGTACAGCCAACAGCGTTCTTGCCTCTCTGGAGAATTGCTCTGGTGGCTGCGCGGGTGACACTGACTGGATCGCGGCTACATGCCAACGGCCTGACAAGTTCAAATGCAAAGAAGCGTCGTCTGGGAAGCTGCCTGCCTGCCCACTTTCTGGAACAGTCAAATAGTGGGTAGGAAGCCCTTCGACTGACAGTCGTCCCTCATGGCCGGCTTCAGCAGTCGTCCAAAGTCTCACCGACCGAGCAACAAGTTCATCGACTTGTCCAGAATAGATGGTCAGCCCCCAAGTCGACACTGCTTCACTTCATGGAAAGAAGATATCTTGTGATCTCTGGAGAAAGGAGACATCCAACCTGCAGCATCCTCAGCTTGCGTACCTTCCGCGTTGCGCCAACATCCACCTCACATCACCCAGGTCACCAATTTCAAAAGAGCCCCAAATATCGCCCTTTTTTTTTTGTCTTGACAACTCGTAACAAGGCGCAAAAGGTAGCCAGAAGGCAAAAGAAGCTCCTCGACGGGGAATTGAACCCCGGTCCCCTGCGAATTGTTGATTTCTCAAATGACAAGCAGATATCCTCACCACTAGACTATCGGGGATTGGTGGATGTGTGCATCCAGTGATAGTCGGTTGGGGGGAGAGGCGGGTTTAGCATAGATGGAGCCTTCTCAATAGTGCGGTGGGGCACATCAGGGCAAGTGAGTAGGGTGGTCGCGGCGTACCACCAGTTTTGATGGATCAGTCAATCCCAGTTCAGGTGAGGAGCTGAGAGATTATTTGAAGAGCCAGAAATGAGAATAGTTGGATTGAAAGCCGGGCAAACGTTTGTGGAATGGAGAGGCAAGTGGGTGTCACAATAAGTTGCCACTCGAAGCCTTAGCTTTACTTCTACTGCCATTGCCAGTATTATTAATTTCTATCTCTTACAGAATACGCCTTGGAAAGCGTATGGTAATAACAACGTTGGTTACGATGCCTGGTTTCGTACCTAGGTCGTGAAGTACTGCATGACGCAAACTGAGCAAGCTTGCGAAATGGCGATCAACAAGAAGCTATGACTCAAAGTTGAGGAGGATGCTGAGGCACTAGAGAAACGGTGTGCTGAATATAAAGTAGGCCAGCGTGCAAGTCTACAATCTCACGAAGTTGCTTGCGTGAGGGCTGACATACACAGACCCAGACACCCTGCGAGTCTCGAGACTTGTCTTTGAGCGTTGTATAGAGTTGTGAGGTTAATCACTTGTCCACCCACCTCCTCCTTATCCAGCAGGACCGGTCCAGCCGGGCACACCTGAGTAAGACTATTCCGCAGATAGACCAAGACACGCACAGATGCGGCGCATATTATCCACCATTCGTCATGGCTCTGGTTAGTTATGAAGCCCAAGATTATGGCCCTGCACCTGCCGTTCGTGCTGTGACATTCAACCACTTCCGAAATCGGGCTGCTGCCTTGCGTGTGCGAGATTGCAATGTTCTGATCTTCCTCATCCTACATGCGAAGAAAAGCTGAGCCATCTGGGACGGATAGAGGTACTCGAGTCACCTGAATTGGAATCACCTAATATAAAAATGTGCTTTTATCCTTTTCTTTTTGCTATCTACCCAAAACAATATTGAGTCTCGTCTCCCGGGCTGGACTGAACCTTGGCCCATTCTTCCATCTCGCACAAACCCATCCATGATGACGCTGCTTCACGACCTTCTAGACGGCTTGCGCTGCTTTTCCAGCACCGAAGGCGACTCAGAAAAGCCACCTGGATACTCGAATTGGGGATTCACAATCTATCACACCGAGTACGACGGCCCATCCTGGCAAAGTTGGGAAGCACTTCTAGCCAAGATCCGGACTCAGGTTGTCGAGGAAGTAGAGAGAAGCCGAGAAGACGGTGAAACGCAGAGGCAGTCATTCAGATTCTAGCCTGCTCTCGGGCAAATCAATAGACGAGCTTCGTCAGCTGTTCCTGAATCCAGCGAGCAATAGCTTAGCAGCCGCACAGGGAGAAGCAGCCAACCAATCTTTCAACGCGGAAACTTCACCTTTGTCTTTCACTCACTTGAATTACTTTCTCCTTCCCGACGCCGAGGTGTTGGAAACCCCGGAGTCATGGGTGAAAGTGCGTGCAGGCGGACTACGTGGCGGCCAAGTACGGCCCCAGGAACACGCGGCTCGGTGGACAGCGATACTTTGGATGGACGAAGATGACGACGAACAGTCTTTTTGTGATTTGTGGAGGAGACTTACTCTCGACGAATTGCAGAGCATTGCGCCGCCGACGATCGGGGGCATGCACCTTGTCACTTGGGACGGTGAGTGACAGCTGATGAGAATGAATATATCGTTGCAACTTGTAATGACTCTTAACGAATGAAGTTACCAGTAAATTGTCATCAAATTCCCCTCTCTCACCTGAGTCAAAGCCAGATGTGTTAATCTGCAGAGTAACCCAGTTGAGCCTCTAATGCCCTCAGAACCTCCATCACTTGGGCCTCCTGGAGCTCCCCTGAATGATGTCAGTGTCCGCGCATCGCCCGAATGCCGGTGCGGACATGGGTTTCCGTGTATCTTATTATCTACGGATAGAACTCAGCTTACCCACTCGCGCCAGTAACTGCCAACATGCATCTGGTTGTTCGGGTTGCGCGCGTTCCACGTCCTCGCTCCGTGATCCCATTGTTGGCAGGATCTGCGTCCAAACGAGTCTCTTCCGCCTCGTGAATCCTTCCCTGGACGGTCTAGCCGGCAAGGCGTGTACTGGGCCGTTGGGGATTCAGAGTGCCCTCTGCGTTAGACCGACGTATTCCTGGAACGTGACGACAGCTCCTTCGGAGAGCTCTTTGTCTTCTCGCTCAGCTGGCGTTACCAGTAAGTCCTTCTCCTGTCTCGTCTTCGAAGAAGGTGGCGGCAAGATCTGCCTCGGCGGCGGCGGTGATTGTGATGGTGCCGGCTTCGTGATGGGGTTCAAGCTGGCTTGACGGTTGTGTGTACCTAGGAGGCGACGAGTATAGGGAGACAGCATCTTGTAAAGGTGACTTGAGAAAGACTTGGGACGGTAATCGATCCGAAGTTGGCTTCATCAGGGAAGTAGCAAAGGCTGCAATGCCCCCATCTCTTACTTACCGCTCGCCCCAAAGCTACAACTGAAATAATCTGATGAGAACTGTGTTCATCAGAATTCATCTCAAGACATTATTCACTGCTGTCTACCAATGAGCCTAACTTCACAACCACTGGCCCTGAACAGCGATGTGAACAATCGGGTCCCGCGGCCGGATCTCTTCCAGAAGCTAAGGCAGCGAGCGGATCGATCCATCTAACGGATTTTGGTCTGGTAACGAATCTTCATTGTTTCAAGAAAAGAATCCGCATGTAAGAGAAGTACCTAGCTTGTCACAAAAGAATCGATAAAGGAGACATAGAGACATTAAAGATCCAAGTTTTAGACAGATGGGTATCTATTCTATTGACGAGCGCAGGGGGTGAGAACCACCCTGTTTCTAGCTTTTTTTTGGCCATTAGGTATTGCACTCTAATCTGTATGCCGACATGTGTTGGGCGACAAAATCATGTCGATGCAACAGTATCGACAGCTCGCACCACACAAAGGTGAGTACCGTTTTTCTGTTCGGTACCGGAGCGCCTCTTCTCCAAAACATGGCCAGCCCGCGCTGGGAGCTCGCCTGTTGAGCGGAACCGGAGCGTGCTACTTTGTTGAAAATAGCAGCGTCCCATCTAGCCATGCAAGATGTTAAAGTTTTATGGGCTGACAAACATCGATACTCTGGCAGCTTGTCCTTCCGAACTACCAAGAAGTGGCGGTCTTGAGGTGGCGTCCCAGCGTCTTCATGCGGATGGCTGGCTTGCGGTGATCGACATTAATATTTGGGCTGCCACAGTCCAAAGTGACAGACCAAGAGCCGAGAGACGCTGGATTGACAGACACCAAATGGCGCCTACGGCGTTTTGGAGCAAGACCGCGATGTAGCCGCCTCAAAAGGCAGACAAAACGCAGTAAACTCCGAAATGAAGTACCCTGGAGAAGTATAATGTAGTATGACCGCATCAAAGCAAGCTTCTCGACAATCGTATCACAGGCAGGACACGACTGACAGATCGAAGCAAGCCCGAGCTAACGCGGCATAGATTCACGCCTCAGCCTCAAAAGACGGAACACTCTCCCTGTGCCTGCCTGAAGGCATTCGCAAAGAACGACTGCATGGCAGTGTAGTGGAACAAGATACCGCCGAGAACCGCCAGATGCCACAGATTGTGGCTTCCGCCAATGTAGTCAAACATGCCCGGGCACCAACGTTCGGGAATCTTGCTGGCGTACACAAAGGCACCAAGAAGGTACACAAAGATACTCTTGGCAATAGGCGTGTAGAATTCCCAGACAAAGTCAGGCCCGTGGGAGAAGTAGAGCTGCAGGATCGGCAGGAACCCCGTTGCGCCGAGGCCGCAGAAGAAGGCGACACGGGCCCACGCCATCTCGGCTCCGTTAAAAGTCGGGTGCCAGGGGAGGATGACGCCGCCGATGCCGAGGACGGCCGTTGTGCCCATGTACAGCCAGCGGCTGACGGGATCGCAGTAGAAGGCCGTGTACTCGGTTGTGACGATGGATGCTGCAATAAGAAGCGAGATGCCTGTGTAGTCTACGCACGCAAAGATGCTGATTGCGTCCACGTCGGCGACGGCGTTCATGGTGTGCCAGATTGTCGAGCATACCAGTGTGAGGCACGCTGTGAAGAAGAAGACAGCGGCAACGAAGATGTCCGTCTTGGTGCTGAACTGGAAGTTGGTATTGCGGGGGTAACAGTAGAGGGCGACGGCGAGGACGATGACAAGGCCGATGGCATGGGACCAAATGTTGACGAGCTCGTTCGAGGGGCGGAAGGCCGACCAGATACACTCGAGCTTGGACTCGGTAAAGCGGTATCCATCACGAATATGCGGGTTGATGCGCCACGGCATAGGAAGGTCGTCGTATGTGATGAGCTTCGTCTCCCTGGCCCTCGCGACGGCATGGGCAATCTTTTCCTCCAGATCCTGAGCGGCGCGCATGGCCCTCTCGATACCCTCGTCGACAACCTCCCGCGCGAGCCCGATGCTCTCGTCCACAACCCTTCGGCCCTCGTTCATGAAGGCGCTTGCCGTATCGGCGGCATTAGCGAGGCCTTGCTCCCGCAACTTGTGCGCCTTGTTCTCAAACTCGGTGAGCATGTCGTCTAGGAGCTCGATGCCGACGCGGGCCTTCTCGTTCAGGGACTCGGCCGAGGCCAGGGCGCCCTGGTACCGGGCCTCGAGAGTCTCCACCATGATGTGCAGGCGCCTGCGGCCGGCGCCGAGGACCTCTTCCGAGGCAGAAGAGCAGCGAGCGCGGACGGTCTGGAGAGTGGAAAAGGCGCGGGATATGCTCGAGTCAAAAGTGAGCTCGCCGTAATTTTCGAGGAATTCGAGGCGCCGTTCCAGTTCGGTCAGGAAGAGGTCGACCTGTGGAGGAGTGTTGTCAGCACGTCTCGCTTCCCACCACATCCGAATTTTGTTCACACCCCCAACGTCTCGGTTGACGGGAAACGTAACCACGAACAACGGCTGAAGTTTGTGAACACAAGTTTGCATACCTTGAGTAGCAAGTGCTCCTCGCCGTCCATGATTTGGTTGACAATGGACTTGCGTCTAGGAATGAAGTGGGAGTGTCGTCTTTTCCGAGCGACTTCGGATCCTTCAGTCTGAGCTCCAGAGGCGGTGGCCGTGGTAAAGTCTTCGTCGTCCTGGATGGCGGCGCCGCTGCAAGATGATTTGAGGGAAGCCATGTTGGCAATGGGTTCCATGACTGAGCCAACAAGAAGGCGGGAATAAGTATTAACAGAAGCACCTCGGGTATGCTTCAAGCAAAAACAACGTTCGGGTTAGGGGGCTCGGCGGTAGAGACCGCAGCCAGGGAAAAGGTTGGTGGGAATCCGGGATATTGAACTATGTCGGTCTCGCCTTCGTATCGATTTACACGTGCAAGTATGGTCCCGCAGTTGTGGTTTTGGTTGTGTTACACTGAAGATATGCGGTGTTTTGGTGATAGGGAGTGCGTTTGTGTGTGGTTTGTAGATTGCGGGACGAGTCGATGTTTACGGATAAGCCCACGAGCGGGAGGCGATGGCAATTATTGGCTTATACACCCAGCGGGAGGGGAGGGGCCTTGGCGTAAAGGGCGGGCGGTGGAAGGGTGGAAGAGTGGAGGGAGCGTGGGAGGGAGGAGGAGGGAAACGGGAAGAGGAATGCAGGTCGGTCAGTCAGATACAGACAGAGACCGAAAAGAAGGGACCGAAAGAAGCAGCTTCTCCAGGAAATGAAAAAGCGTTCGAAGTCTGTTGAGGTAGTTGAGCGGCGGCCGGATCTCAACAATGCGGAAATCGGATTGGCCGGGGCGTAAGGACGGAGAGGAGCAGGCCGCAGATCGACAGAACAGCTGGACCCTGGTGCCTTTTTTGGGGAAGGTCAAGGGGAATGGATGGATGGATGGGATCGGATGGCGAAATTCGTTGCGACCTGACTGTACTTCGTACGGGTGCTCCGTGGGGAGAAGTACTTCTTGGGTGCTTGTCTTGCGAAAACAACAAAAGCTCCTCGGATCAGATCCTTTTTGCACGTGCGTTTTGTTTTGTAAAGTAAGGTATGGGAGACGGGAGGACAGTGTAAGCAAATGGAGCCAAGAGATACGAGACGGAGCTTTGGCAGTTGAGAAAGAAACTGAGAGACAGAGCGGGAGGCGAATTCCTCAGATTGAACTGGTGCTTTGTTGCAGCAGCAAGATGCAAGTAGGTATTCCGCAGGGTGACCAAGGTAATTACGGATACCGAGAGCGATCCGAGAAGGAAAGGAAAGGAGAAGGGAAACAGAAAACGAGCAAAAACACGGAGTCAGTGAAGAGGGAATTGCGAATGAGTTACGGAAGCGCCCAAGCCAAGCCAAGCTGCGCAAAGTGAATATAGTATTCGTAAGGTACCTTGCAGAGACCGGGATTGTTGGCTCTTCTCATCTCGGGGCATGTGGGCTTTTCTGCAGCTCTAGAGGGACATGAGATCCGCCATCGGAACAAGACACGAGAGCGAGAGAGACTTGATGAAGAATGGGAGACCAACATAAACCAGAGACCAGATGGGACTGTTCAAGACAGAAGAGACATATCACTGACCAAAACATCAAAAAACACCCCAAGAAAGCAACTGCCCTGAATCTCTTGAACGGTTGAAAGGGAAGCAGCATGAACAGACACCTTCTTTCCCAGGGCTGTTCGGTTCGCTTTGCTGTCCCCGAGCGGGTACAGCGCCTGCATGGTCCGGTAAACTTCGGCCCCAGCCCAAGGCGCGCGTGCCGTGGCGTGGCGGGCCTTTGATGCGCGCCACCAATCGTCGTCATCCGTTCGTTCCTCGCACCCCCCGTTCCCACAAGGGACGGTGGAACGAACCTCCTTACCCTCCTGCTCTCTTTCCCTCTTTTGTCCACCATCCGGCACGAGTGCGCTTACTGCAGCAGCTGCAGGATCGAAACACAACAGTTGCCAGTTTGGTACAAACTAGTGTAAGATCTTCAGAACACGCGTGTATGCCAATATGCAGCCCGTTGCCGACTTTGCCTTGCTGCTTGCCAATCGCCATTGCCATGCGTACGATGTGTAAGAAACGGTAAAAACCAAGCCTTGGGATGACGACCAGCCCGGGCCGTCAATGCCTTGTCCGAATTGGACGGGGCAGGGTATGGTCCGTCAACGGCCAAGGAAAGTGGAGAAAAGCCATGCTGATATGCTGTTTAGCATGTGCATGAAAAGAGCTCCGAGAATCAAAACTAACAAAGCAAACTGAAGAACAGGCGGGGTTGAGGTTTGGGAAACCCATCAAGTGTCATGTGTTTTGAAAATGGCAGGAATGAAAAATGACGGAACCCCAAGCTCCTTCTTAGGCCTTTTGAGGTCTCTTCTCAGGTAGGTAGGTAATAGCTTCAAAATCGCGGGAATCACTGTTTCTCTTACACTCTCATTCGGGTCTTCCCGCTTCTGATGCGCACCTTAGTTAGTCTGTGGACAGCACGGCAGTCCAAAAGGCTTGGAGAGAGAGATGACGCTCGACACTGGGGGAAATTCCCGCCCTAGCGTGCCTTGTGATGACAACCCAAGACCATTTCTAATTGTCTTAGACTCTTGGTACGGCATCCAAGGTACAGAGGATGATGTAGTAGTTCTAAAGCACTATGCGATATGGCTTCCGACTAGTCGACCATGGCGGGCACTACTTACTTTTGTATGTAAATGTTCGGCCCTGTAAGCTTGTGTTAAGGTATCACTTGCCTGGCGTTTGACGAAGCATGTGCCTCACCAGACATACGGCCCGCCGGTGTCTTGTCTCATGAAATCTGCCCAAGCATGAACTGGCCCAAATGCGTGAGCAATAAGCAGAACGCCGCTCGTGGCGGGTTGTACTGCTAAGAATTGGCTCACTTCCTGATAGTTGAAGAAGGTGGTGGTGGGACGGGAGCTGAAGCTGTGCCTACCTACCTGGAAAGCACGGTCCCATCCAATCCAATCAGGTCCGCCTTGCGGTGCGGCTGCACTGATTTTCCAACGTCCGCCGTGGTAGGTACGGTGGTGACGGGACCTACGGGAGCATTGGCTAAGGCATCGGAAGCAGTCTAGATCCAACACCACGGTCCACGCTTTCGACTTTGGAGGCGCACTCTCGTTTACTGGTACCACGAGAGCCACTAGTTAGCCATTACTGCTTAAGCAAATCACAAGGCTGTCGTACCCACTCACCATCCGCCTGTTTGCGCCCATCCATCCCAAGTCGAGAAAGCTTCCGCGTCCCCATTCGTCAGATCGCCCGACTACCTCACCTCCCTTCAGCCTTGCGCGTGCGCGACAAGAGAGACACGAAATCCAACTTCGTCCCGAAGCTTCACGAAACCCTTTTACTTCTTACAAATACCCCATCAAACAAACCCGACCGCAGCGGCGAACCATTGACGAACCCTTCCTACCGAGACCGACCACCAACCATCACCAAATTTCTCCCCATCCCTCACCGTCAACTCTTCACGCAATCGCACGAACAAAAAGCACCCCCCAACAAACCGCAACAATGGTAGTTAACGAGCTCGTATCAGACAAGAAACTCGGCGCGGTCCTCCAGACCTCAGGCTACGCCCAAGACCAAGCCGCCAAGCTCCTCCACCTCCTCACCGAAATCACCCGCGCGGCCGAAGATTCAGAGTCAGCATCAGCCTCTTCGCCAGAGCTCCAAGCCGCCCTCTCAAAAGAGCAGAAGCTTCTCCTCACAAACATCTCGCACCTCCGCGGCCTACACCGCTCCGCCAACTTCAACGCGAGAGACACAAAAGCCCAGACGGCCGAGGCGCGGCACGAGGTCGACCGCCTGCACCTCCAGCTGCAGAACCTGTACTACGAGCAGCGCCATCTCGAGGGTGAGATCGAGGCGTGCGAATCTTACGAGTAAGGCCTTTCGCTTCCTACACGGCGGCCGAGAGAGAGAGAGACAAAAGAGACAGAGAGACAGAGAGAGGGGGTGCTCTCTCCCGGCCGGCAGGTCTTTCATATTGCTAACCTATCAATCTGAACCACCAGCCATACCTACCAGAAGCTACCTCTCATACCCGTCGAAGAATTCATCGCCGAGCAACCAGAGCACGCCGACGCCGACGAGGACGCCATGATGATTGCGCGCATCGGCCACGAGCGAGCGGGACGAGAAGCCCTCGAACAGCAGAGGCTCGAGCTGGTGGGAAGGAAGCAGAAGCTCATTGCCGAGAACAAGAAGCGCAAGGACGACCTGGCCAACCTCGACAAAGACTTGGAAAAGTTCATCGATGTAAGTAGCGCTGGGTTCTGCTGGGAGCTTCACCTGGGAAGAACTTCTCGTGCGCCGATTTCTAACCGCCGCTGGTGTAGGCTGCGAAACCCATCCAGGAACTCTTCGAAAAGGTTGTATGAAAGCGGTAATGGATGGTTTACTCGTCCGTTGTACGAGCCAAGCCCTCCCGCTGCTGCACGACATGTCTCGCAGGAAGATGTTTTCGGCACCGAAAGGTCGTATGCTTCATTACCCTGCTGGAGACTTCAACTTCGTGGTACGGCCCACCAGCTGAGAGTGGCAAACAAGCAGATGGCCCGAGAGAGTATCGCAGGCTAAGATCTGTGGGGGAAACATTCTGCTCGACGTTTCGATATCTACATCGTCCTCAAAGTCTGCATTCGGAGTCTCCGGATGAGGGTTGGACTTGAAAGCCATGAGCATGCCTACGGGAGTGGGGCTACGGAAGGACGGCATCTAAGCTCAAAGGTATTTTGCGGCATCACGCATCTGCGGGCACCGTTCGGCATTCGAATTGTCCAAGATGGGCCCGGGGTGGCTCTGTTGCTGACAACGCAGCGCAGCCGCGCGCGCTGCGCCCCTGAGAAGCTGCAGATGGGATTTCAAAGAAGGGTGAACATTACGAACGGGGTCGATAGAGGACCTAATTGCCGAGGAAAGGCTCTATGCGCACCTCCATAGCCCACCGAGTATCACAACGTCATCACAGATAATTGACGTCGTCAGGCCAATAATCAATACCACACAGGTCGAAACATATTTTCGTTCAAACATGAGTGATCAGTGTTTGACGTCGGACGTATGAAATGCTCTGGGGGTGGGTCGGCCCGGGGAAAGTCGAGGGAACGGCTCTTGAACGGGATACTCACGTCACCCGCGCCGGCTGCCAAGGAAATTCCGATTCGGCATAAGCCCGGACGGCGAGCGAAGCCCGCCCGGCCGAAGCAGAAGTGACGCGCTGGCTGGGGAAGCAATGCACAGGGCAGCCGAAGGTCTCACCCCGGATCCGATGATGCGACATGTCAGTCCCGCGAGGTGACTGGTTGGTCGATCCGTCTGGCCATCGGGGTCATCGGGGATGGAAGACCTCGGGCGGGGAGTGGTTCTGTTTTTGGCTTTTGACGTCTGAGGCAAGCCGTTTCATAGCTGACTGTACCAATTTGCCAGAAACAGGTTGCGTTAGCAGAGGAGGATGCGGGTTAGCCGTGAAGCCTTTGTGGTCGAGAACAGGCCCTCGACAGCGCGGATCGCATATTGCCATACATCAATCGTTCGACCGTTTGCTTCGAGAAGCCTCGAGGAACATGAACGCGGCAAGTTGCTGCAGGAATCAAGTTCGACATAATGGTCCCCTAACACCCCATCAACCGTTCTTGCTTGCTCGAAGCCACGCACGCTGTCCTGCAAGCTTCATCCTGTGCTGTGTGTAGAAAAAGTATGCCCATCTCGACTGTCTCGCAGGGCTTGTTTCAAAGTTGTTTCCCGCATTGGAGTATAGCAGGACCCCGTCGGCCGACAAGACGGGCCCGGTGGTAAACGGGCAGATGCGTACGCAGACGGGTATGATGGGGCGAACTTCTGAATCGCAACATGTTGAGACATGCCACTTGTAACCGGACGAGTCTGAGTGCCACATTGGTCCATGGATTCGGTGTCTCAAGGGCAACACGTCCGCTATGCGTGGGTTAGGTACTCTGCAGCGTGGAGGACGTAGGTTTCCGAGAGGAGCAACGAACCCACCAATTCGGTCTGAGGCTTGCGGGAGCCATCGCACGCTGAGTTCTAGCTCACAGTCAAGACATCGGATGCTTCAGCCGTACCGGACACGCATCGATGTCTCGACTTGAGCTGGGAGACGGGGAGGCCTTTATGCCACGATCTACTTTCCCAACTTTAGTTCCAACTCCTCTCTAGTTCCCGGTTCGCGGTTCAGTGACGAAAGTAATTAAAAGCGACGGAATGTGACCTGCAAATTTAGCACAGCCAAGGCAGCAAAACTCAGCAAACTTGTAAACCATACAAAGTCGTGAATCGTGACGAGTGACGAATTAAGCCAAGGCCTGCCAAGTAGCCGTTGGACGGCGACAGAGTTGAATCGTCGATTGGTGGGTGTACAGTGTGTGGTGCGTAGCTCCGTTCCCTTGGTCGTCTCTCTCCGTTCCTCCAAGAACTCCTCTTTTCCTACATCTCGCCGTTGGTATCTGCATGTGGTGGTTATGCTACCAGTATGGCGATCCGCGGGTGCGGGTCGGCGTAGGTTCCGCAATGGCAACAAGCTAGGGGGCGGCCGGCGTTGATGGGGTTCAACGGCGAGCATCGACGCGAGATGGTGTTCGAGGAGGCGCTCCGATTCCCCCAGGAAAGCCCGAAGACTGGACACAGAACCATGTTGGTAGCCGTAGCCGGCCCATTTTCCTTTTAACGCGGCCGGCTGGCTGGGTAGGAGACCTGGAACTCCATGTCTTGCCTTGCAAGTCGCTGGTCCAGTCGGCCAGTCAGATTCGGAGCATCAGAAACGTTCAATCTCAAACGCCGGCCCGCCAAGTGTTCGCCCACCCCACCATCCGGCAACCCCCCTATAGGTCCTCCTGCAATACCTAGGTCTTCCTCGGTCTTCTCCTTGTTGCTGACTTTCTTCATCATAGCCAGTGCCCGTATCCGTATGGGTAGACATTACACCTGTTGCTTTGCTGCTCCAGTGTTCACTGCTGACTCCTATGGTGGAGGTCCGCGGAATAGGGATCCCCTCCCAGGCTCCCTGTGCTTGCGTCGGCTGCTGGATAGATGGTCCAGTCTCTAGATGCCGCGAGTGGAACGACTTCGCCAAGATCGGAGTTAAGCTGAAGGAGCAATTGCGTCCGGCATATGCGTGAATTACGAAGCAATCGATGCGCTGGCTCATCGTATTGGTGACCAAAAGCTCATATCCGATAATCCTCGGACCAGCATGTCGCATTGTTCATTACGGAAGAAGCAAGTCCTCGCTTGTGATTGAGTAGACATGGAGTGCGGCTGGGGCAACTCTGCGAGCGAACAATACAACAATTAGCCTGAAGCGGCATAGAGCCAGCGGTATCCTTTCTTTCAGTCTTTCAGACATATCGCGGCCTGTGTCTGCTCGGGAGGAATAAGCACCGTCAGCTATCCGTGCAAGGATGTCAGCCTATTCGACGCCACATCGTCCCAAGGTGAATCGTCTGTCGTAGTCGGTACTCTCGTGTTCCATACGAACAAAGTAGGTATGCAAATGCTTGTCTTTGGCATGCCCTACCTGCTAAATGCATGTTGCTCGTCTGACCTCACGTCTCTTTGCCAGTTCGCTGCCATTCCTCATCAGGCGTTTATAGAAAGCGCTAGATCAGCCAGGCCATGAATAGATGCCATTGATAGCACGAGCATATCAAGACGGCTTGAATGCGGTGAGCACGGGGCTGGTGAAATGCGCTAGAAGCCAACGGCGTTGATTTGATGATGTTGATGCGGCTCGCAAGGCCACGCCGAACCTGCATTGACCAAGGCCAACCGCCCGGTGTCTGAGCGTGATTGAGACTGGTGAGATAGATTGTTGATGATATACACTTGTCGGGCACATGTCGATATCGGACAGTGTGACCAGGGCATCCAAGTCAACGGGATGCAGGTCGAAATTTCCCGCCCCGGCTGCCGTGACCCGTCACTGCTGAATCTTGACAGGCACGTTTACAGTTTTGCAACCCTGGGGCCCTGGTAGAGACCTGGCCAGAGCACCTAGGCCTGATTTTCGTCTGCTGATTTGGGCTTCAATCTTTTTTTTTTTGTCTCCTTGGCCATTGCGACTCTGCAAAGGGGCCAGACAGAGGAAGAGGAGGCCGGAGAGGCCAGGTGAAGAGGAAAATTGGAGAATGGCCATGTCTCAGCATCCCATCATTTCGCAGCAACGGTATCCCAGCACGCCACGAGATCCCACGTCGGTTCTCCAGTCCGACTGTGAGTGAGCGGGAGGGCCGCACTGTGACTGGATTGGACCGACTGGACAGCTTCAGATTCAGCGCAGGATGACACCAAGTGTAGGTTTGGCGATGGTGGGACGACTAAGAACATTGTCCGCGGGGCCTCGACCGCAAGCTAGTCTAGCATAGCAGAGTGCAATTATCGATGCGAACCCTGGAGGGCGAAAAGTGTGCGATAGGTCTGGTCGAAAAATGCATGCCATGAGATGACATTTGGCAAGCATGCTGCCTTGCAGTCCCGTTGCCCATGCCGTGGCCAATCTCGCCTGTGTAGGCGCGTTTCGCTCAGGTTATCGTCGTCGTTCGTCGTCTAGCTACCCATGACCTCGTCTCTTTAGGGTCACATCTCTTCGCCCTATGACGACAATGCCGCAGCATAGCCGTGATGGATGACGACGGCAGCCACAGCTGCCACGCTGGAAGCCCCCCTCCTTTGACCCGCCGCCTGTCGACAGCTCAAGCTGCGGCGCCGCTTGTGAGAGCTGGGGTTGGGGAAGCACTCTTGAAGGAGCCAATGGGCACTACGAGACTGCGAGACTGCAGCTCATTAGACGGTGTCACGACGAGATCCAGAGGTGTGCGCGCTCTCAGACTGAGCCACGATTTGCTCCGCTTGACGTGCCTACGTACCACTTTGCATGTGGTCCCGGCGGCTAGAAGCATGCTGCAGCGCCGCAGTGGTAAGTCTCCCAGACCTGAAGCATCGTCTGTGACGCGGAGATAGCGTGGTACCGCCAGCAGCATCTGCCCGCCGTGTGTTTCGATTCGTCCTCGCACGCAAGCATAGCATAGGTCCAGCGGCGACAGTGGCCCTGGATACCGTCTTTGTTCCGTGGCATTGTGGCACAAGAGGCGGTGTCGATGGCGCATGGCTGCTCGTCCTCGCCGACCTGGCAAACGCGGATAGTCGCAGTGTTGACTGCTTCCAAGAATACTCGACATGTTTCCTTAGCCGGAGGATCAGTGCACGGTCGAATCGTAGGAGCGATAGGCGTCGTTGTTGACTGAATTAAGAATGGACTAGCGATATTGAGCTTTGGGTGTTTGATGGTATTATCGACTATCTTGAGCTCCAGGGTAGCTTGGGTCGTAGTGTTCTTGAGCTCGTGATGTAAGCTGCTCGGGAGAGAGGGCGTGGCTTGGCGCATTTCAACCGCTGGCAGCTGATAAGAACTTGATGCCATGGGCACAAACACAGCAGTTGCCTCGCACAAGTATGATACATGTCGAACTGCCTCTTTGGTACTCCGTAGCAGCAAGGAGATGGAAACAGTTTCCAGAAGAGATAGACTTGCTGGTCTGACAAGGTTGGCTGCGAGGAAGATCAAGGCACAAGACTAGAAGTCGATGAAGTCGAAGCACCCGAGGTATAATCGTCAAGAGAAGTAGTCAGCGGAAGCTATCTCACCGATCACCTGCCTCAGGCGTAGGTATTCATTCAGACTTGGCCTGTACCTTCCATTGGCATTAGCCTCTACCTTATGATAGATATTGACTAAGCAGGCGCCTTACAACTGGAAGGAAGGAAGGAAGGCGTGACAAGTGCCAGCCTTGGAAATAAGGAAAGGAAAGCCCCACGTTCGGTTGTGAGGTTAAGCTTCGACTGCTGACTACGGATACTCTCTACGGAGTTCGAAGTACACCGCCCCCTGAGCGGCTTTCCACTAAGGATGGCTAAGCTTCACAACCCGGCACAAAAACAATCTTCCTCCACGAGTCCACAGAAGCCCAAAGTATTCGTACAGAGTACGGAGTAATGCGGAGTACTTTGTTGCATTGTTGAGTATTCCCGGCCGGATTTTACACTTTTCCCATGCTAGGCATCCACCACCGAGACTGTCATCGACGAGAAATCAGAAACAATTATGGGCTGTTGAGCTCTGGACCTCCTTTGTTTGTATGTTTTTGCAGGGCTTGAATGGAATGGGGATTGAGGAGGTCCGGGTCCGGCTCCAGTCCCCATTGTTGATGAGTTATTACTCCTGCGGCCTGCGTGCCGTGGACGGTGGTGCCCTCTGTCATCGCATCGCGGGAGCGCCGTACTATGCCCGCGGGATCCAGCATCGGATGTCGAGTTGCCTTGCACTTGTAACCGTACTCCGTACCTAGGAGTGCTAGGTAGGTGTTGTTGGCTGTACGTACCTATCACAGCTCCCCTGCCTCACGCTTAGGTTGCTCGGTGAGGTGGAGAGCTGGCGGTAAAAAAACCTAAGCACACAAGGTGGGCCTTTCACTGCACTGTGATGCCCCCGGATCGAGCAATTGAAAATTGTTAGTGGGGAGGTACTTCTCAAATATCCCGTTTGGGCGAGCCAGCCCGTCAGAGCGGGAGGAGCGACCCTACGGCACCTTAGCGTCTCTAGCGTCCCTAGCGTGGAAAAAGGCACAGGCAGCAGGCATTGCAGACAGTCTTTGGCCTATGAACTTGGCATCGCTGCATGAAAAGCACACACTGTACGGGGTCTCTGTGAAATTGCGTCTCAGTCGTCGTAAAAGGTGCGACTGTTGGCTCTTTTTTTCTGAATACCTACCTACCTACTCGTCGCTACGTACTTACTTTTGTTGCAAGGCGGCCAGTGAGGTACTTCTTATCACCTTATCCGTACGTCGATGGTCTGTGAGACGAGACTCTCGGCATTGAGGCTGGACATACTCAAGTAAGAAGAGAACATCAACCAAGGCTGAAGCATCAAGACTATAACCGAGAGATGAGACAGCACAAAGAAGGTTCGAATTGAGCTTGAGGGAAGCCACCCGCCAAGTGCGGCTGTGCAGTGCCCGACAAGCTCCTGTCCTGTCCAGTGTTGTCGGCTCGCACTCGATCATGACGCAGTGTCGCACACGAATACACTTCCATCATCACAACAAGCTGGCCCAGTCAATCTATCTGAAGGGGTTCCCACGTTCTGCATTTCGACTGCCTAGAATTGTCTACGAATATTGACTCCGCTTATACTCGGAATATTGGCCAAGCCCGCAGAATATGAGACTTTCTTGGCCCAAATTACTATAACATGATAATGAGGCCCTTGAGTAGCATGGCATGGCAGTGCTTTCCTTGGAATCGTTATCGCTATCGGCAAGAGAAGCTGTCACGAAGCGAAACCAACGAACGCTACTCCGTACTCCGTACTCCGTAATTCGATGTCGATTGGCCATCATCAACACGGCGGATGAGAAGAAAAAAAAAAGGAAAAGAGGCCCAAGTTCACAACGATACATCCTGGCTGTACACAGTGCTCGCGATTGACCGCTTACTCGGTAATTTCTTACTTCTCATTTCCCGCGGGGCGATTCAGTACAAGCGCAGAAAATTCCCAAGGCAGCCAGACCTTGTCCGTATATCCGTGCCATCCCTGCTGCTTTCCATGGGCCCATGTCCCTTTTCGCGCTAAAGCAATTATCGAGGCAGAGGATGGGAGTGAGGCAGGCGCAGAGGCAGCCCACTAGATGCGATGCGAGCGGGCGAGGTGCACTAGCCTCAGTACGGCATACCCCAGGCCCCTACCGCCCAGGCCAATCAAAGGCGATCTTCTCTTCTGAAGAGCCAATCACGATCCAGATTCTCATCCAAAACTGGTCTGGTCTGGTTTCTGGCACACTGGAACCATCTCGACCCTCGCTCTGTTTCTTGCTTCTCTCTTTTTTCTTTCATTGCCTTCTGCGACCTGCCTCGCCTCTTCATCAATCTGCTGCAGTTCTCCGGATCAAGGTACCTCAGTAACCCCCCCGGTCTGTTACGGCTGCCATCACCGGTGCTAGGAAACCCCCAGCTCGTCGTCTCGCCAATCCAGAGGCTTCCACTACCCCCATTGTCCAGTCCAAGGCCCTAGTTCGACGATTTTGCAAGCTGCACGTCTTCCCACCTCCTCTTGCAGGCGGCGAGCACCTCCTCTATACATAGGTAGTCACGTAAGGTAGGTGGTGTAGATGGTGTAGATGGTGTCTGGGGCGGTAGAAGTTCAACATCACTTTGTTGGTGGCAGGCGCTGTGCTCCAAAGTACGTAGTGCCGTTCGTTGTTTTTGTGAGAATGGAAATAAAACAGAAAGTTGGGGGCCCCGTACGGAGTTAGAGAATAGCTATCGGTATCCGTACATCCAGGAGCGGGTCCTCTACACTCAAATCAGGCTGTAGCGCTGGGCCGACACAAGTACTGGGTACCAGCGACCCTTTTTCCCTCCCCACGTCCCATCTGGAACCAGTCTGGTCCAACGCAAACAAGCTCTGAGGTGCGCGTGTGAAAGGGAAAGGGAGCAGGTACGGATACAGAGTCCAGAGCAAGGCACGCCGCACCTCAGAGAAACCAGCGCGCCCCTTTCTCTGCCGCCCCCCTTCGCGTCTTCGTGTCTACCTCACCTTGCCTTACTGAGTGGTCACTGGTGACTGCGTACCCGGCCTGCCTTACATTACCTGTCTGTACAAAGTATTAGTGTACCACCCGCGGGACACTGGAGTGGACTGGACTGGACCTTACCGCACCTTGCCTTAGCTTAGCAGACCCGACCTTACTGTACCCGTGTCCACCTCCTCCATGCCCAGGTCCCTATCCAAGAAATCATCCACTCTCACTACCTTGCACTTCTTCCCTCTTTCTCTCCTCCTCAGTCCGTCCCCCGTATCCATTAGTCGCTATCCTCCTCGTGAATATCATCCGACAAGACGCACTCTAATTCTTCTCAGTCTCTCCCTTTTTCACTCCTTCTCTCCCCCTCCCCCCCTTCCTCCTGTCTGTCACCTGCTTCCCTCCTCATCCACACTCAACCCTCTCCAGAGACAGAGTGAGAGAGCGCGAGAGACCACTATCGACCTCGACCGGTAGGGCTCCAATTCTTCGGGTGCCATTCGCAATTTCGGCCCAGAGGTTTCCTGATTCTCGTCCTCCTCACTACTTCCCTCTTCATTCCTCTCTCCCTCTCCCACTTGCTGTCTGCAGTTGTTGGTCTCGCTCTCCCTCGAGCAAACCCCCCAGTCAGGCTTCGCACATATTTCCAAGCCTCTTATCGGGTGCTTGCCTCGACAGACAGACAACGTCGCCTTCCGTCGTCGACCTCCCGCAGCCGTCGCCTTTTCGTCGTCGACCTTTCCATCGCTGGCAACGCGCCTCACCGAAGCATTATCCTCGGTCGTCACCATGTCATCGATTCTGGCCTGGGCCTCGCGCCGCGTCGGCGGCTTGGCCATGCTGGGCTTGTTGGGTCTGAGTTACTGGGTTATCTCAAAGGAATCAGCTGCTTCGGCACACAACTATTTGCACGAGGACAGCCTTAGCTCTTCGACCTCGACTACCAAGGGCGCTGGCATTTGGACCGAAATCTACGCCTACTACTGCTTGTTTATCCACATCCTCGTCTTCGCATTCCCTCTCCGATGCTGCTGGGCTGTCTTTGACATGACCCGCCAGCTGAAGAAGATCGCTCGCAACAGGACACTGAGAGACTACAGGCTCTCCCACCGTCGCCGTGGTTCCTCAACCTCTTTGTCCAGCTCCGAGACCCTGACGTCCTCCCACGGTGGTTCTGCGTCCAGCAGCGAAGCTGGCGATACCGAGCCCGAGCTCTACACCGACGGTGATGCGGAACCCGACCGCGTCATCCACGCTATTATCGTTCCCAACTACAAGGAGGAGATGGACACCCTGAAGGAGACTCTCGAGGTCCTGGCTTCGCACCCTCAAGCTCGCAGCTGCTACGATGTAAGTACCTTCCGACACCCATTGGCCGCAAAATTCGCCTGGTCGTCGATCACCGGTCTGGCGATTGCTTTCGCTCTCAGTTGATACGCGTGCAAAAACTGACACTTGCCCGCTAGGTCTACTTGGGAATGGAACAACGCGAGCCCAACGTCGAGCTTAAGGCCATGACCCTCATTCAGGAGTTTGTCAAGAAGTTCCGCAGCATCGATTACACCATTCATCCGTCCGACATCCCAGGTGAATCTGCTGGCAAGGGAAGCAACGTGGCATGGGCTGCCCGCAAATTGAGTCAAAAATATTCAATGACCAGCCGCAAGGATGTGATCATTACGGGTCTCGACGGTACGTACGCATGTCAGATTCTGAAAATCTGCCGCAGTCAATGTTTCCAATTTTTGCGCATGTAGGATGATTCGCTGACAGAAACGTGGGGTGTACAGCCGACAGCCACCTCTCATCCAACTTCTTCGCCTTGCTTACTACCATGCACCTGGCCTATCCCGAAACAGCAAAGACCACCATGTACGCGGCTCCAATCATCTTCGACCGCAATGCCCACAGTGTTCCCGCCATTGTCCGTGTCGCCGACATCCTTTGGGGTGCCGGTGGAATGTCGGGACTGTACTCTGGATCTACGATCGCGCCTCCCACCTCCGTCTACTCTGTCCCCTTGGAACTGGTTGACCGCGTCGGCGGCTGGGATTGCGATAACGAGGCCATCGGAGAAGATTTGCACATGTACCTCAAGTGCTTCTTCGCGCTCAACGGCAACTTGACCGTCAGAACCGTCGTCAGCCCCGTCAGCCAGAGCAACGTCTGTGGTGATGGCTCCAAGGGTCTTCGCGGTATCTACTCGGATATGCAGGCTCGTTACAAGCAGGCAATGAGACACATGTGGGGTGCTCTCGATTCTGGATATGCGCTCCGAAAGGTCGTCGAACTCTGGCAGGAAAGGAAGCACACCTCTCGCGCTTTCCGCCCGCTGCACAACTCTATGGGCGACGCCTCCGACGTGTACGTCCCCGAGACGCAGCTGGACCAGCAGGACCCCGAACAGCCCAGAGAGAGCGGTGTCTTCTCCGACGTTACCCACGACACATTGCAGTCTCCTAACTGGGAGCGTATCGTCTACCTGTTCCATCGTCTCTTCGAAGCGCATTTCCTCCCCCTTCAGATGACCATCTTCGTCATCTCCTCCACTCTGTACGTGTGGGTCACGGAGGGCAACAAGGAAGTGGCGCACCTCAGCTGGATCTTCGACGTGTGCAATATTCTGCGCACTTTCGGTTTCATGGAAATTGCTCTCTACCTCTTCTTGTATGAGAGCTTCCATCGCATCTGCGTCAAGTCCCGCCAACGCGAGATGACTGAAGCTGGACTGTCTGATGGCATGAACTTCTCTTACCGCAACGTCAAGAAGAACTTCATTGACTACGCAATGGTTCCGCTCGTCGCTCCCCTCTACGGTGCTATTCCTTGCGCGCAAGCGCAATTGTGCCACTTCTGGACGCTGGACCTGGTCTACTCGGTCAGCAAAAAGGTCACGCGGCAAAGAGCGAAATCCCTCACGGCAGCCGAAATCGCGTAACGACAATTATTTCCTTCTTTGTTAACTTTTATCTACCCTTCGACAGGACCTCGCCCTCCTCGCGGAGGCGTCGACGGCTCACATTATTTTCCTTCGATTCGACGCACAGCCCAATTCCAGGAAGACCCACCAAGCGGCGGTTTTTAACTCGATTACGTGTTTGAAGAAGTTGGGGCTCCCAAGAGCCTCACGTGTAAATAGATGAGGGCATTCTTGATATGCATGGCATGGCATGGTATCGGCATTCTAGAGATTTCGGGGATTCATGGGGCCTCAAACCGGAGTTCTCGGAGCAATACGCAGGAACTTGACGAGCGAGAGAGCCGTCCAAGTGCATTCGCTTATACGGAAGACGAAGTGGAAACGAAGGTCGGACATATCCAGGCCAGCATGACGAGGCTCACCCACCAGCGGCAGGAAGATGCCGGGATGGTGACGAAAGATGACTGCATCCGCTGGGGACGGGACAAGCCCAGCAGGAACAGCTGACAATGGGCTCCAAAGAGAAAGACGGGATGCCGGCACAAACAGAATCCCGGAGCCCATTAATTTGGACGAGTCCTATAATATTTAATCTTGTGTGTACATAGAACGATTCATGATCATGGCAATTGACGCTAAGACGTGGATTGGACGGCGTGGTTAACAGGAAGAACGTTGCCACGATAAAATTGATGTGAATTATACATTATTTGCAACCGCAATGCCAGTGACTTTGGTGATTTGAGTTCCAACTTCCATGCTGTGCTTCCTGGGTGAACATGTTTCGTCATGGTGCGATGTCGGTTCCGGTGTGTGGTTCCTAGAGTCACCCGGAGAAAGCTCCGTAATTAGCTGCACTGAAATTGATGGCAACCGATTATTCGAGATGGCCCCGATTGGGGCAGCAGTGTACGAGAAGTCCATCCAAGTCAGCTTACTTACAACGAATGGTCGACCATCCGTCAGACGGACGGACCACCGAGGCCGAGCCGTCAGAAACCCGAAGCCTCTCGGAAGTTAAGGGAATAGGCCCAATCAGCTTCCACGACTACAGCCACCGGCGGCTCAGCGTCTCAGCGTCTCTTACTTGGTGGTGCACGGGATCTGTTGACTGTGCCGATGGGCTTCCGGGGCCGCGAAGTGGAGGACGGCGACCTCGGGGTTGGAGGACGGAACGGGGGGGCTTGATGGGCTTTTTTGCTCGTGTATAAAGATATGGGCGTGGTCGTGATACCTTGACGATGATACCGAGACAGCCACGCTTGTAGTAGGACTTGTCAAAGACAAGGTCGAATCATCCAGCATCCCCATCCAGGTTATTGCCTCAACCTTGTAGCATTTCACAATTAAATCCGAAAAAGAAAATGGCAGACGGTACCGAGGTGGTCAAGATCGGGGTCTTCATCCCATCCGAGTGCCAGCTCCTCGACATGGCTTGCATAGACGTCCTGTTTATGATGTCGAGAGAGTACCTGGGTGGTCTACCCACGATACCCAAACACATCCCAGAACTGGCGCCGAGTGTAGAGATCTTTTACATTACTGCAAAGGCCAGCAGCCCCAATCCCAATCCAGAGGACCCGGATGCAGCAGAGCACCGCCGTCCTTTGCTCCTCCCGCTCACAGCAGGCGTCAAGATCCAGCCCACACACGACGTCTCCAGTCCGGAGGTCCAGCCGGGCATGCTGGATATCTTGCTCGTGCCCGGGCCGGATCCGGGGGCGAGCTGGGATGAAGATACGCTGGGATTCTTGAGGGGACATGTTGTTCAGGAGGAGGAGGAAGAAGAAGGAAAGAGGGCGACGGATGTGTTGAGTGTTTGTACGGGGGTGTTTTTATGCGGTGCCGCGGGGGTTTTGGATGGGAGGAAGGTATGCGGGCCGAGAGGATTGCAGGATGTTTTGAGGAAGAGGTTTCCGGGGGCCATGTTTGTGGGGGATGAGTTTCGATGGTGTCGGGATGGGAATTTTTGGAGCTGTGGTATGTTCTTTTCTTTCTCTCTTCTTTTCTTCTCTCTGCCTATTGTCTGGTTTGCTAAATATTTTTCGTACATCACAGGGGGTATCACGAACGGTAACGATCTGGTGGCGGCGTACGCTCGGAGCAGCGAGAGGCGCCTCTTTCCTGCGCCGATTGTCGAGATTGCATGTAAGATGGCGGAAGTTGGGGAGAGGGGCCAGATGTATGAACAGGGGCAGACGAGGTTTACTTTGGGGTTTGTGTGGTTGCTCGTCAAGGCTTGGTTTGTGAAGCCGAGTAACTAGATCAAAGAGACTTCAATGAGGAGGAACATTTGATATTGGAAGAAGTGGTGAGTTAGGAGACGAATGGGAAGAATGAGACATGGCTACTTCCAAATGTAGATTGAGTAAGGCAATTACAGCTGGTCTGCATGCTGGCGGGGACTCACGAACATAGAAGAGAGGCGTTATCAATCTGTTAATGATGAGATTCATCTGGTAACGACAAGAACAAGGATTTGCCCGCCCAACTCAAGCCAACTTGCCATCGTGATCTCGTCAGACCATGTGGTAAATCTCAATCTGATGGCGCAACAAACAAACAAAGGCGGGAAGGCAGCACAGACTTCGTCTACAGCATCAGCACCAAGTCCAGGCAGAAAGCGGTGTACGAGTGGAGGGTGCTCACCGTCCACAAAAGCGCTGGTGAAGACGTCGTTTTGGGCATTTTTGGGGCATTTTGGAGCATTTTGGGGCAAGGGTCCAATGCAGCTCCTTCCCCAGACGCACCTTCCCTGCCGTTGCGCCTTGGTTGCCATGGTCCGATAAGACCGATAAGACAGGATAAGGCACCACTAGCGCCGCCAGCGGTGGGGTCGAGACCAAGAAAAAAAAAAAGTTCCGTCTGGTCGTCGAGTGGAAAAAAATTTCAGGCAAAAGCTCTTCAAGTCTCAAGAGCCTTGACTTTTCTGTACAACCTCCCTCTCACACTCGAATCCCACCCCGTCTTCTTCCTCTTCCCAGTCTTTCCATAACCCCCAAACAACCCCTTCAAGAACAAACGGTCTTTCATTTTTGACCTCCTTGAAGAGAAATCATCAAGTGCAAGAGCGCCAACTTTTACTACCTAGATTCACATACCACCTTCACATCCAGTACAATGGCCCAGCTTCCTGTCGCTCTTTACGGGCTCGAGATCCCCGCTGGCGATGTCCTCATCCCCGCCAACCCCGACTTCCCTGCCACTGTATGTGCATCTCTCTGCCTTGTTTCTTTGCCTATGCGCACTTGAGCGCAGGCTCTGTCCAGGTGTCACAGCTTGCGCTAGGTGGGCGCAGTTGACTACTTGTTCACAGTTGCTAACCTTGGGATTTCCCAGTTCCGCATCACCATGGCCGCCATTGATCCCTCTGCGGCTCCCGAGGCTGATTCTGATGGCAACATTCCTGCTGTCCCCCGCTCTACCCTTCGCCTCGTCAAGCAGCGCTTCGGTGACGACCTCGAGGCCGGCGAGGATGACGAGATCGATGAGGACTACCTCCAGTCTCTCATTGACGCCAACGGCGACGAAGACGAGTCGTCCGATGACAATGACGAGCCCAACGGAGGCCCCAGCGACCCTTCCAAGTCCAAGAAGCAGAAGCAGGCTGAGGCTCTGAAGAAGCTGATTGAGGCTGTCGGCAACGAGGAGGAGTCTGACGAGGAGATGGACGATGCCAAGCCCAACGGAAAGTCCAGCAAGAAGGGCAAGGGCAAGGCCTCTGACGATGATGAGGAGGAGGAGGAGGACAGCGATGACGAGGATGACGAGGGCCTTGACCTCGAGAACTTTGTCATCTGCACCCTCGACACCGAGCGCGTAAGTTGCGAATAGACCGTGCGAGCCTGGGAATGAAACCCATTGCTAACAACCGCGCAGAACTACCAGCAGCCCCTTGACATCACCGTCCAGGAGGGTGAGAAGGTCTTCTTCGTCGTTTCTGGTACCCACACCGTCCACCTCACTGGTAACTACGTTATCGACGATGATGAGGAGGAGGGGTCCGACGAGGATGAGGACGACGACGAGTACGACCTGTCCCCCGATGAGCTCGAGTACGGCATGCCCGATGAGGACAGCGACGAGCTTGACGACACTGATGACCCGCGCGTCATGGAGGTCGACACCGACGAGGAGGAGGCCCCCAAGCTGGTCGAGACTAGCAAGAAGGGCAAGAAGCGCGCCGCCGAGAGCCTCGACGACCTCATCAAGGCCGACGATGAGACCAAGCTCTCCAAGAAGGACAAGAAGAAGCTCAAGAACAACAAGGGCGAGGCCGTCGCCGCCGAGGAGAAGACCACCCCCAAGTCCGACAAGAAGGTTCAGTTCGCCAAGAACCTCGAGCAGGGCCCTACCGGTTCCGCTGAGAAGGCCAAGCAGGCTGGCAAGCCCACTGGTGGCGTCAAGGTCGTCCAGGGAGTGACCATTGACGAGCGCAAGCCTGGTACCGGCCGCGCTGTCAAGAACGGTGACAGCGTCAGTGTCCGCTACATTGGCAAGCTCGACGACGGCAAGGTCTTCGATGGTAAGCGCTAAATTTCAAATGCAAGTTTTCTGGTCGTCTCGCTAACCCTCTGTTCGTAGCCAACAAGAAGGGCAAGCCTTTCACCTTCAAGGCCGGCAAGGGCCAGGTCATCAAGGGCTGGGACATCGGTGTCATCGGCATGGCCATCGGTGGCGAGCGTCGTCTTACCATCCCCGCCAACCTCGCCTACGGCAACAAGAGCCTGCCCGGCATCCCCGCCAAGAGCACCCTGACCTTCGACGTTAAGCTCCTTGAGATCAAGTAAACAGGTCGCTTCCTCACTTAGTATGACCCCCTTTTGGCGGCGAGACGCCGATTCAGGATGCTTCCCACTGTATTCTACACTACTTGCCCGGCGGGCATCCCATGAAAGATGGTGTGCCTCTGCTGGGCACCCGGCGTTCCCGACGCCGACCTTTCCTCGTAATGATGTGTGACGGCGATAGGATTCGCCGAGTCGCGATAAATGCGCCGTTGCCGCAATGGATAGTCTCCGACCTGTGGCTATCTGCGAAGATCCGCAGTCCCCTTGTGGGATGCGAGAAGCAGAATGTGTTTGATGGGATGACGAGGCGAGGACTTACACTGCATTAGTTGGCGTATTACAAAAAGAGTTTTCTGTTGATGTAGGAAATTTCTCTCACCGGACATGGATGGTTTTCTTCCGGTCGGTCTGTACTTAGCTCCGGTCTCCTTTACGAAAAATCAAAGTTTCCTTGCTTCTTACCTTCATCGAACCTTCCGGCGAGCGTACACTCTTGGTGACTGATCGTGCTTGGACTTTCCTTATGGTGTCTTGAGATGTTGGGGCAGGCTCATTCTGCACCCTTTCTTCGTTGGTGAACATCCGGAAGGGACCTTGCCTACCCTGTAGACCAGACGCAACGTCTAACTACCCTGACTGCTTTTGGCAAGTCCCTTGCTGAATCCAGAGCTGAAAACCACGATCCATATCCTTCCTCGTCCCTATAGTAGGTTGCCTACATCTTCTCAAACAACATGCCAACAGGCCAAACATCATCGTAGCCGGACTGTTCGTCCGCCTCTCATTTGGACTTCCGCATTCATCACAGATCGTTATACTAACAGGTCTCATTACCTCTTCTAATAGTTCTTCCATCGATATCAAGCATTATGCATCAACAAGTTGTCCGCAGCAGTGTCGTCGTACGTTCAAATCCGACCCCTACGGCAACGACCATAGACGCCAACCACACACTCCCAACAGACCTCGGCCCTGAAGTAGACGGCCAGGCACAGCACACTCTTTGGAATCCCCGTCCTCGACGTCAGGCCACCCCATTGACGCATTTGTTCAAGGGGAGACATCGTCATCACCATCAAGGTAGGTAGAGATTTGTTCAAAGGGCAAATCAATACCAGCTGACACGCAGTACAGACCTACGGTCCTCGGGCAGTGCTAGGTCCACCAGAAAGAACTTCATTCACAGGTTCATAGACACAAGGAGGATGCCCACCAAGCCATCGCAATCCCGCCCTCTGCGATACCCAATTGCTCAGCCTGTCACGAACCACCCACTGGGCCAGTCCACCACAAACCCGACCCCTGAGTTGGAGTTTGAGCTTCCCTCGACGTCCCAATACATACCCTGGGGACAGTTGGATTGGAATCGACTCTCTGACAAGCAAAGGGTCCACACGGTCGAAAGAGCAGCAGCAGCCAGAATCTACCTAGAGAACTACTTCGAGGAGGCCTTGAGTAGTCGTCCCACACCACGTGAACAACGTATAGCCGAACACCAACGTAACATGGATCTATACGGGGGTCACCTCGGCCCGAGTGAAAGGGAGTATTACTGGAGGCTCTTCTTTGCAATGGAGACCAATTTCCTCCGTGAACAACGAAACGCCAAGACCTACAGCTGCAGAATTGCGTAGTCAACAACGTCTAGCGCTGGGATGAGTCGAGGATCAGACCTGGAAAACCTCGAGACTCTGCAAATTCTCGGGAAAGGCAGCTTCGGGGTTGTCAAGCTTGTATGGGACCGATGCCGACGCCAGGTCTATGCTATGAAGGTCATTCGAAAGTCTGACATGATTCGAAGCTGCCAAGAAGGGCACTTGCGAGCGGAGAGAGACTTTTTGGCGGCCTCTGAGAATTCGGAATGGTGAGAAGAGTCCTCTCGATGTGCTGGGCAACGCTGTTCTGCCATGCTAACCGGGACTAGGGTTGTGCCCCTGATATCCAGTTTCCAAGATCCAGTCAATCTCTACCTTCTCATGGATTACATGCCGGGGGGTGACTTTCTTGGTCTTTTGATTCGCGAAAACATCTTGACCGAGTCGAGGACTCGATTCTACATTGCTGAGATGATACTTTGCGTTGAAGAGGCCCACAGACTTGGATGCATTCACCGAGATGTCAAACCAGACAACTTCCTCATCGGTGCCGATGGCCACCTGAAAATCTCGGATTTTGGGCTGGCTTTTGACGACCATTGGTCCCATGACACCTCTTACTACAAATGGCAGCGACAGTCAATTCTGGCCCTAACGGGTGTTACGCTAGACGGTGATGGCGAAGATCGAAAAGCCGCCCGTGATGGTGGACAGTCGAGGCGACAATCATCTCGGGAAGGGTCATCAAAACACTATCCACCATCAGAATTGCTCCAAACCAAGTTTGATGGACTTGAAAGCCCGTTCAATGTCGTCGAAACAAACGCAGACGAAATTGTGAAAGTCGACAAGCTACTTGGCTGGCGAACAGGAGAGACGCGCCGATCCTTGGCCCGCTCAATTGTTGGAACAAGCCAGTATATGGCTCCAGAAGTGGTCATGGGAGAAAGATATGATGGCAGATGCGACTAGTGGAGTATTGGAATCATCCTTTACGAATGCCTATATGGGCATACGCCGTTTCTCTCCGAGAAGGGTCGCCACTATACCAAACAAAACATCCTTGTAAGTCTGAACAGCACTTGCCATTGAATATTTCTCTGATTCCGAGGACAGGAATATCGGAAAAGCTTGGTCTTTCCTGTTGACGGACCTCCAGTCTCCAGAGTGTGCCGGCAGTTGATCAAGGACCTGCTTCGGGACAAGGACGGCCGCCTCTCTTCACCTGAGTATCGCAACCAAGATGCTCGACGGAGCTGGGAAAAGCTTCAAGGATACAAGAGGGTACCAAGTCAATACGTTTTCAATAACGACGCATCCGAGATCAAGGCTCACCCGTGGTTTCGGGGCGTTCCTTGGGAAGCAATACGCTCCAGTCGACCGGAGTGGATACCGCACATCCAAAGCCACGCCGACTCTCACTATTTCGAAGAAGACGAGCCGATCAGCGACTGGTCTGATTCAATGGATTCTGAAATAGTGGAGCGGCCGGAGAACCTGGACGATCTCCGTCTCAGGTTTGTACAGCATGGCTTTGAAAGCGATGTGAAGGGTCTAACCACTGAGTTTGTCTCCAAACCCTACGATTCATCCAAATTGAAACGATTTGATCGCGATATTGACGATCATGCCTTTTTGGAAGATGCCGAAAAGGCCTTTCTCAAATGGTACGTCAGAAGAGTCGGGCGAAAAGAACACAAGCGCCCAAGAGACAAATTGCTCCGGGACCGTTGGGTAAAGGAGGAAGTTCTTCAGATGAGAAAGCAAACAGCCTTTCTGGGTTATTCATGGCGACGCAAAGACATGGTCAGTCGTAGGCCTGTTGGAACAGTCTACCCTATGAATTCTTGAATGAGGGCGAGGAATGGGTGGTCACCCGAGGCGACTTTGGGCGGAGGGGCAGATTTGTAGTAGCTAATGGTGAGAGCTTGGGCTGGGCACGCGTAGAAGGTGTGTTGCGCCATCATGAGAAGGAAAGAAGAACGTCAAGTATGAATAGACATTATTCTTCATTACGTATTAGCCTCTCTCCTGGTGCGTGTGACATGTTGTGGGGGCACCACCAACTACACCTGGAGCCAGGGGTATCATAGTTCCAAACTCTGCAGGACGACCATCGTTTGGGTCCCTAAAAAGACTTTTCCCTCTCTTCTCTCTCTCCTGAGACGGCCCCACGTGCATGCCTTTTGGCGTTTGTGATTTCCCATTCAAACTCCTTCAAGGCTCGGAGTTCAGAGTTGAAGAAGAGGAGTGACATGAGACCGTCAACAACACCGGCAACCAGCCCAAGACTGCTCAGAAGCATGAGGATGAAGGCGACAAAGTTGTGCGGGCTGAACCACACGGCTACAAGGCACGCTATCAAGACGGCAAACCACGCAAAGAAGTGTATCCCCCGCCAGCGCCGTTGGGACTCCTCCCGGTGGATGTACTGACGTGTCACGGAGAGTATCTCGTCGTAGACTGGGAGTGGAAGACCTTTGCCCGGCCTTTCGGGAAGGGGGGGATTCTCGGACGCGAAGGAGTCGCGATGAGAGCTGGCTGAGGCGTCCTGGAGGTAGGATATCTCATTGTCGTTTCCTGTTGCGTCTACGCCTAGGTGTTTGTGATCGTGGGGGGTCTGGTATGCCAGTGTTGCCTCGACGGCAAAGTGATCGCTTAGAGAACAGCCTAGCGTGGGATGCGGCTCGACCATGCCGACTTTGGCGCTGCGGACGACCCAGGTGCCGTCGTCTCTGCTGCTGCTGCTGCTGCTGCTGCTGCTGCTGCCAAAGAAGATGTAATCCAGGCGTTTCCCCTTTCTATCGAGGGTCTCTGGCGGAATGACGATGGGGTCTTTGCCCTCGCCCAACTTGTTCTGCTGCTCCTTGGACCAGCGCCAGGTATTGTAGACGTGGTCTGACGTGGCGCCGTTTTCGCGCAGGTTGAAGTCGGCCGAGGGGACGGGCCTGCCGCGCGCCTTTTCGAGGGGGTCGTCTGCTGCGCCGAGGGACGAGTCCGGGTGGAGGACGCGCCAGGTGTCGGAGACGGGGGCGTGGGCTGTGATTATGCGGTGCGGGAGGGAGCAGGGCCGCATGTTGAAGTCGCCCATGGCGAGGGCGAGGTCGCCGCGTTGGGTGGCGGCGCGGAGGAGTTTGGACATTTCCCAGGATTGGGAGAGGCGGTGGGCTAGGTAGGTGTCGCCTGGTTGGTTTTCGGTGTAGGGTGCGTGGGTGTGGGTGTTGAAGATGCTGAGGACGTGGTCTCTCCCGGGACGGCCTCCTGCCGAGTTGTCGTCATCGCCGTCTGTGGCGGCGGCGGCGGCGAGGCGGATGGGGATGCGGGCGCAGGCGATTCCCTTGCCGACGTACCAGTCGCCTCTCCAGAAGGCGGTCGGTCTGCCGTTGAGGGGATAGCGGAGCATGGAGCTTTCTTCGAGGGGCCAGCGGGAGAGAACGGCGAGGCCGCCGCCAAAGGGGCCCGAGTAGTAGAACTTGGCGTGGGGCAGGACGGCGGCGGTCTCGGCGCGGATGGCGTCGTAGTCGGCGGTGACCCAGCACTCTTGGAGGGCGACGACGTGGGGCGGGTCCGGGAGGGCGGCGATGCGGCGGCCGATTTCTGCGAGGCGTTGGGGGCGGAGCTTGGAGATGTATTTTAGGCCCCAGCAGTTGAGGGTTAGGAGGCGGAGCTCTTTTGGGAGAGGGTCGTCCATTTTTGGTGGTTTAGATGTTTTGGTATGAGGAAGTGAAGAATCTGAAGGTATGTGTTATGAAAGGAAGGAGTAATGTGGTTGAATAAATAGAAGAACCCCGTTAAAGAGAATGCGGAAGAAACCAAAGAATGAGATGGCTTAAATTGGGCAGAGGTAAGGTATTAAAAAGTGTTGAACGCGTGTAAGACGACAACAAGCTCGCTATAAGATAGGTCGGCACTTGCAGGTCGTGGACGATTACGCCGAAGCTTCCGAAGTGGAGTGTGAGAGCCGGATCTAGGTTTTGTAATTATCGCAATGGCAAGTACTATAGGTAACTCGGCTGGCGCTATGGCATTTGAAAAGATGAACGTGAAGTCGCATTACCGTCAAAGGTGAGGTCGGATCGCGGGGCTCTCATGAGATGGGATGAAAAGGTCACTACAACGGACGCTTGGACTTTCGGGTGACGTTGTGTTCGGCTTTCTTTTTCTGACTTCCTGGAGCTCTCCCGTTTGCGTTTGCCAGAGTGCCGGGGATTGTCGACGGAAGGAATCCACTTATTTGCGTCTGCGCGGCCGGAGCGAACCCAAGTGGTTCGCCATTGGCCAATCGGTACGTTGATTGCAGCAGCGATTTCTTATCTTAGCGGTCCCGCACACTATCAGGGGAGAAGCTTGACCCCGGAGTGACCTGTGCGGTGGAGACGAGGCTGAAAAGTAACCGCTAAACGTCAGTCAAGCAACCCCTGCTTCTTTTCAACGCGCCAAATGTTGCTGATCATTCTTTCCGTCCGTCTTTCATTCAGCCTTATCATTTACTCTCCTTGACATTGCGCTTTCCTCCCACGGCTCGCCCACGAACGAACAGAACAGCCTTCTCTACCAATACACAAGAGAACTGGCAAAACCCCCCTCACCTACTCGAACCTTTCCACCCAAATTCAATTCGAAAATGTCAGAACTCGGCTCCTCAGCAGCAGCAACGCCTCTCCCCGAACCCCCTCCAAAACGTCGCAAAGTCGTCGCCGCACATAGCACATCCGCGACACCACGATCAAGCTCACCAGATGAGCTCAACGACACCACAGTCACCACCACCTCCGCCACAGCAGCAGTAGCAGCAGCAGCAGCAGCAGCAGCAGCCGCGAAGAAAACCACCGCGACGACGACAACGAGAACGAAGAAGCAGCGGTCCAGCACGTCACGTCGCCTGTCCACCAACCGCGGCCGCCCCAGCATGACACCTAGCAGGTCTCCTAGCGAGGACGAGCTCAACGAGGCGGCATACTACTCTCGCTCCTCACACTCCAAATCCCGATCGCGTTCGCACTCGAGGTCGCGGTCGCGATCGCGCACACCGAGATCGGCGACCGCCTCGCCCTCGCGCTCACGCAGCGATGACGACGACGAAGACGACTCCCGCGCAGGATCACGATCGCCCGCGTCCACATCGGGCGGGGGGAGTTCACCGCGCAGTCTCTCAGGCGCCGTCGACCGCAGGCTACGGCTCTCCTCAACCAACGGTGGCGCAGATACCGGCGCGACAGTAACGACACCCGTAACACCCGGACCCGTGAAGAGGGGCCCCGTGAGGCCGCGGTACGAGGAGAAAAGGGTGCTGAGCGGACACGCGGGGAGCCCCGTCTCGCAGGTACGGATATCGCCCGACGGCCGTTGGATCGCGAGCGCCTCGGCCGACGGCACCGTCAAGACGTGGGACGCGGCCACGGGGGAGCACATGGACACGCTGGTGGGCCACATGGCGGGCGTGAGCTGCGTGGCGTGGAGCCCCAACAGCGAGAGCCTGGCGACGGGGTCCGACGACAAGTCGATTCGTCTCTGGGACCGGGTGACGGGCCGGCCAAAGGTCACTGCCAAGGGCGTGGGCCACATGGCCAAGGACGACGCGGCGCCTGCGGCTCATCCCATGCCGCCGCTGCGGGGGCATCATAATTATGTCATGTGTCTTGCCTTCTCGCCAAGGGGAAATATCCTCGCTTCGGGATCCTACGATGAGGCTGTGTTTCTGTGGGATGTGCGGGCGGGTCGTTTGATGCGTAGTTTACCGGCGCATAGCGACCCGGTCAGCGGCATCGACTTTTCCTGCGACGGCACGTTGGTCGTGAGTTGCTCCACCGATGGTCTCATGTAAGTTCAACCAACACACCCCCGCGCCCAATTCTTTCTTCTACTTGACTGGAAGCCTTGTCCACTAACCATGAAACATACAAACACAGTCGCATATGGGACACTTACACAGGCCAATGCCTCCGCACCCTAGTCCACGAAGACAACCCCGCCGTAACGTCCGTCTGCTTCGCGCCCAACGGTCGCTTCGTCCTCGCCTTCAACCTCGACAACAGCATCCGCCTCTGGGACTACGTCGCCGGCTCCGTGAAGAAGACGTACCAGGGCCACGCCAACAACCGCTTCGCTATCGGCGGCTGCTTCGGTCTCGTCCCCGGCGAAGGCGCCTTCATCGCCTCGGCCAGCGAGGACGGCGAGATTGTGCTATGGGATGTTGTTACGAAGGAGGTTGTCCAGCGGATTCCCACGCACAAGAAGGATTCTTCTTCGCACCGGGGGGGAGGAGGAGGCAAGGGTGCCAGCGTGTGTTTCTGGGTTGAAGTTCATGGGGACGTCATGGTTTCGGCGGGGCAGGACGGGCGGATACGCATCTTTAAGAGGGCGTTGAGCGAAGGGGAGGTTGGTGGTGCTGAGGCCGTTGCTGCTGCTGCCGCTGTTGCTGCTGATGGTACTGAGACGAATGGAGCGGAGAAAACGCTGACGAATGGTCACACAAATGGTGAGGAGGCCAGAGGAGAAGAAGTCGCGCATATCAATGGCACGGAACCGCCAATAAAGCAGGAAGAGGACGTGGATATGGCTGGTGTATGATGGGATGTCTCACGCAGGGGAAGCTAGAGAGAGATATGTAGAAAGGGGGGGTGGAGAAAACAGACTCATCTCGGGGGATAGCTAGATGACCTGAACATGATACCAAGACACATGGACAACTGTCCTCTTGAAACCTCTTCAACGGGCAGACGTCGTTGCCAAATATGAAAACTCCAGCGGAATCTTTGTTTTGTGCAGAGTATCATTTTCTGCTATTTTGAAATTCAAACACTCGTTTGCCAACCTGTCGAAACTCCGACGTTGCCTCCCTGCCACACCCCTCCCAAAGTTGCTATGTGTTCTAGCGATGAGAAAATAACAAAAAGGGTCGAAGATGCATGTCATGTCTATCCTTCGCTTTCCACCCGCAATTCGAAAGAATATGTATTTCTGCCCGCCAATTCCCCCCCTCCGGTATCTCTCTTTTCTGCATGGGGCTCGTTTCTTCAAGACTTCATCACTTCCATCCACCCGGCGACACTTCAAATCGTCTCCCAGCCACCATTGTTAATTTCCGCCTCGAGCTTACGACTAATATAGCTCGGAATGCCGTGACTGAGGAACGTGGTACGCAGCATGGAGTCGTAGCGCTTCTGGTTCAAGAAAAGCTGGCGGCCGTGGCGCAGGCCCAGATCCGTCTCGCCGTACTTGTCAATGTAAGGTGCGCTGCTAAAGGACCCCGACAACCTGAACAAGTAGAAAATGCAACACTTGCGAATGTTGAGGAAGAGGCCAATGTTGCTCTGACACCTAGAACATGGGGAGATTAATATGGATATTTTTCATATCAACATTCATGAATACTTACTTTCGCATGTGTTGCTGCGATCCGCCAATCCTCTGCGGCTCACGGTCGCCAGATGCCGTCTCCTCCTTGAGACAGCAGACTGCCTGACCACAAAAGACCTCTCCGCAAAGCAGGCAAATCATGGGATCCGAAACGTCCTTCCCTGTCGTCGGACACTTGCGTCGAGTGGCTTCCTCGATGAGAGCGTCGTAGTTCTTCGGTAGTCCCACCAGCTCGAAGATGCCTGGGTGACTAATGAGCGCGGACTTGGGGAGCCTGCGGTCGGCGTCGCCTGGCCACATGATTTGATGTCTGATCCATCCACTGACTAGACTGGATGTCGACTCAGGCCAACCGAACTTGGGACCATGGTCGGTGATGGCGGCACACATCTCGTCAAAGGTCGGTACCCGAAGTACTTCAGTGAGGCGGTCTAACTCGTCCGCGTCTGGCTGAGGAGAAACGTGGCTGTTGAAGTCTACGCCGTACTTGATGTAGAGAAGAATGACGCTCTTCCTAAGGAAAGTCAGAGCATACTTCTTGACGAAAGTGTAGTAGCCCTCGAGGTTGTCCAGCTCCGGTTGTCCGAAGCCCTTGTTCTCGCCAAGATCTGCTGGCATCTCATGGTGGGATACGTTGATCTCCATGCCGGTCTTGGTGATTGCAAGGCAGAATTCGGCAAAGTTCTTCAGTGCCGGATCTTGTGTCTCCCTATTGAGAAGATGGTTCACCCAAGTGGACACCGGGATGTTGCGTCCCATGTGGTAGACAACCTTGACAATCTCCGCAAGATAGCAAAGTCTCAGGATATGGGTGACGTCAAAGTTCTGAGCGGGGATGACGCCAAAGACGCACTCGGTGAAGAAGATAAAGGCATCCTGGCCAAGCAACGGCGGATAAATGTCGATAGGACGCCTGACGTGTTCCGTTTCCTGTCCAAAGTACTGCGAGACGAATAGTTGAACGTGTTGCCGCTCGCTATCCAGGCGGAACTCTTCGTCGATCCAGTTGTCTCCGCCTGCCTTAAGACCACCAACAGCCCGGTAGGCAGTGGCCGTCTCAGCCAAGATGCGGAGGTGCGTCAGACTCTGCTCGGGAATCTTCTCCAGCAGCGTCATACCGTACTGGGCTTCGGTACCACGCTGCTGGATCTCTGCGGCCGATGTGGAGTAACCAACCAATTTAGCCAGGACGTCGCTATGACACAGCTCGTTCTTCTCTCGCAGCTCGATGATGAGCCTGTCGTGGCGAGTCTCAAAGTTGTTAGACCGTACAGTATCGCGAAGGCGGCGGTAAACCTTGGCCAGTTCGGTCATGAGAGTGGAACCATCACTCTGTACAGATCGACGGTTGGAGACCGGCGTGCTGGCTGCCGGGAATACGGATGTCAGCGGCGTATTTACAACCACAGAATCCAGGCCCGACTCATCAGCCGACCATGCTTCTTCCAGTAGCTGAGGCGCCTTCTCTGCCAGTGAACCCGTGACTTGTCCTGCGGTATAGCTGGCGAATCCTGCCTGAACTTGGTCGGGCGGGCGATTCGCACCAAGGACGTAGTAACCGGATCGCATTTGAGCGTCTAGGAAGTCTGCAAAGATGCGCTGGGATTGAAGGGGCCCTGGGAAACATTCTTCTTGCCCCTTCCAAATGATGGGCAAGAACGCGTTTCCAAGAGCCTTGCATAACGGGCAGACAAACTCTTGTCGTCGAAGGTTCTCGGGGTGGTGTCGGGCAATTTGGTGATGGTGTCGCCGATTTGTCGCATCAAAGTACATCTCAAAGCAGCTGTAGTGCATCATATGGCCGCAACCAGTTGAGACCGGTCCAGGTCGCGAGAGGTTGGACGGGAATCCTTTGCCAATCGTTTGACGTTCCGCAACAAACTTCTCACCTTGAGCATTAACCTTGGTGACTTCTTGTCGATTCTCATGAGCAACACCGAACGGCCGGATGTCTTCTGCAGAGCGATCCAGGCTAGAAGGTGTATGGAAGGCTTCTCTAACAAAGTCAGGATCTTGTAAATCCGTCTGTCGTAGAATGTGACTCTCATTGAAGAGAGCAAACGTGCCATAAAGACGACGATCGTCCGTATCTTCTTGACACAGAATGCAGGTGCCAGTGGGATACTTCCAGTTGTTCTTCCGGTCAGCGTTCTGCTCGGCCTCTTCCTCATCCTCGAGATCCGAGCCCCAGTCAATGTTGCCCTGGTTTTCCAAGAAGCTCTTTTGTTGCTGTTGGAACTGAGCCATAACCTTGGCTTGCCGACTGAGCGCGGCCTTCTTCTTGCGCTCGCGTTCTTCCTCGGCAGAGTTGTTGGCTGGGGATGCAGTATCAATGCGGTCAACTGATACGCCCAACCGGACATAGGCATTCTCAAAGTTGCGTGGGCGCTTCTGTCGCATCCTCTTCAGGATGAGAGCAATCTTGGGGTGACATGCCTTGAACTCTTCCTTGGTAGACATCATGTCCAGCAACGCGACGATGGTCTTCGCATTAGGCGCTTCTTGCATGAAGTTGCTTCGGGCCGTGCGTGTCAGGGATATGAAGACGAAGGAGTTGAGCGACTCCTCCGTCATGTCACTCTCGTCTGCCTTGTCCTCGGAAATCGCAATGAGGATTAGGTGAAGGACGACCTGAAGGAAAGTCTCAGTCCGAGTAGATGGCACGCTTGGCGTAAGTCTGGCGGCGACCAGCGGGTAGAGCAAGGAGTAGTAGATGACCTGGGCAAACATGCCGGTGCTGGTAAATGCAGCCAGGTCTTTGAACAGGCCCGAGGGAATAGATCGAAGTTTGGGCTCGTACACAATTTCTTCGACCGGCTTCCCAGTCTTGATGGCCATCTTCTTGCGATATGCCAACTCGGACTCCTCACGCTGATTCTTGTTGTAGTGGGCAATGTACGGGTCAATATGCTCAACGAACTCGGGTCGCAGCTCAAAAGTGCCGACGTCGGAGACACCCTCTGGAGGCTTGAACGAAGCCATTTCATCAAGCACACGATGGAAATCTTCTTGCTCCTGCCACTTCTCGGGCAGCTTGTTGCTAATTTCGTTGAACGAGAGGGGCTTGAAGCAAAGAATGTGAGTGAGATCGCGGCGGATGGCGAGGACGTTGGCGTTGGGCTCGTCCTCAGAGGCAATCAATGATGTGCGATCACTCAGCAACACAATCAGGAGGTGAATCATGTCTTCAACCACGTCCAAATGTTGCGCATCGTCTTGCGCCGCCGACTTTTGTTCAAAAAAGCCCTTGACCCATTTTTCCATGCCGAATCGATCAATGATGGATGCGAGGACGCGGCTTGGATCAGCCGTAACCATGGCAGTCTGGAGCAAGAAGATATCTCGGTGGTGAGAAACATCTCTTTGGCTGACTCCACGATATGTCGCCGCCTGGTGACGCAGACTAATGCCATTGCGAACCCACATGTTCGCCTTGATCTGCGCCAACCAAGCGCAAACTCGCAGGGGATAGTCGAATGCAGCCATGAGATTATCTTCCGGTGAGTTGTCCCTTCTTGGCATGACCTTGCGACCCATGGAGCGGGGAGGAACCCTCAGGTCTTGCGTCGTAAAGCTCAACAGAGCTCGCATGCTTGAGGCAGGGAGAGACTTTCCGCACTCAACCAACCACGAGAGCGTATAGTGGAGGGCGTGGTGGAAGCTGATGGGGTCCTCCTCGACGGTAAACTTGACCACTTCGTACCGTGCCAACTCATTGTCAAACTCGAAATCACCCAAAGTCTTGAACTTGACCTCTTCCTTGATTTCCGCCTGCTTGAACCGATGGCGTTCGGCACCAATCGAGTGAAGAATCACTGCCTTTGCTGTCAATTTGATGGCCTGGGCGACGAAGTGGGCCTCGCTTTCCGGCACATTCCTGTACGCGTCGGCAAGTTGTCGAGCGAGTCTGTTGATTTCGCGTGTCACCAGCGAAGCCGTTATCCAGCTATCCGTCTCGTATTCGACATGCTCCCCAATGGCGCGAACATTCGGCCCAATGCCTTGGTGTAGCTTGACAAGATCCAAGAACTGCAAGAGATATCTCTCCTCGGTGCGCAGCTTCTCTTGGACATTTGGCGAGCCGAAAAGATACTTCAAGTCCAGATAGAAGTGGTACATGCGCCGATTCGTCACTGAGCCGGAATCGAAGGCGAGGACAGCATTGGACGAGACATCCCACGGGTAACCCACCTGTCTCGTGGTTAGGAAGGTATAGAAAATGGCGAGCAAGCTCGTCATGAAATTGCCGCGTTCGACAATCTCTGCAGTAATCGACGGTGTCGTGAGCATCTGTAGAGACAAATTGATGATGGAGTGGTCTGGCTCTCTGTCTCCAATCAGATAGAGTTGAGCCAGCGTTGTGTACAATCCTGCAAATCGTAGTCCCAAGATGCGCTTGAATTCGGGTATCGAAACAACAGTTGAAATGTAGAGGGATCGAAGGTCGTTGCGTACTTTCTTCCACATGCGAAGGTCGAATAGAATGAGCCAGTCAAGACGAACCCTTTGGAAGACATCTTCTGCCGGGGGAACATTCTCACGGTTCATGTACCCAGGAGGAGTCTCAAGCCAGTACCTACCCGGCTTCGGTGAGGGCGCCTTCTCTCCCTGGCCAGGGGTTTTGGGGATTTCCAAGTTGGCCTTGGCGTATATCGCAGGTGCAATCAAGGGCTCGGCAGTGTCGGAATCTGAAGGCGTCAGATCGCGATCTCTGGCGGACCGGCGTGCAGCTGCGGGTGGGGGTGGAGGAGGCGGATAACCGGCCATGGTAGCTTCATCTTCTTCCAAAGCTTGATCATTACCACGCCACTCGAGGCCAATATCCCCAGGCCCATCAGGCTGGATATCCACCATCATGATGTCGTCCATATCGTCATCATCGTCATCGTCGCCTGCGTCACTATCCGGAGTGCCGTTTCCCCTGCCCATGTCGATGTCATCATCATCACTGCCGTCCAAAGTTCTTGTTTGCTGTTGGGCAGCAATACGCTGCATCTGCAGCAAGACGTGCTGTGTGAAAGACTGAGACTGCTCGAGATTTCTCAAGAACCTCTCTTCGTCGTAAATGCCATCCTTTCCCACAATAGCATGGCTTCCAGGACTGCCCTTCCTCCAAGGCTTCATCATCTCCTGGCAGACGGTGTTTCGCAGAATGGTGTGATCTGATCCGACACTACATCCTGAGATGTCGCTGAGCCACTCAATCATGGCCCCACACATCTGCTCACGGAACGTGTCGCGCGATGACCTGATGGTGACGGTTACTTTGATATGCTCCAACTTAGTGGCCATCTCAAGAAGAGCGTCAAGGTCGTCGAGCCGCTTCAGAATGCTGCGCCCGACAAGATCCGTCTCGGTAGCGCGTTCGAGAGCTTGAGCCTCGGTTGTTCTGCAAGCCCGCGCAATCTGATTCTGCACATCCTCCACTGTATGCTTCTCATCATTCCAGAGGACCAGCGCGTATTCGGGGTGCCCCGAAGGACCTTCGCCATAGATGCTTGGAGACAAGCGCGAAAGCTCCTCGTCGGCTTGGATAGAGTCGGCCGTCTTGCCTTGCCGCAGCTGCTCCGGTGAGCATGATATGACGTCGCAGATGTAGTCAAAGACACGGCCAATTGTCATCTGCATGTTCTGCACCAGGTCCTCGGAAAGACCGGCCGGTTCCTTTCCCTTTCCCTCGCCCTTCTCCGGGCTCGTCTCGGAGTGAATCGTACAGAACATCGGAAGGCGCCACGCCTCGTCATCGCCACAGTCACAACATCCACTATTACCGACGGAAATGCTGATGCGAACCATGTGTTCGGCGTGATCGGTCGAGTCAAAGCATCGGCTGCAAAGGACGCAAGTATCATCGGTACTGCAAGTTCTGCAGGAGTAGGAGGCTTCTCCGGGCTTGAAAATGTGGCCGCATCGCTTGCCGCGGGCGGCATCGGTGTATTCGGCGCCTTCCTCTGCGCCTTGAGCATCGTGGAGTTTGAGGTTGTGCGAAGGACGTCCAGAGGGGAAGAAGAGGGGCATGTATCGTTCGCCTCCTGCCAAAGACCAGAAGAGACTTTCCAATAGGTCGTGGTGCGCTTGATCGTCGTACTCGTAGTTCCATCTTGCGGGAAGCTCTCGGAGAAACTCACAGAGCTGGCGCTCTTGAGTTGACATGGGGGTTTCCATTATAAGGGATCGGTCATGGCTTTCTCTCTCGGGGTTCGTTTCGTTGCGGGAAAGAGTCGGATTCTCAGCAAGAATAAGTGCGTTGCTTGCTAATGGGAAGTGTTTCGGGGGTGGTTGATGTTGCTGGAGCCCGGTGATGTGCGATGTTGCGTATCGGTAGAGCTCTGGCGGGGTCCTTTTGGCAAATAGTGGCGGGTCGCTTGTACGCGGTGAGTAATCTAAGGTGGACTGGAGGACGGAAGATGGTAAGCACCTGGCAGGTATCTCGGATGCAAAAGGTAACAAAACTCAGAAGACTGCGGGAAATGCTTACCGACGAGCAGAATCCAAGATGGATCTTCACAGGCAATAGCGGTGACGTTTCCTTCTCAAAGGAAAAAAAGGGCGGTAGTGGATGTGTTGTTAAAAGGTGGTTGACACTGCAAGTCCCGGTAGAGCACAAGCACAGGTGCACTCGGGCGGGAGCTGGGAGGTGCTGGCGCGTTTGGTGGGGTTGGGTGAGATCAGCGGGAGACGACGTTTGAGCTGGAGAAAGTGAAGAGGTGGCAGGGGCATGGGTATCTCCTGTTCTCCTGTTTGGGCGAGCACAGCGACCAGGTTTCTGTTTGGCGGCACATGTCACTATTCACTACCTCCCAATTATAGGTGTGATAGGTAGTGTGCCTAAGACTCAAGTACCTTACTTTCGGGGGATTTCGGTGAGGGAAGGCACGTTAGCACGTTACCTTAGGTAAGGTAGCCCAGCTGCATGTGCTTGCTTCCATTGCTTTTACCCCGCTGTCCTACCAGTCGAGGGCCAGCATGAAAATATATCAGGTCAAAGACATGATTCTCCCCATTTGTTTCGCCCAAGAACTTGGATCCATTGATTACCTTGCAAGTACAGAAAGAAGAATTGCATTCAGGGAGTGTGATGCCTGAGCCAAAGTATCATATTTCGGTCTCCTATTTCTGCGACATAAAATCATCCATCTCTTGAAAGATGGAGCCCTGCAAAGTAAGAATTCGACTGGTCATGGTTTTTGTCTACTCAGAATCAACCATACGATTCCGCTGTTGACATGAGACAACTAGAAACATTTTCTACCGATTCCCTTGTGCTTCACTTCTAAGCCCGTGCCAACATCACCAAACAAACTGATCCACCCTTCTATGAGTCTATACCACTCCGAAAATGAGATAGAATGTCACAGCGCCCTCAACTTCTCCAAGTTCTGCTTCCCCATCACTGTCGCCAAGCCAGCAACATAGATATTTTGCAGCTTCGAGTAACAGCAATAAGTCCGACCTGTCGGGAGATTCGCTGAGTTCACTGCGATCACCACACTCCACGACCGTTTCTGCCCACTCTAGCAGCTGCGCCATGGTTGCCGCTGCCTCCCGCTTCTCCCCCTTGGCCAGCAATCGGATCAGTGTGTCTAGTTTGGCTTGTTCCCAGAGATGGTCGCAAATCCGGCTGATGCTGTCCACCAGCGATTCATTTGGTACCCTGTCGCTATCGGTCGGAGAGGCTGAAGACGAGAAATTATGTTGCGAATCTCGTTGAACGGGTCGATCGTAGGGACCGGGGCGACGACTACTTCGGCGAAACCCCCCTAGGCAGCTCCCCCTGCGATTGCCTCCACGTTCTTCTTTGCGATCGTTTCTGCGTTGTCTGCGTCGTTGTTCGTGATACTTCTGACTAGCTCGTAGACAAATTTCCTGAACCGAGTGAATCCTGACTGCCAGAGCATGCCTCTCCCCATGCATCGGAGGAACCACCTCGCGGGGATAAAGCCATGTTGGAAACTGCTCAATTTCGCATCTTGCCCCGCCAGAGTTCGTTACGGATTCGTTCATGTCTCTTCGGTGCGGAATACAAACAGTCAATGGCTCAAGTGGCCTGCCGTAGATAGTGCGCCCAGCCAGAGCGCGTCGTTCCAGAAGAAAACCAGCGTGGAGTTGCGAATAGAACAAAGGTGGCGTAGGCGAAGCTTGTATAGCCATCGAATCCCTACTGGTCGCCGAATTCTGATAGTTTTGTCTGAACGCAAGATTGTAGATGAATGTGCTGGGTGAGCGCTGAGGCTCGGGGTCTCTGCCGTACTGCTCCATGTTGAATGTCGATTATCGATGTAATTTCAGAAGGTCTGCTTGAGTTAGAGGTTCTGTACACGGAGTATTTGTATAAAGTTGGGTGTCGAGGGACATGAGGCAGGCCTCTCCAACAATGCTCTCGGGGAGAACTGTCGAGAACGTATGACTAGGTGCTAGCAAGTCAGTTCACACTAAGGAGGTGAGTATCTGAAACATCGTGGTATTTCCATTGAAAGCTTGCTATGAAAAGTTGTCTAAGTGCTCCAAATGACGATTCTCCCGTCGACACCGCTGGCTTCATCTCTAATTAGCATTCGACACCGAAAACAAAGGGAATGAAACACTTACAGGTAAACTTTGTCAGGTTACCGCCAGACTCTTCATAGGAACGAAGTGTGGTGACAGTGTTCTGGTGTACCGTCTTGAGCTTGGTGTCGTCAGTAGCCTTGCCCTTCAGATCCATCTGCCTGAACATGTTCAACGCAGACTCTTCGCGGGCGTCGCTAAGGCCGGGTCGGCCCTTTGACTCGAGTGTGCCAGCAAGGCCCCAGCCGCCTTCGTCGCCCTTGAAGCGGAAGGCCTCGCAGTCATAGCCTGCGGCAATGATTTCATCCTCTGAACTCCACAGAAGGCTCATGAAGGGTAGCAGCTGGGTGCTGATAGTGACAACGGCCCGGGGAGGCTGTTCAGGGGCACTGGGGTATACGACGGTAATGCTGCTGTCGTGAGCAGCAAAGGCCAGGGCGTTTCCGCTCGGTGAGAAGGAGACAGAGTGCACCCAGCCGGCAGAGTTGTTCAGATACTCTCCGCAGACGGTATTGAACGGCAACCGTTCACCCCAAGCGGTCGGCTCAGGGCGGGCGTCGACGCCCTTGATGAAGCTGGACAGAACCCTGGCGTGGGCGTCGGTGGATCCGGCGGCAAGAAGAACGGAGTTGGGGTGCCATGCGACGGATGTGATGGTGCTGCGGATGGGCTTCTTCAGGTGCTTCGACACCCACCAGTCGTTCTCCTCCTCAAAGTAGCAGACAGCAATTACGCGGTCGCCCGATCCGACGGCGAACTTGGTCTCGGACGGAGACCATCGCACAAAAGTCGCGGCGCGGCTGATTCGAAGGAGGACAAGTGTGGGCTTGTAACCGGTCGGTGAGGGCTCCCAGACGAGGGCATTCCGGTCTATCGCGAAAGGTCAGGTGCTGTTCTCGGCTCGGAGGCAGGGCAGAACTAGGCAGCGCGCATTGACATACCTTGGGAGCAGGAGACAATGCGGCCGCTGTTGGGAGCAATATCGACACTCGTGACGGTCTTGTCATGTCCCTTGAGCTCATCCTTGAGCTTGAAAGAGTTTCCAGTAGGTCCGTAGAGCTCAATGGTGGAATCGCGAGCGATAGCCAGCGTCTGGCGGTCGGCAGAGAAGGAATGGTCTGCGATGGGTGCGTGGAAGAGGTGGTGAACCTGAGGGGCCGCCATGATGAACGATTGCTTCGTGATAGGAGTATAGCTCTCTACTACCACTGTCTAGAACGAGTCGAGGGTTGTTGAGGGAGAATGGAAAGAGAAGAGTCGGAGATGTTGGTAGACGAAGTTGTCGCTTGAGGCAGTGCTAGTAGAGGCTGGCTGGCTTCCGTCCAAGCAAGGCAATGTATCTCACCCAGGCTCTACATACGTAAGGTGCATGCATTGCATACATTACAGCGTACCGTCTGGGAGGTGCACATTGGTGGGGCAGAGAGGGGCGTTACGTAGGTCCTCCGACAGGGCAGCGTGGCATTCGCACCACTCGCTGTCCTGCACAGCTCTGAACCTAAGGCCACACCCTGGCGTCCTTGGAATCGATTGGCGGTGCTAGCAGTGAAGCTCCGAAGGCTGCTCGACCAACTAAAGTGCGGTGGCCGGACGTTCATCACAAAAAATCGGAACCGCGACGATTCAACGACGACGAATATCTCTACGCGCCATCTCGAGATCACGCCCACGCCGAATCCCCTTGTCGAATACCCGAAGATTTCCGCAACGGTCTCCTATCATCTTACCCTCCAGTTCATCACATTGCACAATGGCAGCGGTCGCTCCTCCCCGCGGCCTCGCGCCAAACGCATCATTACCCGCCAAAGTTGCGACTGTCGCTCCGAACCAGACGTAAGTCAGAACCCCCGAAAACAAGAGGCGCTCGCTCATGATTGTAGGCTCTATGTCACAAACCTACCGTCCAACAAGATACAAAAAGCCGACTTGCGAACCGAACTCTACTTGCTGTTCTCCACATACGGTCCCGTTCTCGACATCGTCGCCATGAAGACTATGAAGATGCGAGGACAAGCCCATGTCACCTTCCGCGATATCCAAACAGCAACCCAGGCCATGCGCTCCCTTGAAGGCTTTGAGTTCCTCGGTCGGCCCCTGGTATGCAACCCTGAGTAGTGGATTTTGAGACGGTTCGCTGACGCGTGAACAGACCGTTCAGTACGCAAAGTCCAAGTCCGACTTCGTTGCCAAATTAGACGGCACATACAAGATGCCAAACTCGACAGCAGGAGCTTCCAGCACCGAAGTAACGGATCTTCAGAAGAGTATCTTCAACGCCCCCGCACCTGGTGCCGCATCAGGGGCTGCCGCAGGGGCCGCCACGGCGAAGCCAGCAGCTGGGGGTGATCAAACCATGGCTGACGCCCAAACTGCTGATGCAAGAGGCCAGAAACGGACCAGAGACGAGGAGGAAGACGAGGACAGTGATGTTGCCATGGAAGAGGACAGCGATGACGATTGAGAATCTTAGCCTTACACTTGTTTTCAACCACGGTGAAAGTAAGGTAGGCAGGAGGGTCCCGGCAGCGGCGAGCTTCAGCCGGTTGATTCCAGGGCCATCTCTTTGGGCACCCAGAGCCCGACGCATCCGCCCACCAGGCCGAGCCATAGCATCATGTACTGCTCCTTGGAGCAGTTGAACCCCGACATGGCGTCCCCGAGCAGGCATGGATGAATGAAGAATGACGGTAATCCCGTGAGGGGGTGGTGCTGCGACCTCGATTGTTAGTACAGACCTACAGATGGTCTCTTTCAGAAGATTTAATTGACTGGTCCGCAGCTGATGCCCACTTACATCGCCGGAGATTCCTCCGATGCCACTGGACCTTCGGAGAGCATCCTTGAACTGATCGGGCACGAGTCTTCGAAAGACAGTGTCAAGGTTGAATGCAGGCTCGTCGGCTGGCAGTCCATGTAATGTGAACCACAGGCAAGGCATCCGATATGTGGGATGCCAATGCACTTCGTAGACGACATGACCGGAATCAGGAACGTGTGACTTGGAGAGCGCAGCCTGGGCGTATGTGAGCTAAAGCAGTGTGTCGTCGTACATCAAGAGTCGGACATTACCTCGTCAGACTCTTCATCATCAATCATTGCCTCGTCACCTAATCCCAGAGCGTCCTTGTCTGAAGCACTCCCGCCAAATGAGAAATTGTCCAGAACGGAGGAGAGATCGCCGCAGTCCAACGTAGCCTCGAGTGGCCGGATGATTTGCAAATAAGTAGTGTATTCAACGCCCGAAGCGAATGATGTATCAAGTGCCGTGCAGACCCTCATTTTCCAACGCCGTCGCATCGGGCCCAGGGTGGCACGGCAATATTGGCTATCGAAGTGATGGCATATTTCGGAAAACTCCTCAGGAGTCAAGAATGGGAAGTCTCTCAACGACATTTTGAACGTAGACAATGTGTGACACCCAAAGATGAATTTGCGTTCCCTGTTTCCTGTGACACGGGTCCGAATATCGCTAAGAATTCGACTGGTGAGGAGGGTACAAAATCGTCTTTGAAGGAAAAGACCAGTCGTGGCACTAGAAGGCAGACTCCGCTCTTCGTTGGCTCACACGTACGATATGAACATAGACCGAGGCGATGTCGGGATGTTCGATGCGGCAGACGTCTGTTTCTCCGGACCGTATCCCGCCTGAAGTTGTGATGCTCGGATGCAGGCCATCGACTGTACGGCGAGTTGGGGGTTGGTCGGGTATGCCCTTGGGAGCCCCACCGACTTTACGGATACCCGACCTTTAAGTCGACTACGTATACCGGTACGTATCGATCAGTGGTAGGTAGCATATTGCAGCTTGAATGCAAGACCTTCCATGCCTGGAACTCCTTTTCGTAAAGTATTCGAACCTCAAAGGCTCCTAGGCGTAGGTCTTCTGTCTCTCACTGTCGACAGTGAAAGAATGCCGACATGACAGTCCCGGTGCTAATGTGCCGGTGGCATTACCTTGGGAATCACGTCCTGTCTCAACGTCGGAAGGATCGGCATGTATCTGTGCCGGCGAGAAAAAAAACACAGGGCAGGCTCCAAGCCGACCTACGTGCTACCTCAGCTCAGTGCTATCCGTGGCACGCGTGGTCTCCAGGGTCCCTCTCTATCGGTCACCCACCTTCCGCCGCGACTCGATGGGAGTGGCTAGGAAAGGTACCTAGGCAGCTTCCAGGTTGTCCGTACGGAGTACAGGTGGCCTTTTCTCTTGCCCAGTAAGGGTATTCCGTTTGGCGGCAGAAAGGCCAAGGCCAAGCCCGTTCCTCTTGCCGGCCTTTCCATGGGTTCCTCTCCCGTCCACTAGCGAGCTGGCGCTGTGAGGAAAGACAGTGGCTTGGCGGGTAAAGTGGTCGCCGTGTCAGTACTCGGCACCTTAGCTTTTAGACGCTTTTGCGCGACTGAGAGGCGTCACTCGCTGACCCCGGGCCCGCTCTAGCTGGGCCAGAAAGTCCACATCATCGAGATTCCTTACCTAGATACCTTAGGTAGGTACAGTGGGTGTAGTCTCAGTCTCTGTTTGCTCTTGTCTCTCTTTTTTTTTTTTCCTACATCCCACCCCATCACAGTACAACTGTCATTCCTCAAAGCTGCTGGGGGTTGAATCGGAGCACCAGTCTTTGCATTTCTCTTTCACAGTCTTTTCCCTCCAAGGTTGTTGACCCCCGAGGTTTGCGACCTGTTCGTCCCGTCCCACGTCGTTTGCTCGAAACCGCCGGATCCACACTGCGACAATGCTGAGAGCGTAATATGAATGTTCGCGACCCTTTCAATCTACACCAGAACTCCGCCCTTAGCGTTTTCAAAGTCACGGCCGCCCGAGCTGCCCAAAACATCAAAGAAAAAGCAGTCGAGGCCGGAGCCACTGCGCTGAACGACATGTCTTTCAATGTCCCAAAGAACGTTCCCTCCTTTAGCAATCCCCAGCGACAACTCGAAGACAGATACTGGGGCGCCTCCACCAACAGCAGCCGATCCTACCGTGGAGGCAACTCTGGTATCTTCCACGGTGTGCAGGGGCGGGTAGAAGATCTCCTGGGTACAAAGGGCCAGCTTCCCATGTACAAGGACAAGCCCTATGCCCACCACGCAAGCCGGAGGTTTCGGCCTCTCTGGCGGCGGAAGCGCTCCATCCTCGTCACCTTGTTCTGCTTCGTGACAGGTCTTTGGTTCTTTGGCTTCTTTTCCGAGGGTTCCAAGGCCCGCGAGTCGGCAACGACATGGACTGGTTGGCTTGGTACGACAGAGCCCAAAGGCAAGAAGGTAGACTGGCTCAAGAGACGGGAGAGGGTAGTTGAGGCCTTTGAGCTCAGCTGGGATGCCTATGAGCGCTATGCTTGGGGTAAGACTTTGACCTTGCTGGTGACGTTGTCTTCGTTCATGGAGTTCGGAAGCTAATGGCCGAGTTTATTGATAGGATACGACGAGTACCACCCTATCGCGAAGACCGGACGACAGATGGCACCCAAGGGACTCGGCTGGATCATTATCGACTCGCTCGACACCATGATGCTGATGAATTTGACATCACGCTTGAGCCATGCGAGGCAATGGCTTGCCAACGACTTGACGTGGGATCAAGACCAAGACGTCAACACGTTCGAGACAACCATCAGAATGATGGGCGGCCTTCTCTCTGCGTATTACCTATCGACCGAGTTCCCCGAACTAGCCGCGATCAAAGACGACGACCCGGGTGCGCCTGGCGAGGATTTATACCTGGAAAAGGCAAAGGATCTGGCCGACCGTCTGATGAGCGCTTTCGACTCGCCGTCCGGAGTTCCATACGCCAGCGTCAACCTGGCCACCTACAAGGGCATCGTCTCTCACGCTGACGGTGGCGCCTCCTCGACCGCAGAGACAACAACACTACAGCTCGAATTCAAGTACCTAGCCAAGCTGACGGGCGAAAAGGACTTCTGGGACAAGGTCGAGCGGGTCATGAAGGTAGTCGACGACAACGGTGCCCAGGACGGACTTGTCCCCATTTACCTCTACGCCACGACGGGAGAGTTCAGGGGAGACAACATTCGCCTGGGCTCCCGCGGAGACTCGTACTATGAGTACCTGATCAAGCAGTATCTGCAGACGAACAAGCAGGAGCCCGTTTACCTGGAGATGTGGGACGAAGCCCTCGCAGGAGTCCGCAAGCACCTGATCACCTACAGCAAGCCCTCTGGATTTACTGTTCTTGGAGAGCGCCCCTCAGGCCTGAACCACGAACTCTCTCCAAAGATGGACCACCTTGTCTGCTTCATGCCCGGTACCATTGCTTTGGGAGCGACGGGAGGTATTCCCGAGGCAGAGGCCAGAAAACTCCCCACGTGGAACAAGAAGAAGGACGAGGACATGAAGCTGGCCCGCGAGCTCATGCAGACCTGCTGGGGCATGTACAAGTGGATGGCGACAGGGCTTGCCGCCGAAATCACCTACTTCAACATCGACGACCCACCCGCGTCTCCCTCGGCTTCGCATCACCCACCCAAGGACTTTGATCCGGATCCCCATGCCAAGTGGCGACAGGATTTTGACGTTCACTCTCAGGATGTCCACAATCTCCAACGACCAGAGACCATTGAGAGTGTCTTTTACATGTGGAGAATCACTGGCGACATCAAGTACCGTGAATGGGGCTGGGAGATGTTCAAGTCGTTTGTCAACTACACGTCGGTCGAGGATGGTGGAGGCTTCACGAGTTTGAGCAACGCCAACACGATCCCGCCAGTTACGCGCGACAACCTTGAAAGTTTCTGGATGGTAAGTAGGACCCTGCGTGAATATTGAGCCATAGCAACTAACACGACATGACTAGGCCGAGACACTCAAGTACTTCTACCTCCTTTTCTCACCGGATGACTTGTTGCCCATGGACAAGGTTGTCTTCAACACGGAAGCGCACCCGCTCCCCCGCTTCGATATGGGCAAGCTATTCAGCACAGGCTGGCAGCGCAAGCCAAGAGACGCCAGCGGAAAGCTGATTGTAGAGAAAACGAAGCAAAAGGAGGAACAAGCATGATATCATTGATGTAGGCTCACCTGTGATGAAAGTCAGGGAGAGCATGTTTATATAAAGCAGCATGTCTTTGTCGTTGGAGGTATCGTACTCAAACGGCACAGTCTGGCGTTGTATGGGAAGATGATTTAGCTATTGTAAAAAAACAAAAGCATGAAACCAACGTATCTGTTTACAATGTTCGTACGAAACCACTTTTTGAGGTCCCGTTCCAGAACATACCCGTACTGCGAGGTACTAGTGACTACAATTGCAAGACGATTCATTCTCACAACTCACCAGGAGAGTAAAGATAAGAGATGGTGTACTTTATTATCAGGTATTGAAGGTATGTGCCTCGATGCATGTGGGGCGTGGGATGACAGCTTGCCTCAATCTGTGCGCCTGTCAAACGTTACGTCTGAGGCAAGCTGCAAACAGAGTTGCGAACAGACTGCAGGGCATGACACCTGCATGTTGGACAAAGTCAATTAGGAATTTTGCTTCGGCACTCGGCAGGTTGTCATCATTCCGAGTCCTTCGAGTCTTGGACAAGGAGAAATGGCCGACCATGGGGCGAACATTGACTTGAGCAACTATCATAACCCACGATGCGGGCAGAGTACTGGACGACTTGGGCGGTCGGGATCGCTCCTCGGTGGAGCCTACCAGCTTCCTAGTTGGACGATCTATGGCTCCCCGTCATGTTGCCTCCATTAAAGCACCCCAGACAAGCACATGCTCGTACGGGATACCGATTGTAACAGCGGGCAAGTCGTAAGCGAGAGATGGGCTGGAGTCTGCCCGGAGAGGCACGGACGGACGAGGGAGATAGCGGAAGTGGGTTCAAAAGTAACAAAAGGGCGACTTTGGGGGGCACACTGGCAAGTGCAATTAACTGCCAATTGCCAAGGGACAATTGAAGGATTCGAGCCTGTCCCAGCCATGACCACCTCTCCCCTCATTCGTCCGCGCCAGTGTCGCACCCCCCAAGCCGAGCCAGTTCGTCCTGTCGCCGACGTTCTGAAGGACCGAAAGAGGCGTATTGGACTCTTGTCTGTCAGTCGGGGGGTATCCTTGTCACCAGATTAGACCAGCAAGCCATCCCATCCTGTCACCTTTCAACGCCAATGCGGCAACTGCACTGGTCGGCCCAGCATGATAAGCCTCACCACACACGCTCAGTCACCCAACCCCTTTAGGTGGCGGCAGTCCGTCGCTTTCCGTTGCAAAGACTATTACACGGAAACGTCGTCCTTCCCCTGGTGTGCGGCATAGATACCGAAGCCGACCAGTTTCCCAGTCCGCGAACTCACTACGCTGTACACGAACGATTGCGCCAATACTTTGAGACGATCTACAGGCTTCTTATCGGTGTCAGACCTTACTTCTACGAAACCAGCTACCCTCGGCAACAGGCATGCGATTCTCGACGGAGGTGACCGATGCCTGAACTGCGCCAAGTCTCACCGAACGACCGATATACACGATACCTTACCGATTCGAACACGACCAGACTCAGAGTCAGTCCGAATATTTTCCCCGCGACGAGCGGTGTAAACGACCCCCACTAGTCTCGAGAGATCTACCATTTACATACCGACCAGCTGCGGAAACGGGCATGGCGCCGTACAACGAGGACGTGGAACTCAGTGCGATCAAGATCAAGGAAGACTCCCTCACCCTCGGGAGCAGCTACAGCATGCGGCGGGAACCCATCTACGACCCGAGCCCCGCGCCGGGCGTCCTGAGCCGCGTGCTCGAGAGCTTCAGGCGCGCGCCGACCCAAATGTCCAACGGCAGCATCCACAGGCCAAAGAGCAACTCGTCCCTGGACCTCGAGCCCGGTCACGAGAGGGTGCTGAACGGCGTGCACTACTACGACATCCGCCTCGCCAATCTGCAGACCTCGCACTCTCTCCTCTCGAGAAAGCTCAAGGGCCGGCATTTGCAGATGATTGCTATTGGCGGTTCCATCGGCACGGGACTCTTCGTGGCTTCCGGACAGGCGCTCGAGGTGGGCGGGCCGGCATCGTTGCTGATTGCCTTTTCGCTCGTGGGCGCCATGTTATACTGCACTTGTCAGGCTTTGGGAGAGTTGGCTGTTGCGTTCCCCGTTGCGGGTTCGTTCTCGGCATACTCCACGCGATTTTTGGACCCGTCGTGGGGTTTCGCCATGGGTTGGAAGTGAGTATATGCAGCAGCAGCACGCGCGCATCATCCGTGAGCGCGATAAAGAACCAGGCCGCTGACAAAACAACACAACAGCTATGCACTGCAATGGCTTATTGTACTACCTCTCGAAATCATCGCGGCTGCAATCACAATAACGTACTGGGATGAGGGCATTACCAAGGCTTATTTCGTCACCATCTTCCTTATTGGCATCGTCGCTATCAACCTCTTTGGTATCAAAGGGTATGGTGAGGCCGAATTCATATTCTCTATCATCAAAATCATCGCAGTGATCGGCTTCATGTAAGTCTCAAGCTCCTCCCCGTCGGCGTAGGGCTCTAGTTCTGACCACGAAGCAGCTTGCTAGGAATCGTCCTCAACTGCGGCGGGACCCCAGACTCGGGCTACATTGGCGGCCGATTCTGGCAAAAGCCAGGCGCATTCCATAATGGCTTCAAAGGCCTCTGTAGCGTTTTCGTTACCGCCGCCTTCGCTTTCGCCGGCACCGAGTTGGTGGGGTTGGCAGCGGCCGAAGCAGCGAACCCTCGTAAATCCCTCCCAACCGCCATCAAGCAGGTGTTTTGGCGCATCACCCTGTTCTACGTTGTGGCCCTTACTCTCATCGGGCTCCTGGTACCCTACGACGAGCCCCGCCTCCTCGGTGCTTCTTCCGCCGCCGATGCGACAGCCTCCCCCTTTGTCATTGCCATCGAGAACGCCCAGATCGATATACTGCCCTCCGTCATGAACGCCGTCATCCTCATCGCCGTCCTATCCGTCGGCAACTCCGCCGTCTTTGGTTCCTCCCGAACCCTCGCCGCTCTAGCAGACCAGCACCAGGCCCCGCGCTTCCTCTCTTACGTCGACCGCAAAGGCCGCCCTCTGACGGCCATCGGCGTCGCATCCGCCGTCGGCCTCCTCGCCTACCTCGCCGACCTAAAGCAGCAAGACCAGGTCCTCGACTGGCTCCTCGCCATCTCGGGCCTCTCATCCATCTTCACATGGGCCTCCATCTGCCTCTGCCACATCCGCTTCCGCCACGCCTGGGCCCGCAAGGGCCACGGTCTGCACGAGCTCGCCTTCCGCTCCCAGGTCGGCGTCATCGGCTCATGGTGCGGTCTCTTCATGAACGTCCTCGTCCTCGTCGCCCAGTTCTGGGTCGGTGCCTTCCCCGTCGGCTGGGAGACGTGGGACGCCGAGTCCGTGGCCAAGAATTTCTTTTTGCGGTATGCCGCGTTCCCCATCGTGGCCATCATGTACGCTGTGCACAAGTTTTACTTCCGGACGGTCTTTATCCGTATCGAGGACATGGACGTTAGCACGGGCCGTCGAGACTTTAACCTCGGCATCCTCGTTGCTCAGGAGCAGGAGGAGAGGCGGTCGTGGCCGAGGTGGAAGCGCGTGTACAAGTTTCTGTGTTGATCCCCTCGTGTCGTTGAGAGGGTTTGCTGCCGTGTCGGGCGTGCAGAAGCAGTTTGGGAAGTTACCTTTTCTATATTTTGATATTTTGGATTTTGGAAGCGAGGGATATGAACAGCGTGGCGTATGGATATCTTGTGGGGGAGGTGATCTTGGTACATTTTTTTCTCATTATTTATGTTGATGCCATGGTATATCATATGCCTACTCAGGTAAAGTACTTTGAGATATCCACCACATTTTTTCATGAGCAAGGAGGAGCATCAGAATGGAGCTCTACTAGAATGGTGGATGGCCACAATAAATATTATTGTCTGCAGCATCGTATACATCTCATGAGCAGTGTCTAAATCACATTCGTCCACCGCGTCTTCACTGCCAAGGGAGAAAGCAAGAAGAAAAGGAGAAAGGAATACAGGGGAAGTTTCGACCTTGGAGTTCACACCGTCCCTCCGAATGATTCCCCTCGGGAAAGAAAAGAAGCCTCAGGACGGGAAGGAAGGGACGCAGAGTTGAGATGCTCGTGGGGTCGGGGCTACCGTAACATCGGCAAACATTCTACACAAGGTCCAGGTGCCTAACCTCAGACTCACCATGTTAGCTCCAACGGTATCATGTCAGTCCTTCACGGTAGTAATTTCACCACAGGATCAAGTAGGTAGAAATGTGTTCGGTCTGTTGGATATCATGGGCTATGTCTGTACAACAATACAAGCGGTAGAGGAACCTATTTTGAACTTTCTTCCTCGCCCTTCCGCTCGCCCCTACTTCAAAACGTCTCCTCCATCTTCCTTCTTCCATCTCCCCCTCTCTCTTATGAGTGGTACAGCAATTTTACATCCAGGTATTCTTTTTGCCAGGTATCCTACTCCCCTAGACCACACCATCATGCGAGGCCATGAAAGGTTGGCTGGTGGAGAGAAGAGACAACATGCTGGCAGCAATAAAACGCTCCCGTGAATCGTAGGCAACGTACACTATACATTTAATCGTAACAAGAACAGACAAGACATCGGGCCAGTGGTGGTGGCTTCGTCTGTTGATGAATGCCAGAGCGTCCGTCCGTCGCGCTCAGAAGTCCCAGAAGCTCTTCTGGGCCGAAGTCAAAGTTGAGCCACCCTTGGGCGGGACGGCCTTGGGAATATCCTCGAGGTCGTCGTCTCCATAGAGCCAGTTGCGGTTGGTACCCTTCTTACCACCCATACCGTCTCCAGCAATATGAATACCCTTCGAGTCGCCTTCTTTTTCTTCTTGGGCCTTCTTCGAGCCCATGCCATCTCCAGCAATGTTGATGCCGCCCTTGCCCTTTGATGACGCCTGGGGCTTGTTCTCCTTCTGAGAGGCGGGAGACTCGTCGTATGAATCCCAGTGGGAGTCCATGTTGCTCACTACCTTCTTGCGGGAGTCGCTGACTGCGGGTCGCCCCTGCTGGCCGGACTGGCTCGGCGAGTCATCCGTCATGGCGAAATGGGGGTCGAAGTCCTTGTGACGATGGTTGAGGTTCGTGATGTTACCCAGTGCGCGATCAGAGTCGGTTCCAGGAAGGGGCTTTCCGTCTTCGCTGTACAGGTTGTTCTCATACAGGTGGAGGCCGGTGTTGTGTGCCGTGCCCTTGGGTCGTCCTGCAGGACGGGGTGTCTTTTGCGGGCCATCGTCCTCGAAATCAAAGTGTGCCTCGGCCTCGCGGCGTCCCTTGACCTGAGGCTTTCGGGCGACAGGAGTCTCCTTAATCGCCGAGTTGTTCACATCGGTATCCCAATGGCGGACGTCCTGAGTGCGTTGTGTCTTTCCGGGCTTGAACTTTTGCGGCGTCGTGAAGTCGTCGAACGACCAACTGCTGTCATGCTTGCTTGCCTTAGGACGACCATCGGCAGGCTTGGGAGTATCTTGCGGGTCGGAGCCATCGGCGAAGTCAAAGTGCTGGAACTTCTTGGGGTTGGGTCTGTAGAACTTCTCGGGAGACTTGTACTCGGGGCTATCGGGCACATCTGCATGCTCGTCGGCGTCGAACAAGCGGCTGGGCTGGAAGTTCTTTCCGGCTCCAGCTTTGGGAGCGCCAAACTTGCTTGGAGACTCGTCGCGCTCGCGTCCGGCGCTGGGGGAGCTAGGTTCCTCGTGCTGGGGGCCTAGGATATCGTTGAAGGACCGTTGCTGAGGTCGGGTACCCGCATAAGGTGACACGACAGCTCGGGGTGCCTCTTCCTCCTGCTCCTCTCTGGGCGCAAACAGGGAAAGAGAAGCATGGGGGTCTCGGAGCACATTGGTTGAGCTGCCTCGGGATCGGTGGGTCAACTCGTTGAAGTCGGTAGCAGCGGCATCGACCTTGCCGTTGGCCTTCAAGCCCTTGGTGATCAACTTGATTTGCTCGGTACTATCCCGGATGGGCCAGTTGCGGCCCGACTTTCCGATGATGTCGCACTGCTTGAGGAGGGCGCCCTGGTCCCAAGTTTGCCGAATCTGCGCGATTCTGCCCTCGCTATCGAAGTTCACAACATGCATCTGTTGAAGAAAGTGCGGTTAGCCAAGCTCAAGCTCCAATAATAAGGACGCGGGGTAGCACAAACAATCGGAAGGTAGACAGTCCGGTCAGACAGGAAGTTGTCATCGAGGCCAGGCAGGTATGCGCCGCCGCTGGTGACGAACTCCAGGGTAGTGTCAACTTCTGCAGCGATGGCATCGCGGCCCTCGACGATATCCAGGATCTCCTCCTTCTTCTTCTTCACCTGGTTGCGCAAGGTGTTGAGGTGCTTAATGATCTCAGTAGGACCATTGTAAGTGGTGGTCGTGGTGATGTAATAGAGCGTCGCGTTCGGCGCGAGCAGCGACGAGTTGGGAGCAGTCAAGAACTGCTTGTACGTGGCGGCGGCCATGGTAGCCTTTGGGTATTCGAAAGTGAGGAATGCGACGGTAATGCGATGCGAAAATGACGGTTTGTTTACTTGGTGTTGGTGGAGTAGGCTCGTTGGAGCTGCCGTTTGTGCACGGCTCGAAAGGTTCAAGCAGTTGTAAGAAGAAAGCTCAGCAGGGCCAGAGAGACAATGACATGAAGAGGATGGCGAAGCTCTTGTTGCAGAAGAGGGAAAAAGAAGGAAAACAGCAGATGGAGAATGTGTGGGTGGCTCAGCCCAAAACAAGCAGACCAGATGAGTTGTTCTGGAAGGGGGAGAGGGAAAATGAAGGGATGGGCCTGCGACAGGGAGCAGAAGGGAAGGGGAAAGCGCGACACGTCTTTTTTGGAGGAGGGGCCGTTTCTGGTCACATCTGGAGCCCAAAGTTCCCGGTACCTCACATAGCTCAGCCTTTCCTGAGAAAGAGGGCATCAAAACATGACAGGAGAGGTAGAGAGTACCTCTGCTCTTGGGGGCCGAGCACCCCCAGACTCAGCCTTGGCGTGCCATTGGCCGTTCGCCTGGCCGGGCAGGAGATCCTAGACAAAGGGGACCTTACTTCCTGGCGTAGCAGAGTACGAACTTATCTGCTGTGTTATGCCCTGAGTCACTCTGTCTTTCCTTAGCAGCGGCTCGCCCCATTACCACGATGCAGTAATAGAGTTTCCCAGAGATCTTTGTTTGCATTGCGTCCCGCTGCCTCTTTGGCAGTTGGATACCGTAACATGACTCTGGTCCGCCAGTGGGAACGACGTCAAGGCTCCAGCAGTTCGCCAGATAGAGTCCCAACAGACTTCAACGTGTCATGTAACAGAATAGAAACCAAGTCATGGTCTGCACCGCTGTGGCTCAATAGCGATACCTACGTCTGCTGAATGCTGATACCCAGGGGGAATCCAATGATCTGCGTGCGCGTGTGAACGGCCTGGCCTGTCTTGCAACCTAGGTAAACATGGCACAGAAACGTCGTTGGACCAGCACTAGGTATCCGTACGCCAATCGCACATGGGCAGCCATCGCCTATGATCGGCTCCGTCGGTCTACGTTTCCCTGCCAAAGTAGCTTTTCCAAAACATCAACATCTTGTCGACAATGAAAGCAAGATAAAGGGGCTTGACAGTTCACATGATCTAGACGGGATTCGATCCATCATCCAATGAGGGTAAACTTGTCAATTCAGCGTAAATGCGCCCAATATCGACCAACATGCACCAGAACCACACTAGAAATGCAGGTCATGCACGCAGCACGACGCGCTTCTCATCTGCCCCTTGCCCCTCCTGTTGGTGGGCGATTCGCGACCTATGGTTGGCCTCGTTTCATCCCGATCCCCTGTTTCATCCACGCTATCCAATCTCTTGTGGGTAGCGTTCCCGTCTGGGACCTTGCCATCGGCCAAATCAGTCTCTAAGCAGATAGATGTGGTCACCACACAAGGCAACAGCTATTTGTGAGAAGCTTTAAACCCTCACAGGAAATGGAGCGGGACTAGGACATGGCTCATTTTCTCTGCTGCAATCAATCGAACCAGTCTTGTTGTAGTCTCGTATAGTTGAGGTCATGGAGTAATTGAATAATTCACCAGACCTGAGCATTCAGGTCGCTATGTCTAAGAACCCAGTACCTGTACCGAGCGTATGGATTTCTAGGTAGCACGAAATGTCTCGCCCACATTCTCAGCCGTTGACAATTACACCTCCGTTACAGTGAATCGTCTGTCCCGTAATGCTTGCGCTGTCGGTAGATGCGAGGAATACCACGCACGTCGCGATCTCTGAAGGCTGCGACGGGCGTCCAATGGGACTTGTGAACTCCTTCTGTGCCTTTTCGTTCATGGTCGCGGGAATCAGCGGAGTCCAGACAGGACCGGGTGCGATCGCGTTGACGCGGATGCCCTTGTCGCAGTACTGATTGCTCAATCCTCGAGTGAAGGAGATGATGGCACCCTTGGTGGAGGTGTAATCCAGGAGATCGGGACGGCCGATATAAGCATTGATGCTGGCGTTGTTGATGATGGTTGCACCCTTCTTCATGTGAGGTAAGGCGTATTTAGAAAGATAGAAAATGGGGTGGATATTGGTGTTGAAGGTATGAATCCACTGATCCCTGCAACCTTTATTAGTGCCCGAAAAGCAGCAACTCGGTTTATAGAACTCACTCCTTCAAGTCTTTAATGTTCTCAACCATCATCTGGTATGCGGCATTGTTGAAAAGGATGTCGATACCACCGAGTTTCTCCAGCGCAGTGTCGACAATCTTTTGGCAGTTGGCGGCATCAGTAATATCGGTCGCAATAAGGTGGCATTTGCGGCCGTAGGACTCGACACGCTTCTTGGTTTCCTGAGCATCCTCCTCCTCGTCAGGGAGATACGCAACGAGAGAGTCGGCGCCCTCCATGGCGAAGAGGATTGCTGTGGCGCGACCGATGCCAGAGTCACCACCAGTGATGATAGCTTTCAGGCCATCGAGCTTCCCTGCAGCTTGGTACAGCTTAGAGCCGCCATCTGCAGTTGGGACTCTGTCGAAGAGAGGGGTGACGGGCAGTTTTCCCTCCTTGCCGGGGAAGCTCTGGTCCGTGACCGGCACCTTGTAACCTGGCAACTTATCATGAGTCTTGGTCTTCAATGTTTCAGTCTCATGGAAAATAGAAACGTACCTTCTTCGAATTGTGATTTGTCTTTCATGGCGATTGTGTCGAACAACTGAGTCTGCAGATTCACAGAAATGTCGAAGGCTGGGCAGTGTTGAAGATGTCAGCAAAGACGGTGGTTAAAAGAGCAATCAGTAGTAGCGAACTACAGCCAAGACATACAGGAAGCTGTTATCCGTCATGCCATCAAGACAAGTAGAATAAGGTAGGTGCATAGGTAGACCGGTTACCCACATACCTCATCAACGACGTCATGGTGACTGCAATTGCAGAAACATTACACGGTCTAGGCTCAGGCGCTATTTCTTCCCTTTCATGAATGCGCAAATAATTGGTTGAATCTCCGGGAGTAGGAGCTTTACGACTCTCGGTTTTCTGATCTCACTCAACAATTCGATTCGTTGCATTTGAGGCCGGAGACAACCGTCCGCTGCACATTCGGTTAAGTTTTGCTGAGGTAACTCGAGTGCGGGACAATTCGTCCGGTATGATCTCCATCTGTCTCGATTGAACATTGTGCATCGCATGCCAAGGCCTCATGCAGTCGCCACGGTGCGTCTAGCATAGTAGACCATGATCTCAGCTTTAGCAATGACGTAGTCATCTCACGATAGGAGACATCCGGCGATAGCACCAGCGGGAGGGCCTATGCGTTCCGGAAGCTTCAGACCCCACCTCACTGCCGTTCCGTCCTCCTGAGATACCCCGCAGCCGGGCCCGATACGGGGTGAGCCGAGGGTAGGATGCCGCCCGGACGGAACACCCAGTGCACCGACATGACCACCCTCTTCTGACCGTGTGGATCCATGCTGTAGCTCCTTATCATTGACTTTGCCGGCGTTTCCCCTCCCTCTTCGGATTATAAGGGCGCAACCCCCGCTCATGCAAACCACGTCATAATCTGACCACTCGCCGTTGCTTTCTTTTTCCTGACGGGCCAACCTCGGAACTCAGAGGTTTTAATTTGAATGTGTATTTGGCATGCGGCACAGGATGACAAGCAAACACGCTACGCCTGAGACCTGAGGTCTTTGATGTTTGCTGTCATGGGTCCCGGTCAACCGGTCATCAGATCGTCTTTGTTTTGGGCTGGACTTGGAATGCTGACGGGCGCTCTTAAATTCGAGACGTTATCCTCCTCAATCCCCGCTGCCACTTGCAAATCAAACCTAGTTGAGAGCGGTATCCCGCCGGTTATTCAAATTGATCTTCAAGTGGCTGTGAATCAACAATCGACAGCTGTCTTCAGCGAGTGAGACAGTGAAGCTTAGAGCCCATCGACTGCTTCAAATGGCGTATGCATTTGGCAAGCCTCTCCCGAGAGGATGGCGTTCGGTGATCAAAGTCCATAGGTAGGAAAAGGGAGCCCAGTCGCTAAAGGCGCCAATTTCTCACATTCACGGACCCTGTTGTTGTTGTCATTGCTGGAGACAATGGGCCACAAAAACCGTTGCTGAGAAGTGATATATCATTTAGCCTAAGGACTTGATGCTCGTTGATTTAGCGTGACGGCATTCTCGATCCTGTCTTCACATCGATCAGTTATCGCACTCAACAAAAGGATCGGGCAGGAAGCTAGAATAATAGCTTTTTATGATCGCCTAGCCAGCAAGCAGAAATTCGGACCAGGCTACTTTCGACTCTCGAGGTGGTCCACGTAAGCGCCAGTGAAGCAGATTGCAGGATCATGCGCATTGTTCACTACTTGAGCTGTCAGTCGGGGGCGATCTGATCGAACTGGACTCTGCCCCGTGGGCCTGATACGATGGGCTACTGACCCCAATTATATCTCGCGAAGTTACATTTTCTTGGTTACCTGGGGATACTTCGGCCGGCTGTTCAATGCAGCTCGCTCTGTCAGTGCAATTTGATTGACACTGACAAGCAAACAAGTCCCGCGTTGGATGACACCGTGGCTTATGCCCGGCATTGCCAACTTCAAACTTGCTCTTCGGACCTGGGTTTAGCAAGGTTCATTGCAACGTGCCTGGCGTAAAGTAACGCCTGCTATACCCCTGGAGCTTCCTCGATTGGTGAATCCAAACAATGCCCCTGGCTCCGGCAGGCTCCCCCGGCCTGTGGGACCCTGGTGTTTGCTTCGGTCTCGTTGGACCTCCGCCATCTCCATCCAACATCAACTTTCTTTTCTGTCATGATCCTCGACTTTCCTCCTCTTCAACGCCTGACCGCCACGGCAATTACTTAGAGGCATTTACAAATACATCACGGCCTTAATCCGATCCTGTCTGCCCGCCCACCTCTCCCAGCATTTGACAGGTCAGCGATACTGAACCTGCACCGGCTCTGTCTGGCCAAGCTTCCCTGTTGACTCCAGTCTCCGCGGTTCCGCACGACCTGGCCCACACACGTACTGGCAATTTTCGCATTCGTCGGCCGATGGCAATGACTCGCCAGCCTTTTTGGCTAAACGAACGTTGGTCCCGCCGCGGGAAGGGCTGAACTAACGAGTGGTTCTTCGTACGGCCGATACACTGAGACAGTGTTGTCCTCCGTTGCTGCCCATCCACCGATCCAACCTAACCTCACTCGGGTATCCATGTCGTCCACTCTGGCTTACTCTGCCTTCTTTCGGATCGTACGATGAGCAAACTTGCCGACCGCCAGGCGACCCTCGAGACCGAGAAAAAAATCTTCCAGGTCATTGCAGTTTCCATTAGGGGTGCGGTCAGCGTACCCCATGTACGGATACGGATGGCCTTTCGGCTTCGGCCGAATCACAGCTACCAGTGGCCCAAAGGTAGAATGCTCACGGCCAGATATGCACCGAGGGACCACATTGCAAAGCAGGCCTTAACTAATCATTCTGATGCGCAATAAATGCGTGGTTATCGGGACCTTGTCTGCTTACCAGCAGGCTAATGACTTGGTCATAAACATAACTGAGAGAGCCACCATTGAATCTCGACTCTTGTGGTTTCCGCCTTGTTGCTCCGACTAATGATTTCTTTTCTTAAGAGATAAAATAGTCAATGCGGACTGACGATTCTCTCCGTCGATCAGGAGCTACGGCCTCTCGCCACCAGTTATCCAGCAGGCAGGATCATATCGATGTACTACAGCCAATTGCACATTTCGCACTTCTGAAGCTCTGAGATATGACGCTGTCCCCCCAGTCCGCGGCTTATGTGGCCTGGTCATGATCCGGGGCCTTGGAACCCATCTCCGCTTTCAATTTGGGCATTCGACTGGGAGCCATGTACGGATATCGCGAGATCAACAACAGTTAGACAGGGAATCTCATCCTGATCACAGTCTGGCTGGATCTGTGAGGTAAGACTTATCGGTTTGATGTGGCTCTCGAGGAAACCAATAACCACGGGCGTGACAAAGCTGATCAAACCTCCATCACAACCCCATTCCTGTCACATAACACTCGCTACGGCGTATCATACCTGTCAGATTCTTGGTAAAAGAGCCCTGCTTTTTGGATCCTCGGCATCGTTGGTCCGGAGAAGAGGAACCCTTTTCGTCTGAACTGGCTGGCCCAGTCAGAAACCGACCCTAGTTGGGACTGGCATCATCCCACTCAACCCCGTATTACCTACTCTGTGGGGTTTTCTTTTCTCCAAGTGTGGATTCGCTTTCTCCCAAAGCATATGGCTTGCAGATGAACCAGAACCACTCGGAATCACGGAACTACCGGAGAGAAACTTGTCGTGCGCCTGTTGACTGGCAATTTCTCTGTGCGTATATGCAGGCCTTGTGGGCGACCCTGAACTTGTCAATCCCAGTCAAACCCTAGACGTGGGTGTGGCTGTCTTTACCCCTGCTTCCTCGCGGCAGCTGCAAGTTGCGTCCTGTCCCTCCATCATGGCGCAGATGTACTGCTTAGCCAGCAAGTGACCCGATGGAGGGTCTTGCTTTTCCATTCTTTGCATGTCGCATAGCCTCTTATTTTTATCAAATAGCGGTGTTAGGCACGGATTATCGGCACGGAGAATTTGGCCTCGAGAGAAGATTTCAGAAGCGAGATTTCGTTGTAAGAGAAGGTTTTCCGGAACATGCAATCTTTAGATGGAGGAGAACACGATTTGGGCCTGGGATGTTTTAATTTAAAGTAGTTGAGAGAGATGCACTCTCGATACCTGGTCTCCTCGTGGGGAACCGGTACATGTAGGGGCGTTTTCTTTTTCCTCTCTGAGCTCCCTCCCCCCACTGAATGTTCTTTTTTGACATATGGGATGGCGCAAGTTGGGCCGGACACACCAGGCTGAGAGTGAGAGGGCTTATAAGTCCTCGCCATCCGCATTTCCATGGCACTGGGAGGCCCAATGTCTCTGGTGTTTTGCTTGAACCATACTTCGCCATTCCGACTTGCAACATGGACGGCTCACTAGAATCACGGGTTCCGCACGATGACATCCAAAACAGAGGCATGCAGCTCTTTGCTGTTCAGCTGTCCTTTATGCTCGCGGCCGGCTTCTTCGTCTTGGCAAGAGCCTACGTCAAAGTATGCATCGTCAAGAGTTTAGCTGTTGATGATTGGCTTATCTTCGGGGCCATGGTCAGTACTTTGCCCGATCCTCGCGTTCTTCCCTTACCTGCCACTTACATGAACACCTCGCAGCTTGGTTACACAGTTTACGGCGGCATCGCCCTCCACGGTGTCACCAACGGTGCCACTGGAAAGCACATTACGGAACTCACAGTCGACCAAGCCGCCGTCTCCCTTAGAGCCTGGTACATCTGTGAAGTCTTATACTCTCCAATCACACTGGCGATTCGAACCTCGATTTGTCTCCTGCTCCTTCGACTCGCTCTCAACAAAGTCCACCGTTATATCATATACGCCAACCTCGTCGTCGTCTGGATGATCTCCATTGCCTTCTTCTGCATCATGACCTTTCAGTGCATGCCTCCATCCTACTTTTGGAGACAACTGTACGGAGACCCTGGGTCGTGTATCAACTTCAACATCGTCCCGGACGCAACCATTGCACACAGCATCATCTCGGCGATATCAGACTGGTGCATGGGTCTGCTGCCGATTGCCCTCTTATGGAACGTCAACTTGAACCGGCGGACAAAGGCACTCGTTGCCGTTCTCCTGAGTATGGGCATGGTGTAAGTCAAAACAATTCCAATACGTGGCGTAGCATCCTGGTTCTAACGAACATCTAGTGCTGGCGTTGCTCTTATAGTACGCATACCATATGTGAGACGTCTCGCCATCTCGGCTGACTTCCTCTACGAAACAATGTACGTCCCCAAATGTCTGACTTGACATGAGCACCTGGCTAACCCTTCTACCAATAGCGACGTCGCCATCTGGAGTGTCCTGGAGCCCGCCCTCGGCATCATCGCGGCTTCGGTCACCAGTCTCCGACCTCTCTTCCAGAACTGGGGATTCGGATGGAGCAACAAGAGTAAGCAATCTCGTCCGTCAGGCGCAGGCTGGGTCAACACGAGCGGCCACCCAGGAACAAAGGAAACGTCCGGCGCCATCGCCAGAGGAGGCAAATCCGAAAACTCAAACTCCACCGTACGAACATTCAACGACATTGATCGGGCTTTATCCGGCACCGGGTCCAGTATTGAGCTGAACAAGACGGCCCGGGACGACGGGCGGGACGACTACGAGGACTACGACGCGTCGAGGCCGTCTTCCGACCTCGGTCAGAGGAGCCATGTCCAGGAGACGCAGGCGCGCGACCGACCGGTCATTAATGTTCGTACAACTATTGATATCATGTCGCACTCGACACACTCAGTCGATCGAGTTCTGCCGCCGGCGGAATGCTCTGCTGGCGATAGGGAAGAGGAGGCGACACAAGGAGAGGCGGGGGGTCACAGAGGCAAGGTGGCGCAGGCGATTTGATATACCCATTTCATTACATTCGTTGTTTTTTCTTGTTTGTTGTAGAGTCTGGCTATAGATAGGGGTATATGGAGTTTGGGCGTGCTGATTGTACGCAGCGGGAATGTGTTGTATATCAAGAGGCCAGATGCCTCCCAGCCGGGTAACTTGACCAAGGCTTTTTTTGACGAGAAATGATGAAGAAATGACACAGACATGAAATTCCGAGATTTTCTTCGAAGTGATGTATTCGTTCAAGCGAGGGCTCCATACTATAAGGAAAACAGGATCTAGTCGGGGTCAAATACTAATCCATTGGAACAGCGTCCCCTCGACCTCGGCTCCGAACTACCGTTTTGGGTATCTTGGGATCAAGTCGTAAAGCCCACCGGCAACGTTCTGGTTCCCGCTTCTCTAGGATGGTCTGTTGATACGTCATCGATACTTTTCTTCAAATGCTGTGGCAAACATGGACAGGATCTCTCCGAACATGGTAGGATCTCTCCATGTGGGAAATCCCCGACCACAGCCTCAAGCTCGAAGGGTTCGTTCGGTCCCGAACTTACTAACTCGGAACAACAAAGACGTCTGTCAATATATAAAAAACGTCCTGACTTATAACACAGCTTTTGAAGTTCAAAGCCTAGCTGTGACATTGATTTTTGCACAACTAAATACAACTTTTCAACACCCAGTCATACTGTTCATCACTGTACATCCTCGTTTCCATACCAACCACACTCCATCATGAAGCAGTTTTCCAACCGGCCGGTTCTCACCGCAGCCTCCATTCTCTTTACACTACCCCTCATATCCGCCCAAAACGCCCAAGTCAAAGTCACATTCGACTCGACGTTCCGCACCATCGCCCCTCCAAACGACGCCTTCGCCCAAGAGGCAACCCACGTCCGCGTCGTCTCGACGATCCTCCTCGCCCTCTCCCTCGCCTTCGTGCTCATCTCCCTCGCAGAGAGCAAGCGCTGGTCCTCCACCGTCCCCACGGCCCTGACCCTCGGCGCCGCGACCTGCGTCCTGCCCGAGGCCGTCGACAACTACCTCGCAAACTGCTACTGGTCGCAATCCCACGACCCGTCCCAGCTCATGTTCACCTTTCTCGGCCGGGAATTCGATGTATATGTCGGCATCATCTGGTGGTCCTTTGGCGCCGTGCTAGGATGCTCCATCTTTGGCGCCCTCATGCGCGGGGTAAGCAACAAAACGCTGTTGGTCTTCCTCGGCCTCGCGGGCCTGTTTGACATCGTCTTGAGGAGTGCCTGCTCAACTACGGCGGACTGTACCTCTACTACGGCCACCAGCCTCTCGTGCTGTTTAGCTTGTTCCCCTGCTGGTGGGCGTTCTGCAACGTCTCGGCCGTGTTTTTGGGCATCGCTATGACGTACCGGTACCGCGAGTGGTTCAACGGGTGGAAGAGCGTCTTCGTGCTGCCGATTCTGCCCTTTTGTTACGTTGCCGGGTGGTCTTTAGCGGCTATGCCTACCGTGTATGCCGTTCACGCCGATTATAGCCCTATGGTGACGCAGCTGTGTGGCGTTCTTACGTGTTGTCTGGCTTTGTTTCAAATTGGAGTCATTATGGACGTCGTTCTTGGGAGGCAGGTGCTTGAACCTGATCATGCAGGTCGCGTGGTTCGATTTGAGGAGAAGACGTGGCCAGCCATGGCTCACAAGTAGGCAAAGCCTTTCAAGACTCATCTGTCGGAAACGATTGGTCTTGGGAAGACTCATTCAAAATCACATTTTCCACAGCAGAAGAGGCACAGCAATACTAGGAAGAACACGGACAGTGTACTAGGAGCATTGATCAGTTACGACGTCCGCTTGATAGATCGACATGACTATTAGACAACGTTGGCTTTATAGCTTAATTACAACGTTGGAAATCACCTGATGAGTTTGACGGAAATGTCAGAGTCATTGTGAGGACGTGATCAATCGCGTATGAATCAGAGTTCTGCAACCAAGAGCTTTATTTGCCCGACGAGGAGTAGCTGCACGTGGATCGGAAAGGGGGCAAGCTAAGGGGTGTGCGAAGAAGTGACCAAAGCTGAGAGCATTTTCCGCTCGGCAGTAGAGATCAGATGGCCTTGACCCGTGCCGATAACCCTAAACTCACCACTTTCCGACCAAGAGACGATTGCGCGGCTTTTTGTAACTCGACTACAAAGCATACTTCTATCTGTATGTTTTGCTCATCATACCACCCTCCTAACGCGTGACTACGGTTTTTGGCATCCCGACCCATCATCGTCAGTCTGGCGTCATGTGATATGAAGTCACATCGCCCTGCCCCAGCCCAGGGGAACACCGTCTAGACTTGGTACACTTTTCGTTGCCGAGATGCGTCACACATAGAACCCTGTTTCCTCTGAAGTTGGAAAGGCTGCCGAGCCTGGAGAGCTAGGCTCTTGCAGGCGGCTATCGCGCCTGTCCGAAGCCTGTCCGAAGGATGACACCCAAATCCAAACATCCATGGTGACACGAGAGCACTTATACGGACTATGAATAGACCACGCCGCTAGATGCCTCTACCAATGATCCTGCGAAGCCCCTTTTGCCCCTGTCATCTGCCTAGAGACCCATGGGGAAGCCGTTGATGCTTGGCCAAGGTCAAGCACTGCCGGTGAAGTCCGTTAAGACTTCTGCGGCTGAGAAAATGCCGCAGAGGCCGATGTCAAGTCCAACGGGCCTCAGTCCATCGACGATCGATCATGGTGATTGGTCGGTTATCGGGAGCCGTACAGGACGACGAATACCGTGATGATCCTATGGTTGAAGTTTGGTTGGCTCTAGGTTGCAGCGAACGAGTCCAAATACCCAACTGTCTAGGGTACGCCAGACCGTCGTGAGGCCTCTCAGCCATCGACCCCCTCCTTCCGACTTGTAAGGCGTTCCAACCGATTTCCGGGAGTTTGGAACCCAGCGGACAGCGGTCCCTACGCTTCGAGAAAGCCTTGTGAGGTGTTTATGACGGTCTGTAGGAGCACGACAGCACAGCAAAATGGATAGGTCGAAAGGGCCGCAACCACTTGGGGGGATGCGGCCGGTGATGCGGCCGGGAGGAAGGCTGTGAGTGTGAAGTTGGATTTCTCATGGAACCAGAGCCTGATACACGTCAGAAAAGGGAAGAAAGTGGGGCGCGAACCCACGAACGCGGTCGCAGAACCGGCCGGCCCGTTCGGGGCTGTGGTTCCCGTTTTCGGCGTAGCCCCGGTGGGGTGACCAGCGGCCCGTTTGCGCGGCCCCAGGCCCCAAGAGGCAGCAAGCGACTGGACAGTTTTCAGAAAACGCCTGGGACCTCATTGGGCAGCCGGATGCTGGTCTCCTCCTTGCGCGGCCTTGGACCAATGGCAGTAACGCATTTGTGGCTTGAGCCGTGGCTGGAGGTGCCTTGAAGACGGAAGGGAACTTCTGGCGTGTTAGGTTCCCTGGCGGGAGTGGAAGGCTGGAGCCCACGGTACCGAACGGTGGAGGAGCGGTCCTTCGGCGGTCGGCCGTGCGGTTCGGCCTTTGGGAGATAGACGCGACTCCACTTTTAACCTCTTCAACCGGGCCAGGGTACCTTACCCAGCACCCCGGCCGGCCAGGATGCTGCCTCTCACTATCAACTTCGGCTTCTCTTCTTCCATCATCGTCGTCAAAGTAGGACTCATCGCAATCTGGCGAACCACAGCGCGGAAATCAACGTATCTCGTCGCCAGTCTCTCATTGTCGCAGTGCATTCTCTCCATCTTCCTCGCTCCCTCCCCCCCCTCCCCGACTTTGCCGTACTTCGTCCTATGAGTCGCGCCAGACGAGACCTTCTCGGTCAGTTCTCTCATTGTTCATGCGTCGTAGCTTTTTTCCCAGACCCTGGACATGGAAAAGAAGAGACCAATGCCCCTCTTCTTCCCCATGCCACGCGCCGCCGCCGCACGGCGCAAAGACCTTCGATCTGCGCAGTCCGATGTTTCTCTTTGGCCTGACCTTACTCTGCATTGCTTTCCTTTCCACCCAAGCTTCTACGACCACCTGATGTGGAGTTTCACGACCCAAAACCTTGTCCCAACTCTCTATTGCGCTGCAGAACCACGCCCTCAGCCCGAGCTTTCTGCTTGTCCCGGCATGGTTGCTGAGCTCACGGCACACATCCAGACTTCGGTCTCGGCCAGGGCGAGCCGACCTCCCACATCCCTCCACCTCATCCCGCCTGATTTCTTCCCAGCAGCAGCGGATCCGGGATCAGGGGCCGGGCGAGTATGCAGAAAGAAAAAAAGTTTAGGAAATGGAATTGTTTCTAGAAGGTGATCTGATCAGCTTCTCGCAAGACAAGGGGGAGGGGGGATCCCGAACCGGCCAGTAGTCGTCCTACATTCTGCTCTTGCCCTCTTTACCGCACCCCTACTACTGCTATGCGTCACATCGTTCATCTCCATGGGACATGCTCGTCTACCACTCGTGTGTCTGCACCGGGGCTCGTCTTAGACTTGTCTTCATCTGCCTACCTTACCTTACTACGCTTCTCCCCCTGTTCCAACATCCATCCAGCATCGCCAGCTTCGCCAACTAGCACTAGCATTGGGTCTCTGGGGGTCTCGTCATAGTTGGCCTCACTCCGCCCCCCTTTCCCCCTTCCCCCTTCCTTTCCCCCCCTGCCATCTGACCTTTGGAGCCTATAAGTAACCCGTGAACCGAATCACCATGGAGACCCCTTCTTCATCAGCAGGCTCTGTGAAACAAATAGAACTTCACTGCTCCTTTCACACACCATAAATGTCTTCCTCCTCCTCTCCCACCCCCGTAGCCAAGTTCAGAGAGCTCTCTCTGGGAACAAGGATGCCTCCCACAACCAGAGCCCAGGCGCACCGGCAGTCCCTCGGCGATATCACCACTTCAGATTACTACGACGATGACAACGACGACTACGGAGACGACGATGGCGGCGGCCCCAGCAGCTCCGAGCCAGAGTCCGATTCGGACTCGTCTCTCGTCGACGACGACGACCACTCCGTCATCCGATCCCCCTCCAAGCTCGTCTACAAGGTCGACTCGCTCTCCCCCGAAGCCCGCCTGCGCGTCCGCGAGGCCTTCAAGGACCCGCCCCGCCTCTCGCTGCAGTACTGCCGCCTCAGGGACGACGTCTACGCCTTCCAGATGACGGAGCTCGTGCCCCGTTCCATCCGTATCGGGTCCCCCGACAGCCCCTTCGCGACGCCCCGGTGCTCGTGCCGGGAACAGCAGCAAAAGGCCGGCCCGCCCTGTAAGCATCTCCTCTGGCTCCTGGACCAGCTCGTCAAGCAGACGCTCTACGACCACGACCCGACATCGCCCCTGACCATGACCGCGGACGGCTACCCAGAAGAGATTGGCGACCCCTTTTCCGACATATCGGCCTTCCACCTGGACGTCCTAGCCGACGGCCTCCGCTGTGACGTCGTCACCCCAGACTCGGAAGAGGACTCTGAAAACACCGACTCCGACGACGAGGCAGAGGAAGAAGAGCAGCGGCAGCACCCGAATCCACACCGCGTCCACGAAGCCCGCGAGATGCTCTCGGCAGTCATGTCCTCGTCCTCGTCCCCCGAAGACTACCGCCCAGACCTCTTCTCCGACCCGCCCTCCACGGGCAAGAAGCCCGTCAAGCGCCGCGACCTCGAGGGCACAATCTTCCGCATGCTCCTCGCCAACAACGACTTCTTCCACTACTTCCTCTCTCAGATGCGCTCCACGGACCCCGTAAACGACCCCTTCCGCAAGCTCTCCCACCGCGTCCACCGCGTCCTGCGCGAGCTCCACGCCTACGCCAACACCACATCATCCACCATCACCCCCTTCTCCTCCTCCTCAGAAGGAGGCTCAGCAGAGGGTCCCCGCGACGTAGCCTGGGCCGCACGACACATCAACGGCGTAATAGGCCTCGTCCGCACCTCAATCTTCAAGCGCGACCGGCCCCTAGAGCCCCGGGAACGAATAAGCGCCGCCCGCACCCTAGTCTACATCCTCGCCGCCGTCGTAGAGCGCAACCGCGACTTCGTGCCTCCACTATCAACTGCAAGACCCGCCGCCATCGCCCGCCGGGACAAGAACCTCTTCCTCCGCCTCGTGGGGGACCGCGACGAAGACTTCGTCCTCGGCGTGCTGAACCTCCTCCCGCCCGACGCGGCCGCACCCTTCCTCCACAGCCTCGAAGACATCCTGGACCAGCTGGGCGTCAACGGTGCGCCGGCCACCTACGTCGAGAAATTCCGCTCCCTCATTGCTCGGTTGAGGAGGTCCGGCGGCAGCGGCGGCGGCAGCAGCGGCTTGGCCGTTGCAAGTTCGTCCGGGGCGGGGTCGAAACGCCACGGACAGAGTCAGGGGCATGATCGGGGATCCAAGAGGATGAGATGACGTGGACCACACGCACATGTCCACGGGACCATATTCCTACACTGCATCCTTTTATTAGATGAAGGAAAGGATAGGGAAGCACACAGCGCTTCTCTGGTCTTTGGGGAGGACAAGATTCTTACCACACTTCTCTTCATTCTTGTGTCTGTGACACTCACCCCCTTTATCTACTTCTCATGTTCATGTATCTCCCCTTCACACTAACTGTTCTCCCACAAATCTTGTTTCTCATTTAGATCACACAACTGCTAGAGGATGCAAGGCGCCAAGCCTCTAGACAGTGACATCGGTGGATAGGTTACGGCTTCAGGCATCTCGTACTATTGAGGGCCTCTCCTCTTCTGTTCTGCAATACAATAAATACCATTATCTAGTCCCGAGTCGTCCATCTCTGATTGAATCCATTTGTTCTGTTTGAGCCTTTGTAAAGTCATATTTGGCCCGGTGTCTGTTCATTCATAGTTCATCTCGAATCTTCTCCAGCTCATCTAATACGCTCTGTAAGCTAGGTCTGCCGAAGTGGTTCTCGCTCCATTCTCCACTTGATCTTGAATAATCTCTCATGGCCAGGAAACTCTCGGCCCAAGCTATCTCGCGTTTCCACCACGTCGCAGCAGCTTGCCGGATGTCCTCAGGCTCAGTCTTGTTCTCTTGACCTTTGAAAATGATCTTGTTGCCCTCTCTACCGATCTGGTCACCCAAGGTGGCACGACGGCCACTTGTGCAACGGTCGATGAGAGAGCGTAGTATCGGTGGCGTCCTGAGAAATGCGGGAAAGTCGACGTCAGTCTCCCATCGATAGGACTGCCACACAGCAGCTTGCTGAGGTGCGCTAGCTCCCTCAAAGATGCACCATAACACTCTCCCGAGCATGTACACCTCCGATGCCTCCTGTTCCCTCGGGCCGAGAGATGCCCAGCAGACGTTGTAGCCGTTGGTCGGATTCGTGTACTCCTCCCTGGCTTGAAGAGACTCAAAGTCAGGACACAAGCGTCTCAGAATCTTGGCATAGTGATCTCTGGTATCTTCAGGTATGTCGTCGTCTGTGGCTAATATGCGGATGTATTCGACAGCATTGATCTCCGGGGACGCAAATTCGCACCACACCCCGCGCTGTTCAAAATCGACCATGACCGCATCTCTGTCTTTTGATAAGACGATGTTGTCGAGGCGGAGATCGGGATAAAATGTACCAGAGGTTTTGCGGTGGTGCAGTACACCCGATGTAATCTGTATTGACCATTTGATTTGTTCGGTTGGGGAAATCGTATCATGAATCCGCGATAGAGGTACAATGTCTCTCAAAGTACCGTAATGATGATACTTGAGAGTGAATCCAATAACAGCAACCTTGCTACCAAAAGTGCAACGCTTTGTGACGAGGTGTGCGGGACGTGACATGATGTTTTGGTGTGGTATTACTGACAACAGAAGCTTAAGTTCATGGTACAAGTACTTGGTGTAACTTGTCAGTGTCTTCAAAATCCACAGACGGCCTTTGATCTGAACAAGGCAGACACTATCATGAATCTGCTCGACGACATGAACCTCGGAGAAGTCGATGCATTGTGGTATCTGGATTTCGGGTCCCCACATATCGGTGAGGGCTGAGGCCGAGAGCAGTTGACGTTCGAGATAGTACGTGGGTGCGATGTTGATCTCTATGGCTCTGACATCCAAAGATATGTCTTTGAAAACGATTCGAGAGCCGAATGGCAGAGATCGCAACAACCCCTCGGGGTCGGGCAGTCGTTTCGTCCAAACTTGCAAAGCACGAAGGATGTGCTTAGATATGTTGAGCTTTTGAACTCGGGCGCGATCTTTAGTATGAAACGCCACGTCCAAATCCAACAATTGCCGAATTTCACGCGTCTGAGTTGACTGCTCGGGCACGAAGGCATCGAGACGCAGCGGCGGCGTTGAGTGAAGAAACGTGGGAAGAACGTAGAACTGCGTCCCGAGTCCTGTACAGCCATCGATGCGCCACAGAGGATTGGGCAGGGGATCGAGGCTGTCGATGCGGTTTTTGGGATTTAGCTGGGAGCGCTCCCAATCATCGGCCGGTGGAAGCCGATGCGGGATGCCACTATCATGGTGCTCGACTTCTGACGGGGAGACGTCCGTAAAGGCTGCTGTGGGGTGGATGATGTCGTGTATGATGTCCGACCCCAGATCCATCTTGTGACGATAGCTGACAGGCGTCGGCAATGCTGAAAGCAGACTGTCCAATGGCGCTCAACGTCATATAGCGAAGGTGTTTCACGGCATCAAGGAAGTTAATGGAAGACAGGGCAGAAGAAGGCGACAAGTGGCGCTTTGGAGGGGGGACGAAACTGTCAAATGACAGATGGACAAAGATTCGGATCTTTCCTGAGTCGTATATCACTGCAGAAAATCAGCAGGAAGGAATGCTATCGAGGCCTGCTGTCGATTCTACCTACAAATGTGCCGCCACTACTGCGGTGACTGACAAATGTGATGTTGACCGATGGCGGGGCGACACGACGTTGCACCAGGTAATAGGCCGAATTATGAAGTTTGGCGATACCGGTGACAAGGTACGCATGGACTGAGGTGTTCTAGTGATCCAGGAAGTGATCGTGAGCGTGGGCGTGGGGAATTTGCATGACAATGTTGGGTTCCGATTTGTGTGTTTGTGTGTTGCCCTGCATGCGTAGCTGCAGTTGGAAGGGGACATGTACCAGGTGCTCAAACAGGGCGCCTGATTGGTCGAGAGGAAGGATTAACGGTCAAGATGAGGAGAAGAGTTGTGTTGGTTGACTCGAGGCGAATTGCCAAAAAACGAGTCGAGGACAAGTCCGAGGAAGATGTCAACCATACGATGCTGACGGTAGAAGGGGGGGGGGATGCGAATGGCGATGTCATCTCGCAAATCTGCAACCTGGGTTTCTGCCTACTGAGAAGTGACAGTGCCCACCCTAGGCAGCTTCCTTGTCCGCGAGCCGCACTAGTTGGACTCCCGTCGATCTGCTTGGCCAAAGCTGTTGCGGCTTCCTGCCTTGTCTGCCTTGCTTAGGTAGGTCACGGGTGGACTTTTGATAGAGGCAGGAAGCGCTGGTTTAAGGTAGGTACGCAAGGGAAGGTGGGAAAGCGTACTGGGAATCGCTGCTTCTGCATCCATCCTGAGGTAGTATAAGGCGAACAAGCAGACGGTAAGGCCTGCGTGCGTGTGTGAGCTTGGAAGGTGCTGCGGGTTCACCTCATTTGGTAGGTGCTCAGCTGGGCAGGCAGGCAACGGAACTCGGGGGGCAAGAGGCCGCTTCGTGGTTTCTTTTTCTCTTCTACATGGCCTCGGCCCGGCAGCCTCTCCAACGCCATTGTTTCTTTTCCTTTGCGATTTGCCTCGACGTCGAGCCGCGGCCAGCCGTTTTTGTAAGACATTAAGGCAATGTGCCGCAGCTTGGATCGGCGTTGTCTCGGTCGCAGTCGCGGGGAAGGCTTTTGCTCCCGTCGGGAGTACCTAGGTATGGACGTGGGACCAGCTTAACTGCGTGGCTGGACAAATGCCTAGTAAGAAAACGGGCAAATAATTAGAGGAGAGGCATTCGATGCAGATCGTATCAGATTATCCAGCCTTTGAGTGATCGGCAAGGTGATGGATGGCTCTGGCCATACGCTCAGCTGAAAGTTAGAAGCTGGCAGCCGCAAGCTTTTCTAAAGTAAGTGCAAACATGGTCAGAACGGGCGGTTTGCAGAATGCAGGAAATAAGCAAAGGGCGGCAGGACCTAAGTGTTGATGCAACTTGCCTTGGTGCAGATCTCAAGAATTGATATTGTTTAATGCGCTCTCTCTGCTTGACTAGCGAAAGTGGAAAGTGCAGGCATCTCGCTTCGTACATCAAGTAAATGTACGGATAAGGCAGGCGAGGTATCCGAAGGTAAGGTAGGTGCGTCGAGGATGGAGTACCCTCTCGTGCCTCTCGGTCAGTCAGAAATCGTCTGAGCAGACGGAAGGATGCGTAACTTGGTTATATATCAGCAAATGCAGAATGCTTGCGGGGCAGTTGCTCTGGCTGCTTGTGAGTCGGGACTTGCTCAATCCAAATAAAGTCGACAATGCAGTCACCTTATGGAGGTCTTTCCTCGTTATGGTAAGCCAATGCGGAGGAAGCAAATGGAACAGCCCAATTGAATGGAAGCTAAGGCACCCGAGTGAAGGCAAGGAAACCAGGATGGTTAGGTCACAGGTGAGGTGAGGTGAGGTACCTTAGGGCAGGTAAGGTAGGAAGGGACGGGACGGTCCTTGCCTCCACTACTTCAGAATTGAAACGTGCTTGCATCTTGGGTGGAATCCAGGAAGCAACACGAGGGAGGAGGTACCTTACGTGCTTACCTACCCATCAATTTTGCTGTCCTGCCACTTCCAGATTGCTCAAAGTGATGAAGGCGCACTGACACCTACCTACCTACCTTACCTTACCCCAATTGCTTGCCTCCTTCCATGTCCTGCGGGCATAACTTTTAGATAAGGTACTTCGAGGCATCAAGGTATCGACTTCACCTTACCTCAGGCAAGAACAAATTATTTGTCCGAAAGCGTCGTGACTCGGCATCTCACAATCCCTCTAGGTGCAAGTAACACTGTAAGCACAAACACCTTTTTTCCTGAAATTAGATTCTCTCATGATCTTTTCTACGGCGAGTCGTTGGTTCAACCTTAACTCAACACCGGCCTCCCGGCATCGACGATAGAAAAGGCCTGAGCACACGCCGATGCCCCCGTCCTTCTCGGCCGGTCGGATGAAGAATCTGAGCCATGGACGTGTCGCTCGGCACATGAAGCTTTGACTTTGCATTCGGACCACCCGACCCGGGATGCACTCCATGTGACGAAATCGGCGCCGTACCTGAGAGCGGAGACGAAGCTCCCTTCCATTCCTCGCCTTTGTATCGGTACTGGTAGCTGCCTCCCGCACCTCACGTCACCCAGTCGCGGCAAACTTCAACACTTCCTACTGTCGATTCTTGCACCCCTAGGTGCTATTTCCTCGCTGCATGTCGCCAATCCACCACACCACACGTCCGCTTCTCTCAGCGTCGTTGGCTCGCATCTCTGCGAGGGGTGGCTTCTGGACCTTCTGGCCAGCGGCGGCAGTCCCATCCTCGTCCTTGGGGGTCACCTTGACCGCGAAGTGGGTTGCATTGCCGCCGATGCTCGATGCGACTTTATCATAGCCTCCGGAGTATCCTCCGGCCCACCACTACGTTCAACCCCCGGGGAACAGCAGCCAGATTCCATGAGGACAGGGTCGAAATGCCTCGACCGACCTCGCAAACGTCATCCATGTAGACCTCTCAACATTTTATCCAGAACTGATCGAGTGGATGAAGGCCCAGGCCACTTCCAACGATGCTGTGGCCGCTGAGCTGCATCTCGGCCAGAAGCCGCTCTTCGCTGGGGGCCGACAAGGCTCACCGTTCCGCAGCTTACTTACTGAGGTATTTCCTTGCCAATCATCCTCAAGCAAATGACTGAGCGCCACGAATCGCTAGACCAAGACCAATATAGCCAGCCTGTGCTTTGCTTTGCTGTGCTGCTCAGTTCTGCACAAATCTACGGTTGGCATACGTTGCAGTCTCCGATGTTCTTCCTCACCGGGTGGATACATCCACTCCATGGGCCGATGCTAGTACCCGAGTCTCCCGTCCGCCAGCTCGGCCCCTGGACTTGACCGATGTGCATGGTTGTCCTTGTTCCGCCGGGGACTAGAGCAACGGGACCTCTTCCGTAATCACCGGAGCATGCATGCGCAGCCGCTTCATGTACTATTATGGGATGCTGAAAAGGACTCGATAGCTAAGTTTGGACTCAACCAAAAACCAAGTCCGCGCGGATTTCACTAACACAATCTGTAGGCCCCATGTCCGCCTACCCGAAAAACTCTCCCCGCCCGTTCGGACACGATCGCATGCTAGCGCATTGCAACCTGACTTGTCCAAAACCAGTGCCCAGCAGATCTCAAGAATCGGCAGAGAAATGGATCACTATGCTCGTCTTACGCATTGACAAGTGTCGCCCCGATTGGTTCTGCGATCCGTTGGAAGTTTGTGGCTCTCGTAGTATTTGATTTAGCCTGCGAGGCAACCTAATGAAATCTCGGTAAAAACGGTTCCAGCAAAATTTTCTCTAGTCCAGCAGTCATCATTCGTCAATCCACAAATCGTCATCGGACTGTCTGGTCTGTAAGAGGCCAGCACACCCTATTCACGAATCACCACCGCTCTAGCTGCAGCCTGGGGACTCGACATTGTGGCGCCCGACCAAAGTATGGATGCAAGGTTGAGCATCAAAGCATTGCACGAGGCAGAGCTAGACAATCCAATGACTGGCAACCTCCGACGGAAGTGGGCAGGACGGAACAGCGCTGGGGTTCTGGGTTTGGGGGCACGCCACGGCACATAATTTCACTTGGCTATCGCCTGGCCTTGCCAGGATGAAAGCACACAGTTCCACGGGTCGAGTCTTTGGTCTGTCGAGCGACCATCCATAAGCGAGGCTCCCGACTCACCGGTTGCCCATTTGAGCTTAAACTGTCCACGGTCTCCTGCGTCCCACCAGAATTCGGTATTCCTCGTCGTCCATGCCTGCTTTGAAGCAGCATATTGCAACCGTGTTCGTTGTTGGCAGGCCGATTTTGGGCATCTCACAATCACCAAGGCCTGGTTCAGGGATCCAACATATACACTTCCGCTGTGTGCGGCCATTTCGCAACGCTCTTACTTCACTTCGTCTCACTCGACTGGCACGGCGGCCTGCAGAGGAACGTCGGACGTTGATTTGATGCGAGACCATTAGTGGGTGGTTCCCTGACCTCATCAGCTGCATCGACAGAGGCTGCCATCATTGGTGACGCCCGCGCATGCAGGGCTTTGCTTTCTACAGACGCTTTTACCTGTGAAATGGCCGAATCTGTTGACCGACAGATTTTCTCGAGATGAATGTCAAAAGTTTGCTCTCAGCCGGGACACCAATTCGCAGGGCCCGCACGCAATGCACCCTTTTGACCTACGGCTGCTAGGGCGGGATCGTCTTTTCGCGGCCAAGAAGCCGTGCGGCCGTCGACTTCCTGCGACTGCGGGTATGCTTGCAATTTCGTAATGGTAACGAGTCTTCAACATTGGCTGTTCGTGAGCGGATCTCATGGGAATTTCCTCTTTCCAACGACAATCCGCCTCGGGCAACACGCCAGGACCAGGGGCTGCGGGGTGGTTAAAGGCGGTCAAGCCCCTTTTTAGCAAATATGGGGCTGCCGAAAGTGCGTATTCTGCTGCATGCTTCACTTTCTGACAGCCGGCAGGTTCCTTTACCGGCGCTCCGAAGGACGGCCCAACAGTACGGCCAGACCTAGTCAGACCAGACCGTGGTGGTGGTGTTGGTGTTTGTGGCGGTGGACGTACACCCGGTTACTGGGGCAGAGCAGCTACATCATCGTCAAGAGCTGAAGATGTTAATTTCACTCAATCATGTGCAAGCTACAGGCTGAATCGACTGATCGATCGACTGACAGATTTTCAAACGGACCAATAACATGGTAATTTGAGCTAACTGGGCTGTTGACGACCCAGAACGAAAACGAAGCTCTTCTCCCGAAATCTTTTACTGGCCCCTTTCGTGGGCCGCATTCTCCGTCATTGTTCATCCCGTCCATATTCAGAGACGGCATAGGAAGTCGGCTGTGCCCAGCACATGTTCATCAGCTTTCTGGAAGCAGTCTCACTCCCGGAAAAGCGGTGACGACCTCTGGATCGGGTTGGATACGCATTGTCAGAGGAAAATAACGACGAGGCTGTTCTTAGCCACCTCAGGCATACTCCGTACACACGCATCCCTAGACTTGCAGGCTGCTCGAGCGATCTAACTAAACGAGGGTAAGCAGGCAAAGGGTGTCAGACTCTCGGGACCGTGGCGCTTTTTGATGGAACGTCGAGAAGCGCGGAGGTCATATTGGCAAAAGAGGCGATTAGGGAGCCAAATCCGGGGGGTTGCGGCCGCACGCGTGGTGGTTGGTTGCCTCGGCCTTTTGGTAACATGGCGCACGTTGCTAGCCGGGCGATGGAAATGTGATGACTCCCAGTCTTGGATCACGTCGTCGCCCGCGTGAGATCTTTCAGGACGCTTCACGTAAGCACACGCATCCAAATCCACATCTCGGCCAGACAGTAGACAGGATAGCCTTGGGCATCCGTCCGCCTCCCGAGACCAACCGATCACCAATGTGTGAAGTTGTAGCGGCCTTTGCAATCGTTGGCTGGGAATCGTAACAATCTTCGCCGTGAGCAACAGTCAGAAGCATCAGCAGATCCAGCATCAGAAGTTTCCCGGCACTTGATTGACCTAGCGCTTGGCCCTTCCATGCGGACGAAGCAAACGGCACCTATTGGTTACACAAAAAGAGGCGGAAGTGAAGGCCAGAAACAGGATCAGCAGCGCTCACAACAGTCGGTTCCATGGTGTTCTCTCCGCCACCCCTGTCGCCTTATTCCCATCAGACGAGCAGCCCGAAATCCATCCACTCGGCAGGGGCGGGAAGATGCTCGGCTCCTCTTCTCGCGTGGCGTGGTCTCAAGAACCCCTGTCCTCTCATGAGTACCCCTCAGACCGGTGAAATACAATTCAGCACGGGTGCAGCCCACTTCCTCAACTTTCCTCTCACCGAGTCTTCTCACTCCAGCCTCGACTCCTTCGAACTGACCGACCGACCGACCAGCACAGGATACGCCAATCGCCAGCACCAGAGTCTCTATCGGCACGCTCTCTGATTCTAGCCTGCCAGCGCGCGCAACGCTGTGCTCCACCGGAGGAGACATCGCACAAAGCAAACAACGAGGACGACAGCGTCTCAAGTTCGCGCCGGACGGGCGAAACATCCAGGCGACTAGGCTCAGACCACGGCCAGCAGCATCTGCGACATCCGTCAAGGACGAGGAGCAACGGCTGCAGAAACCGACTGAGAGAGACAGCGGCAGCCGGAGTACCCCCCTCTGAGAAAAAAAGAGAGAGGGAAAGAAAAAAAAAAGCAGAGCGGCATACGCATACCTCCAAGCACAAGCACGCACACGCACGCAGCAGCAGCAGCAGCAGGACTTGCCGTCTTTTCCTTTGATTCATCCCCCCCAGTTTCGGCCGAGTGTATGCTGTCAAGCAGGCCTGTCTGTCTCTCTTCACAACGGCATTCTAGCCTGACTCCCTACCTCCATTTGCACTCCTCTGTATTCTACGCCGAGTAGTTCTTCCTCCGCCTTTTGTTCCTGGCCGAGTCATCAACCCTCCTTTCCTTTCCCCTACCATACCCTCTTTCCTGTACTCCACTCGCGCACAAGGGGTGCCATTATGTGGCAATGGCTCTCGTGAGACCGTAGCTCCCTCCCCCACCCCCTCCCGGTGAGGCGCAATTTTCTACGCTCCCCTTGTGCTTCGCTGTGCCTGCTCACTCCTCCTGCTCGCTGCTTGTTTCTGCCGTATACCTTATACAGGCCACAGATTGTGGTACTTGGTCTCGCTACTAGGCTTTGTCCAACACACCCTCTCTCGTTGCATCAATCATGGTAAGAGATGTCCCTGCTTCCCGGCTGGCGGCAGCGTGCATGGGATATATCACCGATCTTCCCCAATGTCATTCGAGCCCAGCCGCTGTCCCAGCACCCGCATCATTGCACACACATCGTTCCCTTATATCTTTGTTAGCCCTAGCTGTTCCCGTTTGCTCATCAATCTCATCCCCCCCTCTGCCCTATTGCACCTTGAATGTGCGTGGATTGATTTCATCTTAGAATCACAATCATCTCAGAAAGCGCCGGGTTCCCGGCCCCGAAGACGACTCTTCTATAGTGCCGGGACATCACAGCTCTTCGCCTTCTTCATATGCCAATATACACTTCTCTACCCTTCATCCCGAGACCCAAATCCTAATCAACCAAGTCGCGGACCTATACAACATTCCAGGTTTCCGACTACATCAAATCCTTTCCAACACCTCGCAAATAGAAAACGCCCACAAGAGGCAACGGCTTGTATCAGGCTACTCCATGTCTTCTCAGTACACAGGAGGCTCTCTTCCTGAGGACTATGAGGAGAAGGCCCCGCACGTTGGGCAACATGGCCTCGCCAACGTCGAACTAGACCGTTCGTCAGGGTTTCCAGGTCCTGTCGTCAATGGATTGACTCAGGGGATGCAGACGCTGGCTTTGGCGTTTTGTCAGAACTGTTGGAGCACCTGTGCTGTTACCAATGATGGTATGTATTGCGGCGTACCAAACGGTCGTTTTACTCTTACTGATCTGAATACCAGGTTATCAACCCCTTCCTGGTTCCGAGGCCGCTACTTATGACTATGGAACCAACAGTAACAGACCTTATGAGGTTGAGAAACCACCCTCAGCGCAAGCTTCTCAACCAGATGTCTATGTCCCTACGCCAGTTGTCTCTAACAACCAGAATGCATTTGCGGCCGGAGACAACGGTTTGCTGGGCTCCTATGTGTCCAGCTATCAACCTGTACAAGAAGACCCTAACCAGACAATGGTTGCTCAACACTCCGGACCTGACGCCGGCGTCTATGTGACCGACGTCTCGGCAGCGTCCTTCTATTCCACAACACCTAGTGGTCATGTTGGCAGTGAACCTAGTTACTCTAATCCGAACACCCTTGACCGTCGTCTGACTCCGAGAGAGACTCTCCCGCCTACATACGGCGGTAACATGATGGGCATGGCCATGTCTCCAGCGTTGCATACTCCTACATCTGTGCCCGTCACGACTGCCGGATTTGCCATGCCCCCCGCATTCCCCATGTCCTGCGTCAAGACTGAGGACATGGATGGTTCTGTCGCCAACACTCACGTCGGTGCCGGCCTTGATGTTGTTTTCCATAATCAGCGTCCGCCAGCTTCAAAGCGTGGTCCTTTCAAGGACCAGAAAGCTCGCGAGGAGACAGCAGCAACAAGGAAGAACGGATCTTGCATCCGATGTAAGATGCAACGAGTGAGAGTAAGCAGCACAGAGGTTTAGAGTGGTTGTTCTGACTGCTAACAAACGATATTAGTGCAAAACTGACCCAGAGGACCCGAAGGGACCCTGTCTAGGCTGCAAACCAAGATCGAACAACAATCATCATAAGCAACTTATCCGCCAGCCCTGTGTACGCCACAAAATCACGGAATGCCATTTCTTCAAGAAAGGCCAGGCACCTGGTTTCGAGTGGACCCAGCGTTTCAACAACGGCATTGTAGACAACATTAACAATTGGGCGTCCAATGAAGTGAGGATTGTACAGTTGTGGGAGGGTTACACGCCGAGCAGTATGTCGGTTCAGCTTTCTGTGCGAGAATTCGTTCCTCAACCGGGCGACAAGCTGGAACGGACTTGGGTTACTGAGGAAGGCGAAAGGAAGTCTGTGGCGATCCCCACGTACGCCATCACGAATCTGGACGAAGCGCAGACGGCGTACGAGGATTATATCAAGAGAGGTGTCGATGAATGCTTCAACTCGGTCGTGGAGAGTGTGATGGGTGTCCGGGACCGACTGCTCTTCGAGACCTACCTCAAAGCTTGGAAACTCTCGCAAGATCCTTTGACGGCCAAAGATGAGAGGGAGCTTCTGATTCAAACGCTTGAATTGTGGATGGCGGTTCGCTTGACGACGAAGTCAATAGAGATTGTTGGGGACGACACGCTCGGAATGGACCGCGATATTCTGGATAGCAGCAGCCCGCAGCACGGACGCATTCCCCTCCCACCCGTGATGGGGGCTCAGTTGGACTTGGTCCTCATCCAGCATATACAGACGAGACTTCGACGAGAAATGCTGGAAAAGCTCCAAAAGATGACGCTGCAGAATAAGCAGAAGACTTGGTTGACCACCTACCTGGTGACGTTTATGTTACTGCACAACATCGCGCTCGTGACGGATCACGATGCTTCATACGCCAGGAAGCACGGTATGAAGGTGAGTCGGATTGGAATACCAGCGGGCTCTCCGGCTCGATCGGAGGTCGCACCCACGAATGGCTTTAGCATGAGTTTGCTAATATGTGATGTTTGTCGTGGCAGACGAAATTTGCAAGACAGACGGATGTCCAGGAGTACCACATGGGTAAGTGTGCAACAACTGGCTGGGGCGATTGATTTATGTTCAGCGGTGGCCCAATTCGTTTGGCTTTTTTTTTTTTTTGTTGAGTAAGACATGCTGACGAAAGCCGAACGAACAGGAGGAACGATTCTCCTCGCGTACTTCCACTACTGCAATAAGGGAATCTACCCATTTTCCGAGGATTGCAGAGACCAGGACTTGCGGACGCTGGCGCAGCTGGACGACGATGCGGTGCAGTTTATCCACTACACGCGCGCAATGGCAATGCAAAACAGTCAGTGGCAGCCCTTGTTTCCTAAACTAAACCCCCCTCCCCCTTGTGACCGAGACGGGAGTACTTTTGTGTGTGTGACTTTTTGTGTGTGTGTGCGGGAGAGATACCTAGGTATCCCAATGGCAATGGCTTCCCTTGGATCGGCAGTGTGACAGGCCAACCAACAAGTTGGGAGTGATGACTGACGCGATTGATGTAGAACGCGAATGGGAAGAGGTTCAACAAGCCAACCAGTACGAACAGCCATACTTCTTCGTCAGCCAGCTCTTCCAGCGAGACTGGCAGCCCCAAACGTGGGCATATTAATCGAGGTGGTAGGTGGCAGGTGGCAGGTGGCAGGTGGGGAGGGATGAACGCCAGGAGGTGAGGGGGAGAAGGGCGATACTTTCCGTTTGGATCTTTTTTTCACTGGGACTGGGGAGGGGTGCACACACTAAAGCGACGTGCAGAGGCGCAATGCGGTAGGGCCCAAAAGACAAGTCATTGGCTTTTAAAGGTTTGGCATTGAAGGCGGTGTTCATCTCATGCTTTCATCTTTTTACTTTTTATTTTTCGCGAGCAGGCCGTTTGATACTTACTTATTCTTTTCGTTCGACCGGGGCTCTTGATTCGTAGAGGTCCACCTCGGTCTGTCTGTTTGTTCTACGGAGCGATGGCGACGTCAATGGAGGGAGAATGCATACTGGTGGCTCTTTCCCATCATTCTTCTTTCCCTTCATCTCGTGGGCAGGGGAGGAAAATTGAGAGGGGGAGGTTTCAACGAAGTTGACGACGATGACGATGGGTGGCAAAACATGATCAGGAGCCGAGGCTTGTTGTTTCTATTGCTGTCCATAGTAACTTGGTGTATTTGTGCTCATCCGGTGGTTCCGTCCAGCGTATTGTATTGCCGAGATTGTGCATGTCCAATGGCTGACTGTGGCGAATGCCGGATATCGGTGTATTTTGCGTAATGTTACACCGCGGCACTTGGATGCTGGGAACCTCCAAGAGTTCGCGATGCGTATCAAAGACAAAGATGCTTGAAGTCGAGGAATGAAAGAGCTGGAACTTATCGAGCCCAGGATTCCGTCTTGGAAACTGTAGTGTTGTCCACCCCCACCCCCACCGAAGGTTCAACCAGGTTCAACCAGGGGATGCGCGCACATGATCTTTCACTGCGTTATGGTTTGCAAAACTTGAACACATCGTCTTGGTCGAGAATGGCTCGAGCTGTGTCGATCCGCCATGTGCACCGTTGGACAGGGTCCTGCAGGTGTCCTTGCAGACGGGTGTCCGGTCGAAGGGTGTGGAGTTGGCGCAGTTCTATTCGTAGAAATCCTTCACCGGCCCAATGCAGACTCCGCTTTTCATCAGATTTCATATGCATCTCTGGTTCGCGGGCCGGTCCAGTGCTGTCAAAAAAAAAGTTAAAAAATCCAAGACAAGATGAAAAAGATACACATCAGATTCAGAAAAAGTGTGTATACGCGCGCGCCAGACCCGACTGACATGTTGTTGCGGTCGATGGGACATCGGAATGTTTCATAGTCGGGTGGCAATCTGGGGGAGGACGGGAGATTGAATGATGGATCAGCGGGATGGAGGATAGCGACTGGCGGGATGGGAAATGGGAGATGGGGAATGTGGTGTGGTGTCGTCGACTAAGACATGTCGGGCAAGCAACTCGGATGAAATCCGGTCTGGACTTGACGTTTTTCCCTGTTGGCTTGGGGGAGTATACCAGTCCTGAGGGTGTACAGGTCTGAGGTGGTTGTCGGTAAGGTAGGCCTCGAACAAGCCTTGTTTGATGGAGGGAGATGGGGGGAGGGGGCGTGAGAAAGAAGGAAGAAAACCCTTGAAAACCCCCCTCATCAGATAGAAGACATGTTGAATTGAAATTACGGTACGGAGTACTCGAAAGCAAAGAAGAATGAAAACAAAGAATCAGGTAGATTCTTCCCGAGGTTCGCCGCATTTTCGTTCCCGCAATGCCGCCGGAGTTATCAAGGATGACAGGAACAAACATTGGGTTGGGCGGTAAAGGGAAGAAAACTCGACGAGTTGCTCAAAATTGACCCTGGGCTTGCAGCACTTGGGGTCGTATTACGAGGTTGCTCGCATCTTTCCCGGCCGGGTCTTGCTGTTGTCTGTGCCGGCAGGTTTGGAGGAGTCACGATGGTGAAGGTGGACTGGGCAGGCAGGGCCAGGAGGTGAGGTGACGTTCAATCGGGAAAGTGTGGAGAACCAACGGGAAGTTGGGATTGGCCTTACCTAAGGCAAGGACCTCCCCGCCGTAAACCTTGCGTGCTTGCCTTCCGGGTTCCTTCCAACTGAAAGGGATGGGTACCGTGCACGTACCTACCGGAGGGATCCACATATTCCACATCGATGTTCCCGACGTGGAAGGGACCGGGGGTGGAGTGCAGGGGCCCCTCGCTCATCGAGAAAAACGGGAGGTGCGACCGGGGCGGACTGCGAGTGGTCCCAGCCATCGGCGTCAGGGGTCGCGGCTCTCCTGTCCCGTTCGCCTACCGCCCGGCTAGCTGCTTACCTTATTTTACATGGGTGTAGATGCAAGTGCGTCCAGCTAAGTCCCAAAATTGCAGACGACCATCTCTTCCCCTCTTCGTCCTGGGCCTGTTCCTTCCTGCCTTATCAACAATTCGCCATCGCGAAAAGACTGATGGGTGGGATGTAGTATTCTTCTGGATACCTTACCTCAGTAATGCCTTACCTTCCCAGTGCTTCCGATATGAGTGATGCCTCTTCCTCCCCTCTCACTATCCGTACTTTGGCTTTTTTCGAATGCCTAGGTACGTTATGTCTTTCATCTGGGAGCCCTCCACCGCCCGCTGCCTCCTGACTGTGTTTGTTTGAGAATCTTTTCTTTTCTTGCCTTTTCGCATTACATGCTCGTTGTCTGCATGTCTCCAGTTGCATCTGTGGGACAAACGCCTCGCCTAGCGCCCACAGACGCATCGTCGCATCTGCAGTTCAGTCATGGGTACGTACCTAAACCTACCTGACCTCACCTATCTTCTCTGCCCGGCTTTGTACACGTTACCAACACCTCTTTAGAGAGAATAGTGGATGCTAATTCCGAGAATCTGTTTCATTGCTTTTGCTGCTGGACACCAGCGAGGTTACCCATGCCGCCGACTCCACGTTGAAACATGGATAGCTTAGACACACAACCTCCATTTCGCTCAAGCTCTGTTGGTAATGCCCGATGTGTCAGTCAGCCAGCGCCAGCCAGCGTCCAGTCGCTGTCTTGCGTGGCTTATGAGCACACCAACTCCCTTCAAACTCCTCGTCGAGACTGCCTTTGTTGCCAGCTTTTTTTTTCCTTCGCATTCTCGACTCGGACCCTACCGGCGTGCATCGTAGCACCTATCCTGCGATACACCATCTCCTCTCAAGATGGCTGTCGGTTCTTTCAATTCCTTGGGATCGAACGAGGTGGGACGAGAGGAACGGCTAGCAGCAGCACCGATTGGTTTGTTGAGGCACTTCATCAATCTCGCAGAGCAGAGGGGAATCTGAGCGTCGGATGACCAGGCCCTCCAACGTTGATCCTATCATTTGGTCTAGGGCCGCGGGTAGTTCATCGGGGCAACACGAGCACACGAATCGAATCGGACACCATCTACCATCGTCCCCGGAGCGCACAACTCGACTTGACGGCCCGGTTCAAGGCGCGGAGACGGGCGACAACACCATGCAGAGCTCTGTGCCGTGGCCTAGTGCTCCCGAACACCCACCCACCCGTCATCGTCCCGAGGATTCGAATATGCCGTGCTACACGATAGCCACAAGAGCTTCCAATTGATCGTGACCCAGCCGCATCGCATTTTGATGCCCGCTTTCTTCCTCTGCGTCTTCCTCGTCTGCGGATGTTTCAGCAAGCAGCGGAGGCGCTCGCCACAAAACGTGTTTTCCTACTCCGTACCGACGTGGGATCGATCATGTCTCTGATCGCACACCCATTCCCCACCGCATTGGGTCGCAGAGGTGCTTTCCCGACGCCGAGCGAGGTAGCGTTGGTGGTCCATGTTCGTCCAATGTCGACCTCACCACGCGTACCCTGCTGCTGCAATCTGGTGCCCGTGCCGTGCCTCCTCTTATCCACCATGGTAACTCACAATCTGCATGGAAGCGTACGACTGCGGTATCATTGCCAATAACGATCCATTCGACGACACATTGCGCACGACGTGTCTTTGAGTCCGTCAAAGCCCCGCCACCGTCGCAACTTCAGCAGACCCAAATCGCGCCCTGCGTGCCACGAGGAGCTGGCTAGCTTGTGACGCCAAAACCGACTTGATGTTTATCTCGCATTTTTCTTCTAACGCCCCTCCCCACAGTGTGCATCGTGGGCGATCAAATTGCTAGTTTACCGTTCTTAGCACAAGCAATGCATGGTTACGTACGTAACACCTACAATGGGCACCCAGCACATATCAGTAGCTCCCTTGTAGAGCCGCTGGTTTTTCCATATTCCAGCTACGCTCTATCTGGTTCACGCTCTCTGGACGGCTACATATTGCATTCAAAGTGCTAAGTAATGTGCGTGTCCCTCCATTGCATCGGGTTGCTGCGTTTGTCGTTCTCATCCCTCGCGGCTCGCCACAAGTTGTTACCCACCAAGGAGCGCATTTCAAGAGACAATCGGAGCCATTGTAACCCCCTCCCAGTCCCTACGGACCCTACCCTACGGAGCCCGTGATACCTCAGGTACCTTACTCAACCTTTTCTTTCCCCGGTCCACCACCGCTGCATCGGCTCCTCTTTTCTACATTGTTCTTCCGGTTCCATTCGAACCCCACTCGTCGTACAGGAAGCACCTTCTATCGCTCTATCAGCTCTCGTCCTTCTTCCTCTTCTACACCATCATCCATGTCTGGTACCTCGAGCAGAAGATATACCCGGCGTGGGTACTCGGCCAGCCAGAGGGTCGTCAGGGCAAGGGGAGATGAGGCACAACCGGCCTAAGATGGGGTGCGCTGTGCATCCTTAATTTTTTTTCCCTTACCCTCCTTCGATTGTGTTTTATTCACTTCCACGTCAAGTTCAGGTTGTCCATCGCAATCACGGCCCAGCTCAGCCCGGACCAGCCCAGATCTTCTTTTCCTCGCATATTGCTTCTTCCTCGCCGGGTACCTGCAAAAGTATGGTGCACTTTCTCACCCCCTGGCGTTGCGCAAGTCCACCTGACGGGCTGGCCACTTTTTGATACCTGGACTCGCAACAGCCTCCATGCCTGGGACAGCAATGGGGGGAAAATATACAAAGAAAAAAAAAAAGAATTGATGAGGGAAGGAGAGAAGGAAAAAGTGAGAAAGGCAAGTACTCATTGCGTATTGCGTGGACGGATACCTTGCGTGTGGTGGAAGACACTACGCATGTGATGTAAAGTAAGGTAAGGTAGGTAGGGAGGAGACGTACCTTTGAAGTCAAGGTCAAGCAAGTGCAACTGCCCGTCCATCTTTCCGTCCTTTTTTTTTCTCAATTTTCCCATCCTTCCATATGCACCCCCCATGACATTCCGTGCATCGAGGTGTCCGAAACTGCCTACGGACACTTTTCTTACCTTACCTTCCTTATTCACCCTAAGGATACTCGATCTCAGGTTACCTTACCTTACGCACCCATCTGTCATGCTTGGGAAAGAATGATCAACTATGGCAAGGTATGGGAAGGTACCTCAAGGTAGGTAGTTAGGCAAGGTAAACTCGGCATGTACCCTCCCGTCCAACTCTACTACATGGCCGTGGACTGTGGTGCACTTTGGCACCCTGCATCTGCATCTCCCTTCAAGTTCTGTTCTTGCCATGCTACCACCTACCTGCCTCAGGTCGGTACTCACCTTTTCGTACTGCCGTCTACCTTACTCTGTACACCTCGAGCTATTTTCCAAGTGTTGTCTCAAGGTAGGTAAGGTAAGATAGGTTAGTTTCCTTCCATTGACCTCGCCTCGCAGGGCTTGTCTTGGCCTATCCTGCCTTTTTGTTCCTTGCCTACGATTAGTACTCCGTATCCAGGGTAGATACTACCTTTTGTTGTTTTACTTAATTTTTCGACCAACTCGCTCTCAGTTGCCATTCGCATGCCTCTCTGGACCCGATGTGAGGTGGGCTCCATCAGCACCTCCCTTCCGTTCTTTACCAGTCACCTTGGTCCTCCGCTCTCGTCTGCAGTTTCTTCTTCTTCTCACAACCAACTCCCCATGACTTAAAAATGTCTTGACGGCAATCTCGCACCATCACCTCATTTCCTGTCTCTGGCTGGCCCTCCCAACGGTCTGGCTCACCTGCCACCTGCCCTTGCCGCTTTCCCGCGAACTAAGGTAAAGCAACATTGCTGCTTCTTTGCGCGCGCACACACACACGCCCATATCTCTTTCTCGTCGTCCACGCCCACCTAGCCCACCTCACCCGCGCATGTGGCCATTGACGGGGCCCGGATACCACCTGGAGAAAGGCCAGCACTGCTTATACCTATTCGTTCGTACTCGTTCAGCTTCGGCGCCTCGCCTTCTTGCTTCACGAACAATCCCTTCATCAATTCACTTTCACTTTCACTCCCATCCGTTACTGCAAAAACCCCTACGCAAGCAAGCAGGCGCAACTCGGGTAACCACTCCATGGGACCCATACATCCAGCGGCTTCCTGCTATCTCGCCTGTCGTCCCTACCCGTTCTGTCCTTCCTATTCCTTGCCACCGTATGCCCTGAGCCTGCTCTTGCTTCTGCTCCTGCTCCTGCTCCTGCTGCTCCTGCCGCTGAAGTATCCTTCTTCACCGACTGCTCTCTGCTCGCCTCTCCTGGCCGTGAAGCAAGTATATTAGGCTTCTGCCAGATCATGTCCGATCCTCGCCATCTCTCCCTCAACCGTTTCTTCTCCCATCAACGCCATCATCTTCCGCACCAGCTTTTGTCTCGTGTTCTCTTCTTCCCAATCCTTTATACAAGTCAGTCTCTGCCACGCCCACTCAGTCTCTTCCAGACGCTCCTCAACTTCAAGCACACATACGTAGTCGTCGGCTCCGTCGTCACTGCGTCCCCTTCTTCTTAAAGCTTGTTCTAAGCCTCGACCTGATTCAAAGTCGGTTTCTTCACGCCCACGCTTCTTGGCCTTACA